ACACCCTCACATGTCCTCACAGACCTCTGAAGAAGAAGAAGAAGAAGAAGAAGAAGAAGAGGAAGGACTTTCAAGAGGCTCTCAGAGAGTAATGTCAGGTTCATCAGACAGGAGGTACTCATATCTATACCAGGAAATCTCCCTCAGTTGTCATGTTGTGGAAGACAAATCTTTTTCAGAGATTTTCTATTTAAAGCGTAAAAAGAGTAAAACTGACTCAAGTGATAGTGTTTGACATTTACTATGACATTCAGCAGGCATGTCTTATTCATACTTTTTCTGCTGTGCTCTGACATCATGCTCATCTATTCTCTGTTATCTTCTCCATACAAAAATCAGAGTCAGAAATACAATCTACAGGGGTTACAGTGGCTCTTACACACAATATAACGGGGAGCATGCAGGAGTATAAATAAAATAGTAACATAGTAAGAAAATCAGCACTTAAAACACAACCTCACACAAAAGAATATTTAGAAATAAAGCTAAGTGCAGAAGACATGGAGAGTACAACATGTCTAACAACAGCCGTCTGCACTGATGAACAGTAGGGATGTTGTACAGAGTATTGCACACAGGCCTAAAGAAATACAGTGTCTTCCTCGTTTGTTTTAAGTGTTGGAGTCTCAGAACAGTTTTCAATCAGATGGCATAGCTGGAATGAATTATGTATCATACAGAAGTCTACAGCCTCTGAGGACAAGAGTAGTTGGACCTGACGGTGTATGTCCCTTAGAGGGAGGAGTTGTACAATTTAAGGGCCACGGGCAGAAATGAACAAAGAGTCAAGAGGTGCATATAGCATGTCTGTTCATGTGTCTGTGTCTGTGTGCATGTGTGTGGCATTACAGAGGGAAAGTATAATATACTGGCCTAAATCACTGGTATCCATGAAATCAGTAACTCTTTCAGAACAAGAGGTTGTGAATAGCTGGTACTCGGCAATCAACAGCTTTGTGTGTTCTTGCGTGATAATTGCAACCCTGAGATGAATTCCACCAAAAATAGTTTCTCAACTTGGGCTTTGAGTTGGTTGTGCAGAGCTTGATGTTGCTGAGGTTTTGTCACATGTGAGGGCACAGGCCTTATACATTGTAAAGTAAATGTATTCTGTTTGACTTTTTTTGCCTGGAGGTTGTGCTTTCATTGATCACATGACGCAATTGTCAATAATCAACCAGGGGACAAAATGCTTTCAGACAAATCACATTACCCTGGAGCAAAATAAGTGGGAAAATCTATAATCAATGACAAAATCACTCCTAGAGGGTAAATTAGTGTAACAAAACATAAATGAAAAAGTGCATCTAAAGCTACACCACACGTTTCCCTCCTTTTATTGACCATTAACCAAGGTTAGGTTCATGTACCATTATTTGTTGATAATCTAAGCTATACCAATATTTTATGTGAAAATAAAGCTTATCATATCATTTAATTAACAATTAAAAACAAATAAGTTTTCCAAAGCTAATGTAAAACAGACTTACATAACTAAACACAGATCCTTTATTCAAAGAAAGGAAATTGAAAAGCTTACTGCAAATGTACTAGCGGGTGTTGTTGATAGTTGTGTGACTGTGTTTGACAGGGAGCCAATAGTTGGATGGGAGAACAGTGCCTGGAAGGCAGGTCAGCAGCTTGCTGGACTCAGAGCTCACTGAGTAAGATGGCCTGTGGCAAACATTGACCAGCTCATATACTGTGGATCAATCACACAGACAGCAATGAGTCACTGACTGGAAAACTGTATTAGTTTGTATAAATAGAATACCACAGCCTATAAATATACTGTGCATATCACTGCGGTGCACACAACACAATACGAAACTCTTTCAGCAACCAAATGAGAATCATTATTGACACTGAATGAATGATTGATAAAAAATTATAAAAATTTTCATAGACTGAGAGCAGGTGGAAATCATTGGTTGGTTTCTGAGAGAGCTTCTTATACAGATACTGACATGACATCAGCCAGAAAACAACACCTCTGCTGGTATGATGATCCTATGCACTGCTTCACAAACTAGCAATCCCACTAATGCAGCCCCAAGTCAAACTGTTTGACAATTTACACTTGGCTGTATTTTATAGAACACGTTTAATCACAATCATTTATATACTGTTGATTTAAACTTTGGCTTTTCTTGACACTTAAAGGCTGATTTGATCAGTTTTAATGAAAGCTGTCTGTAATATGATATATTAGAAATGTGCTTTATTAATTTAAAAATATTTATTTTTGTGATTTAAACTGATAAACTTTGTATATATTGAAATATTGTGGCTATTAACTCTTTGAAAGCCTAATACTTGATTTGGTTTTTGATCAGATCCTTCAAACAAACTTTTTTGCATGAGCAAAAATATTTGGTGTTTCAGCATTTTTTCTTTCCTCTAATCTTCAGGATTTCAGATTTCTATGTTTTAGGAAAGATCACTTTCGCACATAAATCTTTAACCAAACATTACTTGTTAAGCGCACCAGATTAAGAAAAAGTTCTCAAAAGATCTCATCCTCTTAAATGTGCTTCCACAGTAAACCTAAGTGTAAGATAGTCTCATATAATGTTTTTTTTTACTTATTCAGTTTGATCAAAAACATTTGCAGCTGTACAACGTCGATTAATCATGCCTTCTTTTGTGTTTGTTTGTTTGTTTCCCAGAAGACAGATGAAGCACACTGGTTGACTGACTCCCATCATTAAGCTGAAGCCAGATCCATCACTGCCCCAGACTGTCGCCTTGTTGTCTGTATGGCTTGTTAAGAGAATGGATTGGGAATTCTCCTGCACTTGTCAGTAAATATATCAGAGTTTATTGCAGTCTACCTCAAGTGTGGGCTCATCTGTTTCCCAACTCTTAGTTACATGCTTCATACTCCAATAGCACTCTAAATCCCAGGGACAACAATAGACAACCACACAGCAAACAACAGCCCTGAGCAGTGTATAGATAAGCTGCAAATCAAATCAAATGCACACATTTCTTTTTTAGTTGAAGAGATTTGAAGTTTTTCTATCATCTAAAGTTCTTTTCATGGAGTAAAAACTTAAATTCAGAAGTCCATCACATAAATGATCTAACTGAATAACCCTTTCAGTGACAGAGATAATGCTAAACTCTGCCATGGGTAGAAAATATACAAGAAGACCATGAAAAAAGTAACCATAGCCATGTGGACCAAGCACTTTCTAATGTCCTATCACTGGGAATCATTCCAGCCACATATCGCCGAGAGAGCTGTGTCACAGAATCCAATAATTGCTAAATCACAGCCAGTTCTCCAAATGATCCCCAATACACCAAGGTAATTTTGCAGTGTCTGAACACCAGCTACTCCTGCCTCAGAAATGGGCATCTGTTATGACATCAAAAATTACAGGAGAAAACAGCTCATGTAACGAGAATAACCCCTGGCAAAGATTTTTTAATCATATTAAAGGAAATCCAAAGAGGGTTTCGAATGAATATTTTTACTTCAGTAATGAGAGCTTTAATTACATCAAATAGACATGAGTAGACTTAATCACTCCAGATTTATAATGTGGTTCCCATGCTTCTCTGGCTGTAAGTGAACTGCTGTGATACAAAGATGCAAACAGTTAATACAGGATATTATTGAAAACATATAAAGTATGGATTTAAACTTTATAGAAACTGTAATCAGGTCGGGGAGAGTGGGGTAAGATGAGCCATTTTCATATTTCGGATCACTACATCAAGTCAATCATAGTTTTGTCTCTAACTAGTGTATCTGCATATATTTCAAGATGTTGTGCATCCCTGCAAACCAACAGAATGAGTGTAAACATAACTGTCTTGATTATATAGCATGCCAAAAAAAGTGGTCTCCTATGGTCAACTTACCCCGTGTATGGGGTAAGTTGACCATAGGAGCGGGGTAGGTTGAGCCATATTCCTAACCCCCCCCCAAATACACACACACACACACACACACACACACACACACACACACACACACACACACACACACACACACACACACACACACACACACACACACACACTCCACCCCCAGCCCTCCCTCCCTTCTCTCTCCATAAATAACAGTCACTTCTTCACATTCATGTGTATTTTTTATCTATTATACGCTATTCAACTGGTACAATAATGTTTTTTATTGCATATAACTGCTGAAAAGCCGTTTTGTAAAAAGCCATTTTAACATGAGAATGTCTTTAAGTGATTCAGAACATCCACAGCTGTATTTTTGAAAAGAAAAAGTAACACATTTCAACAATCTGAACTGAAACTCTGATCCTCTCATCATATTCCTTTACTTTCTCAGTTGAGTCACTGACTCAACTTACCCCGGAACTTCTATGATGACTTTATTAGTCCTTTAAGCTAAAATGGTGGACTTTTAGGTTAGGGTTTTGACCTAACATAAATATTTTTTGGTCTGAACACAATTGTAATAAAACTTATGACAGACTAAATTCACTTTCAAGAGTGAAAAATGTTTTTTTTTGTAAATAAATGTCTAACCCCTTCACCCATGTGCTTTTAACCTTCACAGACTCCATGAATTGATGCCCATCTCCTAAATATTTGGTCACATGATCAATTTCTTTTACCATTTCCAAGCAACAGGGGGTGGCTCAACTTACCTTTTGGCTCAACTTACCCCATTCTTCCCTATTTCAATATGAACCTTTCTGTCTCATCTTGAAAGGTAAAGTACAATATCCATAATAATGTAACTAGTAGCCAACTAACTATTGATTCCAATTCTTATAAAGGTTGAAAAGTTATTGTATCTCTCTAATGTCGATTTTGTTTTCCTAAATTCACTCTGTTGTAAAAAATACTTTGTAAAGTTTTTTCGTATTGCGCATTTTTGCCCAAATATAGCGCAAGACTACGCTCCAGAGCTCTCACCTTTACCCTCTCTGCTGATACGAGGAAGCTGAACCAATCGTATCGCTCGTTGTTGAGAGGTGCTCAAGTTAGGCTCACATCCTCTCGCCAACATGGTGAGTACTACATTTAAAAAGAAAATAGCATTTTATAAAAGGTTTCGGCTAACTATGATCAAAAATGTATCTGCTCCATTCAAATTTAGTGAGTAGCCAGCTTTTTTTGTCGCTATTATGCTTGTGTAATGCCAAGTGTATTGAAACATTAGCTGCTGGGCTAGCTTGTCATCTAGCTTCATGCTAATTTAGCGGCACTCGATGTGGATCCGACTAAATCCTGGTCTGAGGCACAGGGAGGATAGGAGTAGATGCTGCTTTTAAAAAAGTTGGCGTAGCCTGTATGTCCAAGACGTAAATATAGTGACACAGTCCTTCTCAAAAACGCACGGCCGATGAAATAAGTCATATTCAGACAGTTTGGCTTTGCGTCAACTATTAGTTGTTACCAGAGATTAGACGGAGTCGGCAGTCATTCATTACAAATGCTACTCACCACAGCCAAGCACAGTGAACGTGCTCAGACATATCGGTGAAAGTTGTGATGATGAACTCGGGTTTCTTCTTGTATATTAGGACAAAATACTCCCCAAAAGACATCAAGTAGCGTCAAAACCAGCCGTAGAGATAACGTGACCCTAAACTGGTCAGCCACTACATCCTGAACACCTGAATCATACAAGAAAAACCGAATCCATCTGCTTTAACATAAATAGTATTTATACGGAAGTTGTACATTATCAGACCTACTTCGACATAGGTGATAGTTGTTCCTACGTCTTTGATCTAACATTAATCCTGCAGTTTATTCATAGGCGCCTTTCAAAGCACCCAAGGTCGCTTTGAAAGAGAAAACATGTAGCAGATGTTGGATTATCGTAAAAGTGTAGCCTGAACATGTCATCATTGACTGAAAATATATAAGCATTGGATTTCATTCAAATGTTATAGATGGCCAGTGTTCATGCTAAAGTTTCACTCTAATAAGCTCTATAATAGTAAAGTTGTAAATTAATTGATTACTTTAGATAATTCACAATTATGTTTCTGGCATGTTTGCAAGTGATTTTTGATGGTAGTTTGGTCACTCACACTGTCACGTTGCTGATACTTAATTTTAGGGTTTTTTTTTACGCCCTCATCTTTTTTAAGTCAACTCATTTTTTCCTGGTGTGACTTTATTCGACTGTCTTGGGTTGTGTTTGCTAACAACTGGAACATCCGCGGAATAGCTACAAACTTCACTCCAACACATGTCGATAAAAGCATCATAATTCAAATTGCTGGCTGAGCACAAAGATAAACCTACTTGAGATATGTGGAACACTGTTGTGATAGTATAGCTAATGTAGCAGCCAATTGCTCCTCTGTTCCTTGAACTTTAATTGCATTCATACAGATGTTACAGTCCTGTTGCAGTAAAAGTGGTTTGTTAAGCCACCTTTTGCAAGATCCAGTACCAAGGAGTTGTCAAAACAGCTTAAGAAACCTGAGAGATCAGAACCAGATGTAGATGTTCAACTACTATGGCGCCATCTCTAACATTAGCTCATAAAGTGGGTAGTTCACGTAACATAGAGTCTACTGAAAGTTCTAAGAAACAATTTAAAACCTATGTTTTTAGACAGGCTTTCCACTGACATCCGCGTCGTGGGGCCTCTGTGAAGTGCTTGTATCTGTGCCATTATAATGATTGTGTTTGTCTTTATTCTATTGCAATTTATTCTCGTTGAATGCAACATGTAGAAGGTATCTGTTTCTGAAATAAATATAAAGTTAAATATTAATTCAAGAAAATCTTGCTCTCCAATTTGAAAAAATGAAGAACACATTTAGAGAATCAGCAGTGTTAGCATTAATGGATTAAGCCTTTGCTAACTATGCTTCACACCACTTGCTGCTGTGAGTTCTCTACTCTCATTGTCTCATAATAACAATAATGTTTATTTTATTTCACTATTTTACCATTATTATTATTATTTCTTTTGGGGTGGGGGCTTTTGAATGCAACATGCAGAACGTATCTGTTTCTGAAATGAATATAAAGTTAAATATTAATTCAAGAAAATCTTGCTCTCCAAGTTGAAAAAATGAAGAACACATTTAGAGAATCAGCAGTGTTAGCATTAATGGATTAAGCCTTTGCTAACTATGCTTCACACCACTTGCTGCTGTGAGTTCTCTAACTCTCTGTGGTGTTTCTTATTCATGACAGTCTTCATCGGAGGCTAATAATGGCCCGAGCCAAGCGCCACCTTATCCAGGTGTACCGCCCTCAGGGATACCTCCCCCATTTGTAAGTCAGCAACAGACATATTCAGAACAATAGCTTTCAGCAGTTGTCGGTTAGGGCTACAGTGTGAGTGGTCTTACTGTTTTATCTCATCTGATTTCTCTAATCTTCCTCTTTTCTTGTTTATTCCATTCAGATGGGACCACCGGGAATACCGCCTCATTTCCCTCCTATTGGAATGCCCCCCATGGGACAACGACCGCCTAGCATGACTCCTATGCCTCCTGGTATAATTCCCCCTGGTATAATGCCACCTATGGGGGCACCACCGATGGGACAAGTGAGTCTAGGAGATTTGTCTCCACTTTGTTCATGATTGAAAGTTCTATGAGAATTTTGGCCCAGGAAGCCTGAGCAGAACCAGACTCTCAGGAAACACTGTCTGCTCTAAACAGTTGGGTAGACGGAGAAGCAGAGAGATGGGTAGAGAGAGAATCTGGCAGACAGACTGACAGACTAAAGAAAGACAAACAGCAGCAGCAGTGATAACAAGTAAAAGCAAGAGTTCGGTCTGAAAATGGCCATAGCAACTTAAAAAATATAGAAAATAAAATAATTGTAGAACTGACATGAATTGAAATTGAGATGTATGGGATTGTTAAAATGATAAATAAAAAAGCAGTTCAAGGACAGCAATTGGTCTGGAGAAATCTGTGAGAGAAGTGTTCAAAAAAACTGTCAAAACGCACTTTTATTCATCTAGTGTAGTCTGCACAACAACAAGACATGAAGTTAGGTGGAAAGAGGAGCTCAGTGTAGAAAATCCTTTAAAGGTTCAAAGCTCAAAGTTGCACTTCCAGGGTCTGACTTTGTTGGTAGAGTAGGCTAACATCCTCACTACTCTTTTTCATGATCAAAAGTATTTATGGCATCTCACTCCCCAACTCTCTCCCCACATTTTTGCGTATAATTCAATATTGACGGGCCTAATACCACTGTTAGAAAGTTCAGGTACCACAAGCATGTGTACATTCTGTGAATATAATGCTCCATAAACCTGTATGACCAGGCGTCTCTTACCACTTTGCGTATCCCTAATTGGAGACGTGTCAAAGCAAGGTGGCAGATATTGTTACTTTTCATCATGAAAGACCCTCAGGGATTTTTTTGGGGCTTTTAATTGATGTGTTTCAACTTCTGCTTTAAGGAGAAAATAATGGGTTTTCTTTGTAGTTTCAGTCCTTTGGTCATTTGTTGCTCTTTTGGACCAATTCTTATTTTGAGTGTTCTGAGATCTCACTTCATTAGTATGTGTGGTTATTAAAAAAGTCACTTATTTCTTGCCTTTGATGAGTGTAAGGTGGAGAGACAAACAAAGGCTCAACTATAATAAAGAAAGTTTAGCTGTGCATTTTTTCACTTATTTCACACGGAGCTAAAGCTCCTCCAGAGAGATGTCTGAAATAGATTGCTTGTTTATAATTTTGAACTCTATCCTCAGTTCATGCTTTGCCCCTGAGGTAGTCACACGTTTTTTCGTGCGTATCCCTTTTTAGGCAAAATTGGGTGAAATTTAGCAAGCATATGTGGTCTTGTCATGCTTATAAAAAGGTGTGATATTCAGAGGTGTTTGATCAAGGTGCCGGCAACACGTAACCGAAAAGGTGGTGAGGCGATGTAGTTTAGTGTGATGCTGCTTCACAGATTTCACGCTATGACATCACACAGTTAAATAAGCACAGCAGACCCCGCGTCAATCTCACTCTCTCTGAGTCGCAGGCAGCCCTTCTCACTTACACCAACACTGCGTCTCACACTGTGTCCTGTACTTGGTGGTATGGAAATGCCTGATGAATATTTCATGATGCGTCTCTTTTTAGATGCCAGGCATGATGCCACCTATGATGCCAGGGATGATGATGCCCCCTCGCATGCCAGCTGCGTCCGTACAACCAACAGGACCGGTAACTTTCCTCACTACATTTTCATCAGTGCTCTGTTTCACACCTTCCAGTCATACACTGCAGTCTGTGAAATGCTAAATGAAGAGCTTGTTCTGTGAGTTATCACAGCTGGATACAGATTGATGTCATTTCCCTAAAAAGCTGTTTGTTCTCTCCCTCACATTGAAAATAAATGGTGTAAATCAGGGGTGGGAGAAAAAATCGATACAGCATAGTATCATGATAGTTTTCTGGTGATATGTCGTAACGTCTCATTTACTAAGTACCTATTTTTTTCATATTAATTGTTATTATGAAGTCAAATCTATGATAATGGAAAAATAAAATCAACTGTTTGTCCAGTGAGGTTGGCGGAGGTGACATCATAGAGCAGGTAAAAGTTAGAGCAACAAATATATTTAAGGTTCGCAAGATGTGCTACATGAAAATAAAATATTGTGTAAATAAGACAAACATAAAGGAAAGACAAATGATAAATTAGCAAAGAAGTTAAAAAAAGTATAAATCACTCACAATACTCACTGTATGCAAAATTAAAAAAAATTGAAATAATATCATATCCTGGCCCAAGTATAGTGATAATATTGTATCGTGGCACAAGTATCGTGATAATATTGTATTGTGGCCCAAGTATCGTGATAATATTGTATTGTGGCCCAAGTATTGTGATAATATCGTATTGTGGCCCAAGTATCATGATAATATCGTATTGTGGCCCAAGTATCGTGATAATATCATACTGTGGCCCAAGTACCATGATAATATCGTATCGTGGGGCCCAAGTATCGTGATAATATCATACTGTGGCCCAAGTACCATGATAATATCGTATTGTGGGGCCACTGGTGAGTAGTACTGTAACCTGTCTGAATCAGGTTTTGTGAAAATTCCCAAAAATATGATTAAAAGTACAAACCATTCACTGCTTTCCTTTCTAACAAAGTCCTCACCAAGTCATGCAAATGAGCAGTCTCATGTACAGTATGCACTGTGTCTACATTCAGACAGCTTCATATATCAGAGGAAATTCACTTAATCATTACAAGTGTTTTTTTGCATGTGGGGTCTATTGAGTTTGGTACTGATTAAGAAGGCATTGTCTTTAATTGTGTCTCGTGAATGATGAGCCTGTTTTCTCCTCTGAATTCATCACTCAGTGGGAGAGCAGTGCGAAGTAAACTGCCAGATTTATTCCTTTTTTTTCTGGTAATAACTCTCTGATAAAATTCTCTGTTCCACAGCCTGGTGTTGACTCTACAGGTAAGATCATAAACTCTCACTTTGCTTACAAATCATATGTTTGCTTAATTTATAGTCTAACTGATTTGTGTATTTATGCTCACAGCTGCTGCACCTGGAACAGCTGTAAGTATGATGATTTTCTATGTGATGTTAATGTAGTTTTGCTGTTTAAACTGTTCTGAGTTTTCACCATCATTAGTTCCAGCCGTCTGTCTTCTCGATAATTGCAGTTTTTCAGACTATTATTTGTTCCTTTGTCCCTGCAGAGTACCACCAATGGATCTCCACAGGAAGAACAGCCAAAGAAGGTTTGTGCGCACTGAAATTTGAAAAAATTAGCTTAAAAGACTACACATCATTATGGAACTATTCCAAGAGCGGTAATTTCATATTCTGTTTCTTTTTTAGTGCTGAAACAGCTGATGTTTCTGTTGTTTTTCTATCTGTCTTTAGAAGTCCCTGTGGACAGAACACAAATCATTGGATGGGAAAACCTATTATTACAACACAGAGACCAAACAGTCTACGTGGGAGAAGCCGGATGACCTCAAATCTCCTGCAGAGGTAAACATCTTTATTGCCTAAACAACACCTTTTACATAAGGGGTGTTAAGGTACATGTATTGTCACGAACTGTTTCATTGTGTTCCTAGTAAAGAAAAATTATGTGTGGGTTTTTTGTTGCCTCTACTCTCATGAAAAAGTACTGAACTGAGACTTCAAAACCATGTATCAAACCACAGTTTTTCTCAACAATACCCCTACCACCCATCTTTAAACATTGGCACTTTCATGTACTTTTTTAAAGCACATTCAAGTCTCGTTTGAACATAACATGTTTTTCACTTGAATTTTGTCAATGTGTGAAATTTTAAATGAACAAGATACAAAAAAAGTGGAATGTAAAAAAAAAATCATTTCTGCATGTATAAAGAGACTCAAAATAAGAACAATAAGACATATGTCACTCATGTTTACAAAGTTTTAAAGTTATGCAAGTGAACAAAGTTTATGATGTATGTTAATAATAATGTGTAAACGTTTTTTATAAAATCTGTTTGAATAATTCTTATAAGGAACCTCACATTTCACAGGTTGGTTCTCTTCAGTGTATTAAAATGTAAACATTGTTCTGTGCCTTTTTTCTCCTCTTTCAGCAAATGCTTTCGAAATGCCCGTGGAAGGAGTACAAGTCCGACACAGGGAAGCCTTATTATTACAACTCTCAGACAAAAGAGTCCAGATGGACCAAACCCAAAGAGCTGGAGGATCTGGAAGGTAAAAAAAACAGCTTTCTGATGATGTCAGAGCTATTGTTAGAGAGACAGTGATTTTTCATCCATGTTCCCTTTGGGTGAACTTCTACAGTAACAGCATGGTCAACAACAGGTCACTGGCATTCAAACCTAATTAAGGCTCAGGGGGGATTTTAGCATCATTGACGTCCAAACACATCATGGCCTCTGCGGTGCATTTATTATCTTATCTGTGATAGGCTTTGAAATGATAACAAGTATCCTAACAGCTATCTCCTTTTCTCTATTCCAGCTATGATCAAAGCTGAGGAGAATGGGTAAGAGCCTCCTGTTTACCTTCAGTCACTCTGTACTGTTGCACTGTTTGTGATGAACAACACACCCAGTAGTTATTGAGAGTGATTTCTTCCTCCATTGTCTTTTCCATTTTTAATACCAGAGGTATTTTATTTTTAGGCAGTAACTAGTCGTGTACCAATGAGGTAACCTTTTCCCGGTATTCCTCTGCTCATGTGATGTGTTTTTGCTCTGTTGTGATGTGATTTTTAGAACGGCAGAGGCAGCAGCTCCTGGCACCACCGCAGCGCCAGCAGTGCAAGCAGATAATACAGCCACTATGGCAACAGTAATGGAGGCGGAAACTGCAACAGCAGTCCCGGAGGAGACACTGTCTCAGGCGGCCGCCCATCTCACAGCAGAGGCCAAGATTGCAGAAGCACCTGTGGCTTCCCTCGACAGCCCAGCCCCCATGGAGGTCACAGCCAGGTGAATCCTAACATCTGATACGGCGATGAGTACTGTCTCGTGATTATGGATAAGTCATACACATCACCCCAGATCCACAGAGTCATAATGACACTGTGGGTTTATGTTAGCTGTTGTTTTATTTTGTTTTGTCTACAACTTTATTTAGCAAAGTGAGAAATGCTCAGTGCCTCTAATCCCGAATGAAAACAGCTCATAACATCTTGGTTTTTTTTTCATCTTCAGTGCCGAAGTCACAAAGGAAGAACGGCCGGAGCTTCAAAAGAAAACTTACAAGTGGAACACAAAAGAGGAGGCCAAGCAGGCTTTCAAAGAGCTGCTGAAGGAGAAGGTGAGTCAAGCTGTTGAATGAGGTCAAGGTGGAACACAAAAGAGACCGTCTTATCTCTCCGTCTGCTGTACATGCTCTCATCACTTTGATTATTTGTCATTTGGCAGATCAGATACAAAGATAAAACACGGCTTGTTTAAGAACATTTGCCTGAACACAGATTAGACTCCATTAGTGTGCTTTTAGCGGTTTCCAGCATCATAAATACTGCACAGTGAGGAGGAGTGTAATGCTGTTACATTTGTTACTCTGTCAGTCCAAAACATTAGTCGTGCTAAGGCAGCTACAAAGACGGCAGGGATGACTGCTTCATCACTTTGAGTGGAGCTGGGTGTGTGTGGAGGATGTGCTGTGTGGAAAGGTACAGACACACTTTTCTAGATTGTCTATGAACTCCAGCTTTGATCAACAGCAGCTTTAGGAATTAGAAAAGCATTAATAGGATTTGTGCGTTGATAGAAGTCAGATTTAGCAAAGTAATCACAGCATGTGTCCTGATGATCTAGTTGTAAACAATTACACACAGAAATAGAGATTTTTTTTCATGTTTTAGGTTTAGTTTTCATCTGTCTCATCTACTCCCTGTTGACCCGCACACATCCTATGCAATTTGATCTGTATCTAATCCTTCCCCTCCTCTTGAGCCCCCGGGAGCCCTTGACACGATTGTTAAGCTTCACCTCCTGTTGTTGTGGACGTATAGTGCGAAACTGGTCTAGCACCACCCACCTTGAACGCGGCTATATTTAGGCTCTTTTTAATTTTGGTGCACAAAGCTCTCCTCTGAGATTGCTTGCCATTTCCAGCAAGATCTTAATGGCTCTGTCTTTATGATTAGCTTTATTGGATCAAAGGCACGAGGCTGGCAGGAATTAAGACAGTGAGAGAGAGAGGCATGCCTGAGTGAGTTAGAAGAACTGTGACAAGTGACAAGACAGAGGCACACGGTGGAATTAGTTCATAATGGATGATGGAGTCAGTCTCGGAGAGAGGCGAGTGGCTGAAAGGGCACTTACATAAGTCCTCCTCACTAGCACTTGTTTGAATTATTGCTACTCCACACCTCTTAACCCGGCATCTTTTAGTAATGAGGCGAATGTGTTGACTCCTGTGAGGCAAAGCAGCTGTTCCTCTTGCTTCTTACATATGAAAACAAAGCAATTAATTTTCCTCTGGGTGTTTGTTTTCAAAATAAGAATCCATCTTCTGTTTTTTTGGCTCAGCAGTACACACCCCTTTAATGTTTTCTTTGTTTCAGGGTGTGTCTTCAAACTCCTCTTGGGAGCAGGCCATGAAAATGATCATCAACGATCCTCGCTACAGGTACCCTTTTCTCCTCCCATTAGTTTATTATAGAGATTTGCACAGCAGGTGAAACCAATGCCACAACTGACACAATTTCGTCTGTGTTCAAGCGCCCTGCCCAAACTGAGTGAGAAGAAACAGGCGTTCAATGCTTACAAAGTCCAGACAGAGAAGGAGGAGAAAGAGGAGGCCAGAATCAAATACAAGGAGTCCAAAGAGACCTTTCAGAGGTTCTTGGAGAACCACGAGAAGATGACGTCTACCACCAGATACAAGTAAGAGCTGCAGCGATCTCACAGTGAAGTTCATTCAGCCCCATTTAATGATTGTTGCTTCCCTGTGTTGTCAATATGATTATGCAGATGGGATCAATGAAAGATAATCAATGGCTTGTAAACACGCGATCAGGCAGTTACAGCATTGTTGGTTTCAAGCAAAGCTACTCTGACCTGCTGATAGATGGTTGACTTAGTTTACCTGGAGGGTGAATTTGATCGTTGCTGCAGTTTACATTTAAATCACAATAAAAAGGACAGAAGAAGAGAAAGCAAACGAGGAGAAAACATGGTCAGACAGCAACAGGATGCAGACATAGTTCACTGTAGGAATGACAATAATAAAGTGTAGTCACATATGCAGTACTAACAGTGATTGAACTGTGTCAGAGTGGAAGCACATTATTAGTGAGCAATAACTGAATAACTTTTGTGTTCTGGTGATTATACATGACTTTAAACACACACTTATGATTGTTCTATTCTGCTGATTACTTCTGATTACTGCTCACTGCACCTTAGAGTGTAAATGTGGTCATGTAACAACAAAGCCTCACGCATATACACACAAATGATATGCTTTCAGGTGTGCTTGTTGAATAGTGTTCATTTTAACATGATGTTTCTAAGGTAACATGATGCATAAGAGAGCTTGATTGGGTCTGATTTTCCACCTTTATCCATTGTACTCTCAGTCATGTTTGTTTTTTTTTTACTTTATTTTTGTGTTTTAGTTTTTATCACAAACACACGGAAGAATAAGTAAACAGGGTCAATTCATGACAGACAGAATGTTTTCCAGCATATTATATTGAACGCTAACTACATTCAAAATAGGGCCCGACCAATATGGATTTTTTGGGGCCGATACCGATTACTAGGGAGGAAAAAATCTGATTACCGATTAATTGGCCGATTTTTAGAATTTTTTATGAAGTTTTAAAATTTTGTTAATTTAAGTAATATATCAAAATATTTACTTATTTTTTTTTTTTTACAAATTGCTGCTTTTGAGCCTTTCAAACGTTTCTGAATAACATTAACCTCAGTAATATTCCACGTATTTATCATGAATCAAAGTCGGACCAGAAAAGCGTTTTCAACACCGCCCGCTGATCGGTGCCTCCGCGTCTCAACTCACGTTACTCATTTCCGGTCCGGTCCGGAAATGAGTAACAAGACATGCAGCTGCCTCAGTAAGAGAAGTAATGTGTACTATTGTTTATTCTGCCGTTACTGGCACGGCCAAAAGTGTCGCAAGGCTAATAGCAGATGGCTAACTCTAACTTTAGCTTGCATGTTATATGGCGCTTCACCGATAACTTTGGCGTGACCGAGACCAGCACAGCGGAACATAGTGAAGTGGATTGAACTGAAACTTGTCGATTTATTGTGTATTTCACAAACTGGTTTATTTACCGTTGAGGCGGACCACTCTCCTCTGTGCGTCCCTGAGCTGCCTGCTTCAGATCCGTCACTCTGCTGTGCTGTGAGGTAGTTAGTGGATGAAGATTGTCATGAGGTCGCTGCCCCATCTACTCGATAAGTCGGGGAACTTTTCAAGTGGCGGAACATTTTCGAAGTGTAACCAAATCTTATTCTCAGCATTTTATTTTTGAAAATATCTGCGACAATCTGCGAGTTTTGGCCGATTACCGATTAGTCTCAAACAGGCTAAAATTGTCCGATAAATCGGCTCGCGGATAAATTGGTCGGGCCCTAATTCAAAATAAAATAAAACATGAATAAGAATTTGCAATATGGTTACAATAAGGTATGCAGATCAGTATTAGTCTCCATTAGTCAAGTCAAATTATGTCCCTTGACCGCTAAAGTCTCTTAGGATATTCCAGGACTGGTTTCTCTAGGAGCAGGAACATCACTTTGGGTGGCATTATGATTTCCAGTTTTTCCAGCAGCATATCTCAGAGATAATGTCAGTTGTTCCATCTTATGTATTTGTTGAATTATTTCCTTCCATTTGGTGATTGTTGGAGGTTCCTTATCTGTCATGTTTTAAAATAATTTTACCTATGAACACGGACAGAATCTGAGTGATGAACAGCATCTACTTCTCACAACTACGATTTGCACACACAGTGTTTTTATATCCTGCTGACATGTTTAAAAGAAGGCTTATACAATTACGCTTTTGTCAACAACATTGCGACTATTTCATCTTCATCTCCGGTCTTGCGTGACACATCCAGTATTAGACGCACTCTTCAGTTTCGCACTGTGGTGGAAGTCATCGTAGGGGACAGATGGGTCGACTGGTAACCTTCACAGAGTGCCAGTAAGAGTTCAGCTGGCACTGAGGTGGTTGTGATGACTGGGGCTCTAATCTGGGATGGCACAACAGGCAGTCAGACTTTGAACAAGCAGGACTGTCAAGTGTGTGTATCATCTTAAGTTTGATACCTGATTTCACTCCAGCTTTGAAGTCAGGAAAAAAAATAAAAATTACCAGAGCTAAATATGGGAGAAAACTGTCCTTCATGAAATCAGCTGCACTCTTTTTTGCCTTCTGCTAACACCTGAGGAGTTAAATTTGGAGTCTGGAGTGAAGGTGAATTTAATCTGTGAAATGCTGCCCTCATGTGGCTAACTGCCTGAACATATTCTCAGCACTAAATGTGTTTCAACTCCCAATCCAGGAAAGCAGAGCAGATGTTCAGTGAGCAGGAGGTGTGGAGCTGTGTACCAGAAAGAGACAGACTGGAGATCTACGAGGATGTTTTGTTCTACCTCGCCAAGAAAGAAAAGGTAAGACTTCGATTTATACAAAGTCATTCTACTTCAGCGGTTATCTGCCTCAAGCCTTCTTCTTCATTTAACGCTATTTCTTTCTTCAAACTGTTTCTAGGAACAAGCAAAGCAGCTGAGAAAGAGGAACTGGGAAGCTCTGAAGAATATCTTGGACAACATGGCCAACGTCACATACCGCACCACCTGGTCTGAGGCCCAGCAGTATCTTCTGGACAACCCAACATTTGCCGAGGATGAGGAACTGCAGAGTAAGAGCGCAGAAATCTCTGTTTACCTTCTTGATGTTTTCTGTCAACAACTTGAAGTTAAAATATCTACCTGCTGGCAGATATGGACAAAGAGGATGCCCTCATTTGTTTCGAGGAGCACATCCGGGCTCTGGAGAAGGAGGAGGAGGAGGAGAAACAGAAGACTCTTCTCAGGGAAAGGAGACGACAGCGCAAGAACAGAGAGGCTTTCCAGGTGAGAGGAACGAAACATGTTACGAATACTGAACTGACAAATAGTCAATTCAAGCTGTGAAAACATGGAGTTTTGTTTTTGCTTCCCTGATTGTGTATTTGTGTTCTTTTCCCCGCAGAAATTTCTGGACGAGCTCCACGACCACGGCCAGCTCCACTCCATGTCTGCGTGGATGGAGATGTACCCAACCCTGAGCTCAGACATCCGCTTCGCCAACATGCTGGGCCAGCCGGGTAGGACAGCAAGCTGGTGCACACGTGGCTTCACACGTCTGCAGAAGCACGTGGACACGACACGTAGACGACACATGACGTGAACACACAGATAAAATATACAAAGCAGAGGGTGTGAATACTGCATGAACCACATCAGGGCGCTGTTTGACCATCCTGTAACCCCTTCAGTTTTGTTGAGTTTGAGTTTACAGTCAGAGGTACAACTCCTGTTCAGATGTTTTCTCTCGCTCTTCTGTCTGCATAATTCAGGTTCAACTCCTCTGGATCTGTTTAAACTGTTTCTAGGAACAAGCAAAGCAGCTGAGAAAGAGGAACTGGGAAGCTCTGAAGAATATCTTGGACAACATGGCCAACGTCACATACCGCACCACCTGGTCTGACATCTCTCTCTGGAGGAAACAGATTATTTCACCGATCATATATTTGTTTCATTTCTTGTAAATATTTTTTTTTGATGGCTCTGACAGGACAAAGGATTTCTGGTGGAAGTCAACACCAGCTTTGACGATTTCGGATCAGTGATCAGCTCAGACAAGAGAGCCACCACACTGGATGCTGGAAACATCAAGCTTGCCTTCAACAGTGTAAGAGTTCCTCCTGTATATACCCGAGTCCTCACCAAACCTCATGACTCCTATACAGTTACACCTGATTATTGTCTGTCTTTTGTTGTGTCCAGGCCTCTTTACATTTGTGTTCATATTGTTACACCAGTTTAACCCTTCACTGACCCTTTTGTTTGTGTTAGTTGTTGGAAAAAGCAGAAGCCAGAGAGAGGGAGCGAGAGAAAGAGGAGGCAAGGAAGATGAAAAGGAAAGAGGCAGCTTTTAAAAACATGCTCAAGCAGGCAACACCACCCCTGGAGCCTGAGGCTACATGGGAAGGGGTAAGTCCTTCATGCACTCCATAGTATCAGCTGTTCTTAAAGCACTTCCCTGAATCGGTTTTCTCAGTACTGATGATTTACTGTCTACAAAATCAGGTCAGGGAGAGGTTCCTAAAAGAATCTGCGTTTGAAGATGTGACACTGGAGTCCGAGAGGAAACGGATATTCAAGGACTTCATGCATGTCTTGGAGGTAAGTCTTTTCATAGCAGGAGTAAAAAGGATGCAATACTGTGAAGAAAGGATGATGTGAACATGTGGTATCTACGGCCTTGACAGCATGAATGCCAGCATCACCACTCCAAGACTAAGAAGCACTCGAAGAAGTCCAAGAAGCACCACAGGAAACGATCCCGCTCTCGATCGGTCAGTGCTCTTCATAGATGTGCTTTTTAGACGATCTTTTTCTCCCACATTTCGACTCCGTATCACAGCTGGTCAATCCCTGAATCTCAATTTTGATTGTTTTGACAGGGCTCAGAGTCTGAGGAAGAAGAGTACCACAAGAAGAAGAAGAGGTCACAGTCCAAATCTCCCTCCGAACGCTCGTCCAGTGGAGAGTCTGGTGAGTGGCCGTTAAACCTCACATCAATCACTCATTATCAAAAATAAAAGAAAAACACAAGCAGTTCCGTGGATTCATACTGAGATCTCTTCCTGAAACCAGAGAGGAGCTATAAGAAATCCAAGAAACACAAGAAGAAGGGAAAGAAGAGACGCCACAAGTCTGTAAGTTCAGAGGATGAAGCCGTAATCCTTTTAATTTTTTAAATATCATCATCTTCATGTGCATGTGGTGTTTGGATATTTGCTCACTGATGGGGATATCCACACCCAGGCCTCACCAGACTCTGACAACGAGAAGAGAGGAAGAGAGCGCGACGGAAAGCGTGAAAAGGACCTAGAGAAAGATAAAGAGAACGACAAGTCGCGGGGGAAATCTCACTCAGACTCTAAACAGAAGTCCCCTAAAAGAAAAGCGGTTAAAGAGGAGGTGGGTTTTCTTTATGACTTCTTTTACAGACTTTTTCACGGCTGTTTAAAGTTCATGGAGACTCGAGCAGTGACAGCTCATTTGTTAACCCTGTTTATACGAGACCATTCACTCCTTGTGTTTTCTGTGTGGGGTTCAGGGCGGCTGGGATACGTCAGGCAGCGAGCTGAGCGAAGGAGAGCTGGAGAAGAGAAGAAGAACTTTGCTGGAGCAGCTGGATGCACCTTGAGGATAACACTTCTCCTAGTCTTTCAATGTGAATGTTAACTTCTGCAAACATCCAAATCATCTGGTTAAACCATCACAAACAGACTGTGTGCGGTCACACAAGTCTCTGGCGGCTACAAGACCGGTCACTCTGAGCTAACCCACTTATTTGGAGACTAATTTGATATCAGAGACTGATCGATCAGTAAATATCAGTTTTCAAACATCACTCGAATTTGTTGCTCTTGCTAGACGAGTACTTTTAGTTGACTGTAGTTGTACATGTTTTCCACTGCTTATTAATTTTTTATATTCAATTAAAGTGATTCATGTCAAATAGACTGACTTTCACATGGACAAGTAGCATGAAAAGAAAAAGGGTTCCTTCATTCACTCATTCAGAGGAAGTTAAACCATTTTTTTCAACTAATTTAACTGCAGCTTTGTTCAGGAGAAATAATCAGAAAGGTTTCTGGTGGGAGCAGTTGATGATATGGACAATGTAGTGTAATGTAATAAACTATTGTTTGAATGAGCGGTGTCTGAAATTGATTATTTAAGAAGACAGAGACAAAAAATTTGATCAGTTCTTCGTTATTTTAGATGTCATCCAAAACTGACAGACTGAAGGGCCTCCTTTGGTAAAATTTGAGCACATTGGCACCACAGTTGGCCTTTTAAAGTCCCACTCCGATCGTTTTTTTTAATACTTTTTAACTGTTGTTTTCGTTGACAAAAATATTTTGTCAACACCCCATTTTTCCACGACGAAGACGTGACATTTATGAGCTAAACATAAGTCTTAGATGACAAAAATGTGGCGAGACAAATGTGCGTTTACGTTGACGAGACTAGATGAAAACGCTAGTGGTGGACGATACAGAGTTGCAAAATTCATGTGCATATAGTCAGTCAAACGCTAAACATGTATTCAACAGTGTTGTTTTTGTTGACGATGACGAAATGTTTTCGTCAACATCGTCAACGAAAACAACACTGCTACTTAAAGTGTTATCAGTGGTCTTTAAGTTGTGATTATGACGTTTTTAGCCCAAATCTCATTACCTGTGTCATTTTCAAGGGCTTTTCTTCTGCAGAGCTCCAGTAGCTCATTAGCAATTCACCTCTGAGTTGTGGACGGAGACAGCGCAGCTCTTCACACTTCTCTTCAGGCTAACTTGTAACCTAATTTTGCTGGTGAAGTAAAAGAAGCAGGTAACACAGGAGCTACTCAGCTCTCAGACACTTGTGTCTTTGGGAACATGATGAAAGGTAATATAACTAGCTTCTTTAGGAGTATTGCAATCCGCTACCGCACACTCTTGTTCCACGATCGTCCTATTTCTCTGAGCTTGGCCTGCATCGCTGGGCTGTGGGGGCGGAGCTTCAAATTGTGACGTAGGAAATCTCACTGGTCTAAACTACAGACTGTAGTCTATGATCTGAACCTGCCATTTGGGTCTGCCAACGATTCATAGCGATTTGAATGCAGGAATACTCAGAGAAGCAATTTCACACTTGGTTTTCTCGATTTGTCCTGTAGCATCAGAAAAATGCGGTATTAACATTTTAAAAAACAAGAAATACTGAATTTTCATCAGAGTGAGTCTTTTAAGGCCTCACCATAAACTGAACAGTGACCTCCTGCACCGAAGATTTTTCAAACCGAAAACCTGAAAACCACTCTCAACATAATGCATTTACAAGTGTGTGTTAAAAAGGACAAACTCTGTTTTTATTCAATGTAAATAGTTTATTCATTCATATTCATTGAAAATCTCATATCACCTAATTAAAGAAAAGCTTGTTATTTTGTAATAAGCACAAACTGCCTAAAATACATTTTCTGGTGAACATAAAAACATGCCAGTATTATCCAGTTAGAGATGTCACTATCACAGAAAAAGGAGATGAACGGCAGCATGTGCTTCAGTGGAGATGATTATGATGATAACAGGAGGGTGTGTCAGTGTGCTCCAAAACCAGCCAACCACAGGTTTGTGATGTTGTTGACTCTGTCAGAGTTTGACTTTGCTCAAATGTACCACGGTTGCAAATCAGAATTTGATGCGTGCTAATGTACCTGGCTCTGAGGCTTCGTGACACACCTGCATGCAAATTCAGTGACCTGCTGCCTCCTGCATGAGAGTGAGACGGTCTGATTGAACACACGGCTGTGGAGAGTCTGGCTGCATTTGGCTTCATTAAATATACAAAACATAAAAATGGAAACAAAACTATAAGTTAAAATAACATTCAAGTTGTATAGCACAAGGCAATGAAAACTTTTGTTTAAACAATATGTACAATATTAACCATCTGGAAATGTGAGTAAAGTAAAAAAAAAAAAAAGGAAAAATGGTTTGTAGCAAAATATCTGTACATTTAGGAAAGTTTTTTTGTCTTCTGCATTTTGTTTGACTATTTTTTTAAATTGACAATGACACAGAGATGTAAAACATGAGCTTCAAGGAATCCTCAGTGGTTAAATACTATACATAAAAATTACAATAAAGTGAGTAGACACAGAAACCTGGAATATTATCTCTAATAATCACAGTTAGCAGAGATGAAATGTGAAGTTCTTTCCAGTTTGAGTTATGAGATCCTCAGGTCAGCTTAGCTTTGTTAGAGTTTCTACATTTGGTTGAAAATTGTTGAAGCCCTGAGCAGAGATGCATGCAAACATGTTATTTACTCTGTTTCCCTGTGATGAGTTACTGTCCTCAGATTCATTTATGACGTCTCATCAGATGAGACTTTTTTTGTGATTCAGCAACTCTGGAGTCTATTTTTGATCATCAGATGAACATGAGGTCTTCAAAGATTCACTTTCTCCTGCAGGATTATGTCATAAATAAAATGACAGATGCATGTCTGCGGAGGGCTTCAGTAGAAAATGCATTTAAGATGCTTTTTGACTTTTCCCAGAAACCAAACTTAATTCTTCTCTGTTACTGAAATGCATCGTTTTGAACAGACAGTAGATTTTTATTTAAGGAGGCAGCCTAGTTAGAAGGATTAGGAGCAACAAGTTCAGTAACTTATGAGAGATCTTTTATACACAGTTCACATTTTACTTTTTTTTGTTCTCCAAAACAAATCACTTAAAATGTTCTTTCTCTTCAGTCTTCATAACCCTTATACTTTCTTGAGTACAAATATAGTTTTTTAAAATCATTTTCTGATCACTTCTTCTTGTCTGATCATCAGCCCTTTTAGTAGAAGTTACGTAGAAGCCTCATGAGATGTAAAGCGAGGTGCAGTTTGAGCACATGTTTTCAGAGGAATGAGGAAGAGCGCTGGAATGTACTGAGACACATCGTGGTGTCAACGCAAACACTGACGGATGTTTTATGTGGAACAGCTACGGGGGGGAAGTCGTCCCATACATTCGACGTTATATTTCCGAGGAAGCATCTCTTCACGCGGCGTAAGGCCACTGCGAGTCCAGTTGAACACATCGTACAAATTAAAGCCAGGTCAACTCGTATTGCTTCAAAGTGGGAGTATAAAAAACAGTCATCATCAGACAAACAGGAGACAGAGTGAGGTTCACCCACAGAAAAGGAGTTCAGGCACTTAGCTCGTCGAAGGTTTCTGAATCAACCTTTCAGACACTTCAAATCCAGTCCCATACATGTCCCAGTCCTTCACATGAAACTGCTACTGTACCACAGACATGGAATAACTCGTATTCTTATGTAATATATATACATATCATCTCTACGGTTGCTACAACACTCATCATCATCTCTCTCATCATTCTTCACTCTGCTTTTCACTTCCTCTCCTTCCTTCCTTCCTTCCTTTGACACCACACATCCTCTCAGCCTCGCCCCTCCAGCACATACGGTTTCCCTCGTCACACGACCACTTCGCCGTTGTTCCCAGGCCGCAGGTTCTGATCATCAAAGCGTCTCCTGACACTCCTCCGCACAGCATCGGCTCGCCTGTAAGGCTGATTCCTCAAATCTGAGAGGGATTGGATTGAGGGGATTGAGAGGGAGGGGGATAAAAGATCTGTCAGTCATCTTGTCGGGATGTTTCTGATGAGCCCACATGCTCAGAGTGCTGGCAGCCTGTCTATCAAAGCAGCGTGAGATCCACACAGAAAGAAAAAAACCCTCGTAGGTCAGCTGTCTGGATGTTATGACTCAAAAGCCTCTGTCAGAAATCAAGAAATTCTTTGATGCATCGTGTAAAAACAAAATGCATCTTCCTCAAAAGTGAGGGAAAAACTACTGTAGCTGTTTCTCAATCAGTAGAAATAAACAGAGGGTAAGATGGTGGTGATTCAAAGAGAGAAAAACAAAAGAAAGGGAGGTAATAAAGAGATGCTTGCCAGGTTTGGGACACATCCACCACTACAGGGGTGCTACTGGAGGAGTTCCTTACCCTCGAGTGGACATTGGGAAATTTAGTAATGTTATTCTTCTTTAGGGCTAGATGAAAAGAAGACAAAATGGAGGTTAAAACTGCAGGAGGAGGAGGAGGAGGTCAAACATGTCAGCCTTTGACATTCACACTGGCTTGCACTGCAGGAGCGAAGCAGAGTGGCAGGAGGCTGCATGAGGGGAAGGAGGCTCTGGCAGGAGAGGGCATGAGAGGGGACAGAGCTGGAGGATGTTAACTGAGGAGGATGGAAGCTGATTTAGAGCTATGAACAGATGTAAAGATCGTTTTCTGTTATCAACTCAGTTTGCTTTGAAGAGCGGCTACCAGCAGCACAGAAGAAGAGCCCGTTTTTAAAAAGTCCAACACACAGAACTGAAATGAACCAACATGGGAGCATTGTTACACTCAGCAGCACCAGGACCAAAAACCAAACAAAGCATGCATGCGGCTGAGAAACACTTGATGAAGTCGATGAAGACAAGGCAGGTGCAGTGAAAAAAGAGTGATAACATGTTAGTGGCACACAGAGCATGCGACCGCAGAGAGTGAGACAGACTGCTGTGATGTAAACATTGATTATATGTGGACATATGCGGGTCATGATGAAAGAGAGGCGACCTGTCAGCAGAAGCAAGCACAGCGTTATGAGCCGACTGGGAAGGCAGGCATGCGCTGTGGGAAGGTGGGTGGCATCGAGCAACAAGCGTTTAGCATGCGAGGAGCAGCCGTGGTGATGTGACGATAATAACAGACATTCACTTTCACATGAAACACTGATCAAAAAACACTGAGAAGCAAGTTATAATGCCACAGACACAGAGACAATGATGACATTAGTCACATCTGCCATGTAGACAATGTTTTTCAGCGTTTCTGTTGACACAAAACAGTCAAGATCAAGTCCAGCTGAACCAAACCAGAACTTTTAACTCCGGTTGTGTTCTATAAGTCACCACTAGATGGCAGCTCAGCTTTTCACCTCCGGGAAAAAGGCTTCACCAGTTAGAGTCTGACGGTTTCCTCTGTGACATTATGTTTTGCTGTGGTTGATACAAATTATGATGATAAATGAGGGTGTCACACTTCATGCAGGTGAGGGGAGAAAATCATTATCCCCGACACCAAGTCATGCTCAGGAGAGGGAGAGGAAAAAAAAAAAAAAAAAACAATCAGTGTGTGTCTCAGGGTCCAAAGTGTGAGGTTCAAATGTGTGAGTTCAGAGAGGAGGAGTGTGAAGAGACATGCAGAGGATGGAGGAGAGGAAAAATAAGGAAGAGTAGGTTTTATTTCAGCAACCTGAGAGAAGAGAGACAGTTCTATAAGCTTAGTAATGGTACTCCTCATTGAGGGCGGGCTCGCAGAAGAACCGAGAGCCGCGCTTGGCTGTGCGGGCGGTAAACGGCACGGTCTTCAGCACTGCATTGAAAACGACAAGGACAACAGCCAGAACAAGACAGAGACAGAGACAATTTCAGAAAAAAGCAGACTTCTACAGGGGTTAGGCACCGGTTAGCAGTCAGCAAATACCCGACAACAGGACCAGGAGAGGCCAGGTTTTAGGCTCTGTGATGATGAACTTCATAACCCAGGGTTCTTGGTTTGAACATACCTCAGACATCTTATCTTTTTAAGAATACAGAGAGGGTATACTTCCTACAGAGATTGGAAACACATGCATATCCACAAAGAAATGCACCTTATCAAAGTACACCCAATCTTTGCTCTCATAGTTAATCTCTACTATCAGAGCTTGACTTTAATCTACAAATATCACCTTTTTTTATACATTCAGCTGTATCAGGTAACATTTTTAACACAACTGCTCTAGGTTTGAGGAGATCTAGAAACTGTCTTTATAATTTAGTAAGAGTGAAGTTTTTTCTGTTTCCTTATATTTTCTTTGTGTTTCATAAAATGTGGCCAGATTTTCTGAATGAAATACTGGTGACATAAAAGTGTCTGAACAATCGTGGCTTCATTAACTCACCTCACCGATAAACAGAGCGTAGATAGTATGAATTTGATACCGACTTCAACAAAAGGGCCGCATTGAGTCGAAAAAAATGGACATGTTGTACTGTTGTTGTGTTATATCATTAAACTACAACAAGTTCCTCAAAATTACACTGAGTGCAAAACTGTCATCAGATGATTTATCACCTTAAATTTATCTGTTAGCTATTTTTAATATATATTTACTCCCGCCCTTTGGTTATTTGTCACCATTAGAAACTATTTGACACCCGGCCTTGTCTCTGTAGAAACAGTGTTATAAAGCAAAGACAAAGCAGATAAGATAAGCCTTGATACACAGACAAATATAACCATGGATGTCATTAGATTAGCCACACTGTCAGTTCATCTTTGTCATTGTTAGCTTGAATTTTTCTGGAGCTTCAACGTCTCACTGTTGATTTTTAAAGAAGAGCCAGAGTCATTGTGTTAGTCGTTTAAGAGTCCCTTTGTTAATGACTAAATGTACAGCACCAAAGAGGACCTTCATGCACAGCGCCCTGGATGTGTGTGTGTGTGTGTGTGTGTGTGTGTGTGTGTGTGTGTGTGTGTGTGTGTGTGTGTGTGTGTGTGTGTGTGTGTGTGTGTGTGTGTGTGTGTGTGGTCAGAGGCTGTAACCAGGCCCAGGTGAGGTTACCCGTGATGATGTCCTCAATCGCTCCATCTTTGCCCTCGTAGACATGCCGGCTGTCTTTCACCTGTTTCCTCCTGAGCTCTTGGATCAGCTCCTGCTGCTGCCGCTTGTTCTTATGAGATGGAGACTGAGGAAGACACACACAAACAAATATGTTTTTCATCTATGTAGAAATTGTGGAAAGATTGTCATATCCGTTATTTCTTTGTTATTTCATGCTTCCCGTTCTTCCCGTTCGTATTTTTACACATATCCTTGAAGTTTGTGGATACAGGCCAGACAGAGCAGTACCAACAGAAACCGTGGGGGCAGTGTTGGTGCTGTCACTACCCAATATGCATCTCTAGAGAGAAACGAGGAAGACAAGACAAGACACGAGACAGCACAGAGTGACAATGACGATAATCGTCAACTCGCGAGGCATTTAGTGGCCTAACCGACCACCGCCTCCTCCAATGCTCCCTCCGTTTTTGTCTATGCAAAATATACATTAGCACTAGCTCCTCCACAGTCGCCATGTTTCTGTTTGTTTGTTGTTGTCAGAAACTTTTGACTCTGGCCTGCCCCCTGGTGGATGCAATGGTTAACATCTGCGCCAACGTAAAGGACGCATCTAAGTATGTGGGCAGTGACGGAACCATCGTTTGAAATGGACGCGTACATTTTCAAATGTATTGATAGAGGACTCACCTTCTGGTCTTCCTCCATCATGGCCTCCTGTTCCAGAAGTTTCTCCATCAGAAGCTGCTCCTGTCTCTTTCTCTGCTCGTTGTCTTCTTCCGCTTGCTGAGGAGGAAACACGTTCACAAAGTTACAGGCTGTAAAAACTAGAATCTAGAAACACGAGCTGTTGACTCTTTTTACTGTAATATATCATCATTTAGGAGCTCAAAGTCAAAGGTTTGCAAACTGAAGAGAACAAAGACAAAAGTGTTTCTGTTGAGCTCACCCTGTAAGCCTTCACAAATCTCACAAACACAGGGAAGAAGACAGAGGGCGGTGTTGTTTTGGCGTTTTCCCCAAAGAACTTCACCACCTCGTCAAAGGCGTCCTATCACAGACACACAGAACATTATTGATCATAAGACTCATCAATGTATCCCATCAGATTCAATAAAGTGAACAATCCACGCATGCTTGTGTTACCTGTGCAATCTTGGCGTCATCCTGCAGCTTCTTCAGCTTGCTCTCGTTGTGTGCGATGAACTCTTTGAGCATGGTGTTGTGGCCGTGCATGCTGTACTCTCTTTTGGTCAGCTCCATGCCTCTGTGCAGCTCTTTCACATCCAGCAGGACGTTTTCCAGCGACACTGTGAAGACCAGAGCATGTATGAGTGCAAATGAAACACCCACGCTAAAAAAAGAGAGCTGGACAGAAACACGACCCACCTGCTGCAGCTTTCTCCACATAATGCAGCTCGTTGTAGAAGAGAGCAACCTGGATGTATTTCTCCTTCACTACATTGGCGATGTAGTGTAACAACGTTAACTTCCTGTCTGTTGATTTGGTATCAAGTAGCTGGAAAGAAAGCGAAAGAAAATGCGTCAAAAATACATTCAAAAGTGTTAAAAATTAAAGTTGCAGACTTTTAGGGCAAGAGAGACTTTTTACCAAGTCTAAACTCTGCAGCTTGAATCCATACACAGCTCCTCTTTTGCTGCTGTTCATGTAGTTTCCGAGAGCCAAGATGATCTGCAGAACAATAATAATAATAACAATGCATCAGATTTCATATAGCGCTTTATCAGAGACCCTCAAAGCACTTTACATTGGATACATCATTCATTTCGCTCACACAGTCACAGTAATTTGCACTGATAACCTCTCCGACCACCACCAAACATCACTCACAATCATACACCAATGGAGGACACACACTGGGAGCAAAGTGGGTTAAATGTCTTGCCCAAGGACACAATGGACAGACTAGGAATAGGAGGGATATCGAACTGCCAACCGTCTGGTTACTAGACGACCGCTCTACCTCTGGAGCTACTGCCGCCCATAACAAGAAGGGACAGGAATGTAAAAAAGGAAACTAAGCTTTCAGTCCAGGCACTAATGATTGACTTACCTCTAAGATTTTCTTTAGTTTCTGTGAGGATTTGATTGACACGGATGCTGCAATGACTGCATGAAGTTGCTGCAGATAAGAAGAAAGAGAAGTTGAGACATTACTCTTACAATAAACATCTCTAGTTTCCTCTAGTTTGCAGAGCACAGCGTTACTCACAGGTGTGAGCATCTGCACGCTCTCGGTGAAGTTTCCGATGAAGGCCATGATGGTCATCTTCTGCATGAGCCGCTCGATTTTACTGAACTGCATCATGAAGCGGTCCTCGTCTGTCAGGCTCTCCAGCGGCTTACGCTCCTTCTCAAACTGTCGCAGGACTTTGATCTCGTTCTCTGTGGGCTGGAAGCGCATCAGACACTCCACAAAGTCCACAGGCAGAGTCCGCAGGTCAAATCTGAAGGATCCAGGAGGGTAGGGAGTCAATTATGACGACATTTATTTCAAATGAGTAGAGATTTGGTATAATGAGACATATTTGGTGTTTTATTTTGAAAGGGCTTACATTTGAATGGCCTTGCAGATCTCCTCAGAAGATTTGCCCACTTTCCTCAGAGTGATGGCAAGGTTTTTGGCTCGATTAGAGTCCAGTAGCGCCACCTTGTTGGGCCCTTTGTGAATGATTTTCTGCTTACTCATGCCGAGGTCAATTGCCGGACCCTGAGCTTTTGTTTTAAACATCTCTTCAAACTCATCCACGTTTAAATCCTGAGAGACAACAAGAGAGATTCTGTTAATGTCCTGTTGTCACTGACGTCACGCCAGCAGCCGGCTTAACCCTCCCCATCTCACCTCAAGTATCCTTTCATCATCAATCTCATTGAAGACAGTCCCGTTGATCTGGTTCGGTTTCAGGGCCACCCAGTTGAAGACGGGCATGCGGAACTTGGTCTTGATGGGTTTCTTGATCTTAACAGCTACACAGAAGGTCGAAGAGTTAGTGTGCCTTAACACTACCAGAGTACACATACAGTCATTCACTCATGCACAGGCAGATATGCGGGAGTGGTGACACAAATGGAAATGATCTCCTTCTTCACGTTGGTCATTTTTGATTCATTCTGACAGGAGGCTTCCCTCCTTAAGTGAGAACACAAAACTGCTCAGTCACTCTGTGAGCAGAGTACAGCCTGAGTCTGCCAGGAGATTAAAACAAATGTGGTATTCCTGCACAGTGAGCGGTACATATGGTGAGGATTTCCTCCCTGGTCCGGTGACAAACTATTTATCAGACAGATTATGTCTATTTGTGGCCACCTGGGCTGTTTCATTACAGCTGAACAGCAGAACGAGATCCTGCTTTGCTGCACAGACGACATGTCACCAGGTTCAGAGAGATAAGACTCGTGTGGGGAAGGTAAACAGCATTCCTGCCCTGCATTTAAGTATCACTTCATAGCATGTGCATGCCACAGCGGGTCACTGTGTCTCAATATGGAACCAACACTTTGAGGCGTGATGATTCTAGATGTATACAAAACAAACACACAGACACACTGACACCACGGCAGCAAGGTGTGAAGGAAAAACATGCAGAAGTTTGAAGTTTGGTATCTTCAAACTTTGCACAATCCCAGTCCCAGAGGAGGTTTAAACATGGTGTTAAATGTTGATAAAAGTCCATTTTGAAGGACTGCAAATCATTTCAAGACTTTTTGTTATTGGATACAGTGTAAAGACAACAAATCTGAGTCTCTGGAAGTAAACATGAGAAGAGGCTCACAACCTTGAGAGACTGTGTTAGGAGACTTTAGAGATCTCATCAATGACACAATATAATTAAAAGTTTCAGAGAACTTGGAAAGATCTGTACATAAGTGTTAGGCCAATAACCAACAATGGATGGGGTGTATTTGTCTGGTCCTCAGGAGTTAAAAACAGACATGACTCTGTAGTGGGAATCACTGCATGGGCTGCAAATTCCCTACCACAAACCATTATCTGTGAACACGGCTCATTGCAGATTAAACTGTATCATATAAAGAGGAAAACTACAGAACCAGGAGGTAACATGAATTTCTTTTTTTTTAATTCGCACGTGCGATTTAGTATCTCAAACATGCACTTTATACGTATCTCCAATGTGCGTTTTGTTTGTATCTTGCACATGCGTTTTTGTAAAAAATTCTCTGCGTGCCTCATTTGTGAGAGAAGAAGGACAGTATCATGGACAGAGAGCGTATATCAACATTTTCTTTCATTGAGGACATGTGTCAAAGAGATACCTAGCTTAGCCACATTTGGTATTGTTTTGAGTAGGAGACACCTCATCAGGATCCTTAAAGCACAGCGACTTTGCCGTCAGCGATATTCGGACTTGCACAAAGTGATTTTGTTTATCAACGAACAGTTAAATTGCACCTGCAGTATAAAACGCACATGCCAAATACTAAATTACACGTGCAAAAAAAAAAAAAAGTTAATGTCATCTCTCGGACTCCTTAGAAAACAGGTATAAACATGAGCTAGAAATGCTGGAGAACTCTCTGAGTCTGAGTCAAAATAAGACGGGCTGAGGTGAAGTCTTGTACTGTTGCTCAAGTATTAAGACTTGATCAGTTGGGCTCCTCAGTTCTGAAACAGCTACAGGGTTCTGTTAAAAGAGGAGGTGATGCAACAAAAATTATAAACATGACTCAGCCCAACTTTTAAAATAACCTGCTGACAGGATTGAATTTAAAAAGGGGATATTTTTTTCATAAAAAAAAATTAGACTATTTTCAATCAAATCATGGGTTTTGATGATTTGCAAACAATGAAAATGTATTTTCAATCAACATTTCACACAGTTTTGGAATTGGGATTGTACCTATTAAAGTCTGAAAATACCATTTTCAAAACTTGTTGTGGAGGAACAAAGTAGAGATAACAGGGTACAAGACACCGAACACGACAAGCAGAACCTACAGAAAAGTTTGATGGGTCCCTCTGGTTGGCAGAAAAGGAAAGAATCAAAGATAGATTAATAAAAGTTTGTCAGAGTTGGTAAGAAAGCTCACACATGCTCATCGCAAACACGTTTCAAAAGAAAATCAGCAATAAAGCATTTCCTAACTTAAAGGTTTCACGCTATTCTGAGTGGCTGCCTGACATACTAACATACACACGCATTCATTAGTGCAACAGGATTTTCAGTACATGACAGAATATCCAGAATTTTACAAGATGTTTAGTTTGGTTCCTGAAAAGAAATTGAGCAGGAAATGGCTTATTTAACTCTCCACATCAAATATATGAAGCCACCCCTCATGCTCGAGGGTTTTAACTGTAAAGAAGATGTAAAAAGTCTTGAAGCAGATTTCTATCAGAAAAGTTCTGATCACGGCAGCAGTCTGTTAACGGTTTGCCAGAAAAAAAGGCAGAAAGTTTTGTGATTCAAACCTCACAAAAACTACAAACAGGTTACAGGATCCTTTCTCAGCAAACTTACCTGCTAACCCAGAGTTCATGATGACAGTGGGTGTCCCACAGCCAGGCAGAGGAGGAGCTACGGGAGGAGGTGGAGGGGGCATGGGCGCTGAGACATCTGGCCCTGGTGGAGGAGGGGGAGGCGGTGGAGGGGGAGGTGGAGGAGGAGGAGGTGGGGGAGCTGCTGGTGCAGGAGGGGCTGATGATGGTCCATTTAACACTGAGAAAGGAGAGAAATGAAGGGATGATCAAAAAGATGATGCAGTGGTTAGCACCATGAATGTATATACATTTGATCCTGATGTTTTAAGTGGGTTAGACTGACTACTGGATGATAATAAGAGAGAATGACAACAGACTTTCAGGCATTTCAGTTTATTCACTCATTAATCAGACTGGTATTAAACCTACATGTGCCGTTCACAGGTAGCGGAGGAGGTGGAGGAGGTGGTGGAGGAGGAGCAGGGCCTCCTGCAACAACTCCCACATGATTTGGACCAACAGCTGCAGAGCCCACTGAGCCCTCCATGCCGAGAGACGGTGAGGGCAGGATGGAGATGTCTCCGTCTCCCTTCTTATGGATCTTGATGGTGCCTTGTCTCTCCAGCTCGTGAATCTTCTTCTCCAGTTTACTCTGACGCTGGATGGCTTCATCTTTCTCCTTCACCATCTGCCGAAGAGAGTGCACCTGCGAGCTGGTGTCTTTGTAGACTTCCTGTGTAGAGGACGAACACATGTGGGGGGCTGAATAGGATTTACATGAATAAAAAGTTTCCTAGTAAAGAGTATATGCTGTTTTAAACTCCCACCATTAGAGTGGAAATCAAATGACAGGAGAAAAATCACTTGTGGAGAGTTGTTCCGTGTATTTACATGGAGCAGTGAGTGTGTGAATGACAAGTGAAAAGAAGAAGAAGAAGATGAAGAGTCTGACCCTGATGGATTCCAGCTCCTTGTTCCTTTGCATCAGCTGCTTCTCCAGCTCCACAATCTTTGACATGGCCTCATTCTCCATGTCCAGCAGCTTCTCCGACATCTAAAAGAGCAACGGCCGAGTGGAGAAGATCACAAAGTGACCTGAGTGTATCGCCATGGCAACGCTAAACTCAGTCAATGATTTTAGTGTATTGAGATGTATGGTTGTGTTCTGAACCAGGAGATGTTTTATTGTTAAGATCATGAAAAATTCACCTCAGACATACTTCCACCAGCTTCCTGACATGCTGGATATTAATTCAAAGGTTTGTTCAAGTTCTGTGAACACTCGTATGATTGGTAAATTCACAAGTGTCTTACATGTGACATGTTCTCCTCCAGCTCCTCCACGCGCTCCAAAGCTGCATTTTTGGTCTCTGCATCCTCCAGAAGTGCCCCCACATCAAACACGTTATCCAAGTAGGCCTGGATCTGAACCTGCAGCTTGTCGCTCTCAGTGTGTTTTAGTTTCTGGAGAACATAAATGAAGACAGCAGTTAAAACTTTGATTTTTTGATCACTGTAGGAGGCGGACATCTCGTACTCTTCTGAAGGACAACATTGATCTGGTCTGCGCAGTAAAGCAGGAAAAGGGGGAATTACTGAAATTTTCTGAGGCAATGGAAAAGTCATTACTGACTCCCTTTGCATCACTGCAGTTTAAGGGGCGCTCCGATGGCAACCTCTGCTCTGAACAGAAGTGAACATTAAGAGAGGGAGTGTTTAGTCTGTCAGCATCATGCCTCAACTCACGTCTAAGTAGTCGTCCAGACACAGCTTGGTGAAGTCGAACTGTAGATGAACCCTGAAGTTCATGTCTTCCACTGAGTGCACGACGATGTTGATAAACTGCATACAGGCAACCTAAAGAAGAGCAGCATGAAATCAGTAAATGAGGATTCAATAACAGTGGAGGTTTCTCATTGTTTTCTGATCCCTTCATCAAAGTAGTTCAAAAGTAAAGAGCTGACAGTTTTACAGTTCACATGTTAACATACATGTGCTAAAGCCTGAAGTTTATTGACACATGTTTGAACTTCGGTTACTGTTTCCTCTAACATTATGAGTACTAACTCTGATTGTTGTGCTTGCTTGGCCTACAGAGAAGTTATTCTTTCATATCTTTTAAAAAAAAAATCTGTCGGTTTAGGTCTGTCAGCATCATATGAGCCTGCACACACAGTCAGAAGGGTCTCCACCCAGCATACTCGCACATATGAACAAACATATCTCCTCATCTTCACACTCACACTTCATGAACTTCTGGTAAGAAGCAGAGTTGTTGCTGTGACAAAGTCTGTCTGCTTTAGTGCCGCTCACACAGAGACAGCGGACGGGGCTGAAGGACTGTGAGATCTCATCATCTGTTACTTTCCACTTAAGTAGACTTAAAACATGGCCTATACCTGTTTTTAAAGGTGCTATATAAATGCAGTTATTATTATTATTTATGATTTATTATTATTATTATTATTATTACAGACTGCAGGTTGGATTTGAACCCACTAGGCTTCGGCCTCTGTCGAGGGGTCTAGCTAAACCAACCACTATGTGGCAAACCATTTCAACTGCTCATAGCTGAACTGGAACCACATTACACAGATCTTTAATTCAGTCACTCATAATGAGTATTTCAGATGCTTACAATGGTGCTCTATCACTTTTACCATCAGTGTTTTCTGTGAATCTAAATTTACTTTTTTCCTATCCAGAAAAAAAACAAAAAAACATTTTTAACATCTGCTTTTGAAACTCCATTTCCAGTTACCTCTAGTCATTCAAGGTATGCATATTGCAATTTATTTACCCAAAGTGCACCACGACTGGTAAAAATGTCATAGCAGACATCCATATTTGGCATTGTGAAAACTAAAATACAAGTTCAGATACCTACACACAGAACAATGACTTTCAACAATGACATTACAGGTATATGAAAATGACTGTTAGGATTTATTACTTCTTATTCGGCGTCGGTTTCACTGTATCTCCTGTCTCTGAGGGAAAATTTATGCTGCTTAAGGACAGATTTGGCAAAGATAGCTTTTTGAGAGTGTATAGTACGGCTGGAAGGAAAAATCTCTCTGTAGATTTTTTAAGGCCTCTGTCCTGTCATTTTTGGCTTCATTAGGTTGGACAGCTACAGAGAGACAAGGAACATGGAGCGCAGAGAGCGAAGGATGACTTGCAGCGTCCACCACAGATTTCACTTGATCCAACCAGGTACAAGCTGAGTCATGTTTTGATTCCATTACATGTGAGTCTGTGTAACCCAGAGGTAACAGTGAGCCCTCATTGCCACTCCTGAAAGCCTGACAGGGATTATTTGTCAAAAACAGCTTTCACTCTTTCAGCTTACAACTTTTTTAGAAGTAATTTACAGGGTTTGGGGGGTTTTTGAGGGATTTCAGAGGGATCAATAACTCATTACTTTGTGAGTTCTTGTGTATTTGTGAGCGTGAGTGTGTGTGAGGTAACACACCATGAAGTCGATGTTGTTGTCTTCATTCTTGAAATACTCCATAAGCCTCTCAAACCTCTGCGTCTCCACACACACCTGTAAAACAAACCACATCTCCTTCATATTAGAAAGCACCGTGCAGTGATTTATGCAATCCATTTTAGTAGGGACATTTCATGACATCTCTGTTAATATAAGGGGTGTCCCAATACAACTTTTTTTGCCGATATTGTAGCCTTCAGTATTGGCCAATACCAAATATTAATCTGATATTGGCACAAACTTGTGCGCGACAAGTCTTGTACTCATCTGCAATGTCTTTTTTGGACTTAAACAAAAAATACTGCCACACAGCAAACATCACTCCTACTCCTTGCTACTTTGTTAGTACCTTAGTACAGACTGTTGTTGTGATCACGTGTAATCTACATGCTGCTAGATAGAGGTGCTGGAGCGGAGTCTGAAACAGACTGCTTGTACTGGAGTGCTGTTATCAAAGATTTTAGATGCAGGCCAATGTAATCCGATATTCATTTTTTTGCTGGTATCGATATCAACATCGTATCTGGACACTAGGATAAGTGTTAAAATTCAGTTATCAACACTTTTTAGTGAAGATGAAAAGTAGCTGATGAAGGCTGCAGTAAGCTCACAGCTTCCTAAAACCTGAGAGAAAGTAAGAGCAGATCCCAAAGTGATAATCACTATAATCAGTTCCTCATGTAGCGCTGCTGAATGAATCTTCAGTTTTATATAAGGCAGCCTGAGAGCATCTATGTTCAGTGGTACTTGTGGGTTTTTTTGCCTACCGCTGAAACCTCTTTTGAACTTAAGTTAAGTAGGCAGAAAAGAAGAGAGACAGAGAAATAACAAGAGGAGGAGAAGGAGGAGGAGGAGGAGAGAGGGGAGATGCTCTGCAGTTCAGACAGTTCAACCAGAGGTCAATGAGGGAGATGGAGCATGATGAAGAAGAAAAAACAGGAGGGGTGTGTACCCAGAAAACCCTGAGTAATGCTTCTTCCAGTCTCAGCACTGCAGCACTAACTATGAAGGTTCATCATCAAACCTGCATTTAAAAGCTGAAATAACAAAAATGAACCGCCTGAATCGACTTTTATAACTCTGATAACACTGTGTCCTCACTCTCATGACACCTGCTTTATCTCATTATGTCCTCCCTAATCCTGATTTTCCCCCAGCTAATGCCAATGCTACTGAGAACAACACTCAATATTTCATTCAGGGGTGTAAATATTGCATTAACTGCAGTCGGCCCATTTTTTCGAGCCGTATGCTACAAAGTGGGGCTGCTTTTGCGCCCACTCCTTTACAAGCCTCCCACACTTTTTTCACTTCGGCAGCCAGGACTCCTGACCCAGACAGGAGAAGGGTCAAGCAAGCCTGTCTGTTACATCTTTCTCTCTCTGCTGTACCGAGCTTTTCAAGTGTCAGCCAAATCCAGTTAACACACACCTAACTGTATGCTCCCCTGTGTTATTCAGCCACACACCGCTGATGCCTGTAATCTGTGTACAAAATAGCTCATTCCTGCTTTTCCGTGTGCAGAAATGAAGAATCTGCAAGTCTCACATCTGCTGGAGGAGAGGAAGGGGGGCATTCCTGCAGGGCTGAGTCAGTGTTTGAAATTGCACAGTTAAAATGTAATGACATATTCGTCTCCTCAGAGCTGCACTTCTACCCTCATACCTCCTTAAAGTTGTCGAACGCAGAGAGAATAATTTCATGGCCTCCTCTCACGAGACAAACTGCCGCCAGGAGCTCCAGGACCAGAGCTTTCGTCCTATAAAGCAGGGAGAAAACAAAGAGAAGGATTGTTGGTGAATGAGAGGTGATAGTGCTGCAGTAAACCTGCGGTTCAAGACCGAGCAAACAAAGTCCAGGGCGGTGTACTTCAAGACCTTTTAAAGACCTTTTCTAAGACCTTAGTGTGGAATGTAGGGATGCACCGAGCCGGTATTTGGATCAGATATCTGCTCCAATATTGACAAATTAATTGGATCGGATATCTGATGAATGACACCGATCCAGTGTTCCAATCCAGTCTTTTTTTTCTTTTAATTAAAATCATACACAGCAACACAGTGATTCTGTTTGCTCTATATTCTATGTCTGTCTATCCTTTTGCACTAAATGTTTACATGGAAGTCTTACTTCTTTTTGCTGTGTGCTAATGTGCAAGTTGTTATTTGTTAATAAATAATATTAAGTAAATTTACATCTGTGTTGAGTCGTTACCTAATTTGTTACCTTTTTTTGTAACAAAGCTAATGTTAAACCTGATGTCTTCACTCATAGGGCAAGGTATACAGTTCATTCACTAAACAGTAGTATTGGATCGATATTGGATATGTGCCGATACGCTCAGCCCAGGTATCGGTATCGGATTTGATCGGAAAAAATGGATTGGTGCATCTCTAGTGGAATGGATGACATTGTATTTGCTGCGATGAGAAAAGCGATCGGAGTGTGTTTGTCCATTAGAAAATTAGTAAGAAGTACCAAAACATCCTCAAGGACCTGAAGTTTTGCCTAAAATAACCCAAAGAAAAGTTGAGTAATTATATAACCCGGACAGGAAAATAGCTCCTCATTTTTATCTCCACTGGATTGAAAGTAAAGGATATAAAAATGACCCTATCCCTCTGTGCATGTGTGTGTGTGTGTGTTCTGAGCGTCCCATCTCCAGTTCATTCATGCAGGATTGCTCCGCCTGGACGAGACGATATGTGACAGGTGATGCGGAGTGGTTTCACATCAACTTTTGAGGAAATCCTTGAGCCTTTGGGGCATCAAGTGAAAGTGAACGCTTCTGGTGGCTGTCTCAGTGAGCAGCTGCCAGTGCGGTGGAGTGTGCCGGCGGTGCCCTGACCCGTCTGTGAGGATGAATGTGCCCCTGAGTTACAAAGACACTCAGTCTGGATCAGACTGTGCTGATGCACTGAACCTAATGCTGGACTCTGGATGTTTCATTATTGGTTTGAGTCTCTGTTGGTAAAATATAGGCGCTGAGTCTTAAAGATCTGAACTGAATCTTTGTCTTTGTCTTTTCGGTCTCTCTTTGTTTGCAAAGAGCGTGTCCATCGAGATCTATCAGAAGAATGAGTAATTCTTGATTCAACTTACCTCGGGTTTTTGTTGTTTAGACTTAGTGCAATTTCATTCACAGCGTGTGGGTGTGACATGACCATGTTGAAGCCATACTGCAGGGTTAAAAACAAACGACAGGGACAGAGAGACAGAGACAAATAAGCTAATTAAGAAAGAAGAGGAGCCAATCCTCTGCATAATAAATGAAACAAGCAGGGGAACAAATTGAATTTGGCCTCAGTTAGATAAATGTGTTTCAGTCCAGAGGGACAGTCAGTGTGTGGACGTCTTCAGGAGGAGAGCAGAGGGCTGACCTGGTAGTTCATGATCGCTCGCAGACACATGATGCAGACATGGACATCATCTTTCTTGGAGACCAGTCTGGAGTTTTTCAGAGTTCTTCGGCTCGGCAGTGTGTTGCACCTAAAAACACAATATGGACAGAAAAAAAAATCAGGGATATCTGAGTCTCTAAGCATCTAAACACAAACACTTAAAGCTTGGATAAATACCAAAACAGATGCCTCCATCTAAACTCCCTCTCTCTCACACACACAGGGAAGCCATTAAACTGCCACAGCACATTACATTAACACTTACAAAGGCCATATAATTTACAGCTGTGCCAGCACCCACAGGATGCCCTCTTTCAATTGTTTTAATTTTATGTCCTTTTCAAAGATATCACTTACAGCCACTACAATAGCAGCTACTCATTTGCATGCAGCGCAGTGATTGTGCAGCGTTACGTGAACAAAACCAAGGCCCGTTTCCCTCCCGCTGGAGCGCCACAATAACACAGAAACGCTGAATAATACGCAGAACCAGTCAGAGGAAAAAAACAGCTTTTTTTTTCAGACTTTTGTCACGAGGCTCCATTACCAGCCGGAGATCTGGGGGAAAAAAACGTGTCTTCAGGGTACTGATAGATACGCTGATATGTGTCAGCTCCGGAGCCTGTAGGCATGACTCCTCCCTGAGTCACAACATGCTGTGTGTGTCTGTGTGCGTGTGCGTCTGTGTGTGTTTGTCTTAACAAGGCCACAGATTTCAAGAAAAAAGAGCGAGGCTGTTTTCAATAAAAAGAAAGATTGTTTTTTTTTTTTTATCACACAAACGGTGAAGATAATCTTGTGAAGAGCTCATCCTTCCTGACTAATCCTCACACAAACTAAGGCGTGGCGCTTTAAGGTGGAAGTGAGCATGAACATTTCTTAATCTCACATCGAGGGGATGATAAACGATTATGCAACACCAGTTTAATGTGCTGTCTTCACCTGCTTTGACTTGTCTGGGATTACTCAACCAAACTTTAAAGAACAAATTACGTACAATACTCTTGGACCAAATGGCTTGTCAGGATGAGATAAAAAGTAAGAAGGTTTAGAGCTTAATTGTTTGAAGTAAAACCAAAACATTTATGTGTTTGAGTGAAGTGGATTTACTCTCACAGAGGAGGGGGAATCTGGATCTGGATCTAAAACTATCAATGCAAAAAAACTACACTGAGTGAGTTCTACAAAAACAACATAAACCACTACATCTATAACTACATCTAACATAGATATGTGTGTCTCTAGCGAACTCTTTGAAGCTCTTCAGACGTACCGGTTTATTTTGGAGCACTTTGGACAGCTTACAGTGCTCTGCGTCCTTCAGGTTGGCCATTTAAAAGAACACAAATCTGAATTTAACACCCAAACGTTGCAGATCTGACATTATTTTACTCTATAGAGATGTTTACATGGACAAAGAAAAAGGTTCTGTATAATGGACATTTCATCCAGCAACAATAGATCAAATACTTCACAGTAATGTGACATCTTTTAAAACAGAAAAAGCATCCAAAATACAGAAGATTTTTTTGCTACCTAATGTTATCTGTCCTCACTGGTCTAGCAACAAGGCTTCACCGTAACAGAGCTTTTGTAGAAACTAGGCTAGCTTCTGCGAAGAATGGCATTTAGGAAGCCACACAAGCAGCACACAGGCACAGAGGCGAGGACAATGAGCACAGAAAAACCATTTGCTCTGAGGGGAAGGAGAATTCAGTCTCGGGGCGCAGGAGGGGAGGCTGGCTGTACAAATAATTCACATCCCCAACACAGACAGCGAGACAAATAAACTGGGCAGCGCTAGCAGGGACCTATAAAGTACGATGAGCTGGGGGGGTTGATTATTTGAATATGTGTGTGTGTGTGTGTGTGTGTTGGACGGGAGCAGGGATGCAGGGTCAGGGCTGCAAGAGTGTGAGCGGGCTGAGTGAACCTGAGACCTGCCTGCTGTCGAGGACTGGCAGACAGAGGAGCAGATGACTATGGAGGAACAAAAAAGACAGTCAGCCTCACTGGAGACACTTCTGACCCTTTTTACCAACTCGACATGTTCTAAACCTGTGAAGGCAGCAGACAGGTACATGTCCACAGTGAGCCGTGGAATATCAGTTACACTAAAGGCTCATTTATGCTCAGCGTTAAATACGGATCCGGATACAGACACAACTCTCTGTACCTGCTTCATGTTCTTTTCATCTGTATTTCTGCACGTAACCTTGAAGTTTACAGATACGGGCCAGGCAGAGCAATACCACTGGAAACCATGGGGGTAGTGTTACTGCTGTCACTACTACTCAATACGCATCTCTAGAGAGAAACAAGGAAGGCAATGGTGGGGCTTTTTGAGGATCATCATTATCAATTTCTCTCAACGAGAAAAGAATTCTCCGTCCACCAACTGAGAGGCATTTAGTGACCTGACTGACCACCGCCTCCTCCAACGCTGCCGCCGTTTCTCTCTCCTATGCAAAAGTATACATTATCATGAACTCCTCCACAGTCGCCATGTTTCTTTTTGTTTGTTTTTGTCAGAAACTTTGGACTCCGGCCTGCCCCCTGGTGGATACAATGGATAACATCCATGCCAACATACAGGACTGATTAAAGTAATGTGGGCAGTGACGGAACCATTGTTTGAAACGAACGCGTACATTTTTATACATACGGCGAGCATAAATGAGCCTTTAAACTGCGCTAACATTGACTCATATTGAGCAATGATACTTTTACTGGTTCTCCATGTAGTCTTACTGGTCCTTTTGAGAAAACTAAGGGACAGGACTGCACAGACTCTGCAGAGGAATGATGGGGAGGATTAGAGAAATAATACACAACTGAATGGGATTTGTGCTGCAGAGCATATATTAGCATGAGCTTATGAATTAACTGCTGTGAAATCCCCGGCAGACTGGATTTGGAGCTAAACTGGTTTATTTTGTGTTCATGAAAACAAAACTATGAAACAGGATTTGCTCTATAAAAGGGGATTTTTCCTTCTGCTGCAGCGTCTGTCACATGAAACACTGCTGTCAGTCTCTTTCTTTATAACAAGCAAAACAGGAATCTCACAATAAAAGTTGACCAAGACAAAGCTGTTCAGAGTCTTACAGACCTCATGACTACATGAAGGGGCTGCAGAGGCATCATATGAAGTGTGTGACTTCTGAAAATAATCATAATATGACCGCACTGCTCTGGCTTAACTCTCAGCGACAGAGAGGAAAAAAGAGGCTTAAAGGAAAGAGTCTAAAGTCATGAATCACACAAAGACACATTATAAACCGTGAATCATTTCAGCCGTCAGTAAGTGCATGTGTGGGGATTGTACCGTAACGTGGAATGTCGTCCAGCACGTGTGATGCCATTCCCCGTGATGGGAGACGGCAAAGTGCTTCCTCCATGCAGGTCCTCTATAGAGCGGCTCCAGGGTTTGGACTTATCCATCCCAGCATCAGGGTTGTTCTCCAAAAGGTCTCCATCAAACCTAGAGCACCAAAGGAACAAGAAAAACAAGAGATTTCAACAACAACAACAGAAGTCAACAACAAATATGTATTATTCTAAGCTTGGTTAATAATGGGGTCATTCTGATATGGCAGAAAGTCATGCTGGTATGTGTTGTGTTACATTATAAACCTCAAAAATGTCAAATATCTCAGAGTTACTAAAGGTCTGCAGAGGGCAAATTCCTCTGCAGGTGAGCTGACAGTCTCAGGAAAGTGTTTGGCATCAGAGCGAGCGTGCTTTGCTCTGAACAGTTATGCTAGTTATGAGCTTTCCTAACCAGCTGTGTTGCATTTTTATCACCAAAGAGATACACCGAGTGAAAGTAACAACTGAAACATAATCCCAAAAGTGAGACTGGATAAAATACTTGATCTCAAATGTGGCTCTAAAAAAACATGCCAACTCTCCGACTTGAGCCAAGCGTACCAGCTTATTATGTAGCACTTAAAGGGATATTCTGGCATAAATTTAAGTTATGGTTAAACACACCGTAACACCAAGTTAGACATCCCCTTTAGAGATGAATGTTGCCAACTACTTGCTTCTCTAGTTATCAACTTTAGTAACAACCACACGATAGCAATACACAGTGGTCTACGTCTCCACGCGCAAACCTTAACCAAACAGCCACTCTGTAGCCACAAATAATGCTCAGAACAGCACCTAACTTCATCAACAGTACATGCAGGATCCCAGCCATAGTACTAGCCATCAACCATCTTTTTAGCTTTGCCTGATTTCTTTAGCAAAGAGACTAAACACAACTCACCTACTCTTTTCCAGCAGCCACTTGATTGTTGGGGAGCCCTGACGAGTTGATTACCGAGTACAGTGGAGTTTCACAGCTCAAGGAAGAACATTTATGATAATTACTTCATGGAAATGCAATCAGACCGAGACGCTAAGGCAGAAGAACTACCGCGTCAGCAGTGCAAAATGATTATTATGATGATTACTTCAAGGAAATGATCTGCTGCATTCGGAAAACGACTCATCAGGGCTCCCCCACAATCAAGCGGCTGCTGGAGGAGAGTAGGTGAGTTGTGTTTAGTCTCTCTGCTAAAGAAATCAGGCAAAGTTAAAAAGATATTTGATGGCTAGTACTATGGCTGGGACCCTGTATGTACTATTGATGAAGTTAGGTGCTATTCTGAGCATTATTTATGGCTATAGAGTGGGGTTTTGGTTGAGGTTTTTGCATAGAGACATAGACCACTGTACATTGCTATTGTGTGGTCGTTATTAAAGTTGGTTTAACTAGAGACACCCAAAATTGGCAACATTCATCTTTTGAGGGGGTGTCTAATTCTGTGTTGCTGTGTGTTTGACCCTAACTTAAATTTACGCCAGAATATCCCTTTAAAATAACCATCAAGATCTCCTTTAAACAAGTTCCTCAGTGAGCCAGTAAAGTCAAACTTCTGTCTTTGACACTAACACTGTTAGACAAAACAACGTCTCTTAATTAAAGGTACACCTATTTGAGTTGAGTCAGAGCAGACCCTGTGTATGAGCCAGACATGTTTTGATGTGTGTTGACAGAGGTCAAATTTTATTCCAGTCCCAGGGCTAAATTTTCAGGATTTGGGTTAAAACCATAATGGGAAAGAAAAAGTCTCAAGTTTTGTTGTACTTGGCAGAAATCTTGGAGAGAGCTGGTGGTTGAAGCATACCTGCCATGATCTATGTCCGTTTTTTAGTCTGCTTGTTTCCATGACTTCAAAATGCTGCTGCAGCAGTACTGAGGGTAAACACACTTTTACGGCTAACCATTCATAATGTGGACAGACCATAATAACATACGGTGGAGTGGAGAGTGAATTAAAACTTAACTGTGTGGCTCTCTGGCCCTGAACAAGAACCCTGTGACTGACTAATAATCACATCGTCAATCTATGAATAGAAGCCTATGGTTGGTATAATACACACTGCCAATGTGTCAGCAATGAGCCCTGAGTGACTCAGTGTTTCTGAGCAGCAGAAGTGGTGCTGCTGTGGGAAGATGCATCAGTGGCTGTGCAGAATAGCAGCATTGTGTTGGTTGTCAGTGTAGATACGACGGTGATACAGAGGAGAGAAAGAGCTGGTAGTGACTTACGTGACGGCATACTGTGCAAAAGAAAGATATTCCACCAGGACATCCAGGCCTTTGTTGTCTTCATTTAAGAACTCTCTCACCCACCTGAAGAGGACAGAAATAGTTTTAACTCAACAAACTTTTAAAAACACAAAAACATGAGATTATTTTATGTCCTAAACTTTCTTTTTTAGGAGGTAGAACAAAATAGAAGTTTGCCACGACTGTAAATGAGACTGAATAAAAATTATGCACCTGGAAAAAAAGTATGTGTATTAATCAGTGTTTTCCACACTCTATGCAGGCTTTGACCATGCCTGACCTTGGCATACTAATGCTTCTGGTTACTCTATCTCTCTCCCTCTCCTCTTCAGGAGGCATTGTAATGAGTCATTCACAACACTTCAAAGAAGTTTCTTGGCTCAGAAACATTTCACTCATGCATGTGTCTGAATCTCATTCTTGAGTCTCTGTGTTTGAACTCTCTCCATTTCTCAGACAAGCACACAGTTTTTCACTCTGGTAGAGACAAGCCTTCAGGATGATTCTTCTCACCCTTCCTTTAAAAAAAGACAGAAATTCCTTCAGTACACTTTCTTTTTTTTTTTAACTTCTGCACAGAAAAATCAGGTGTTGCAGGAAAGCACCTGCTACCTTTGGCATGAGCGGCTCTCCCTCCATATTTATGAGCTGAATATCACAGAACATGTTTATTTAATGGCAACCCATGAGGGATGCATGTCTTTTTAATGGAGCCCCAACTGCTTCCACAGGCCTGATTGCTCAGTGATTAGAGAAATGTGCGGGGCGTAAAGATAATGACACACATGCAGGCTTTTTGAGTAGCACTGCGCTGATGAAGATGTAATGCTAAAGCGCTTTAAATATCCAGTGGCTGCTTCTTTATTGGCACCCCTGTGGTGTGGTGTAACTACATGGGAGCAAGCATGACTAACGAGAGTGGCCAGGAAAGTGGTGCCTGGTGGGGCCGTTGTGTTTTAAAAGGGCTTGGGGGGGGGGGGGTTGCACGGCCTCATCGGGCCTTATGGTAATCACGACCACAGGACACTAACTTAACAATCCTCCCATTCACCACATGTTGTTGACCGCTGAGCAACATGTGAGGAGCAGGCAGGCAGGGCGCTGGAGTTATCATCCACAGCTCTTGTACAGGGACAATCTGCCTTTTATACACACAGGCTGCATGATGGATATACATTTCTCTGTTTCACCTCTGAAAAGAAGAAGCTGTAATCATTCACTGTCTGAATGGGTGACATCTTGTTCCCTCACCACCACCACCCTTTCCTCCTATTCTCTTCACCTCTGCCGTTATGGTAATGCCTCATCATCTAATCTAGATTAGATAGATTAATCATGTAATCTAGTTTACCAACATAAGGCCTCTAAAAAGAGTTAATCCATGTAAACAATGCCTCCACTGATTGGCCAGACAGACCTCGTCTCTGGCTGTGGCTGCAGTTTATTTTGGTTGGAGCAGAATCGTAATCGGAGCGTAGGAGTGTGAGAGACTGCGTTGTTAGAAACAAGCGATGATGTGGGTGAGAGTCAGAGCGGTGGATGAGGAGTAAAGTATTCTGTGTGTGAGATGCAAAGAGGAAAACTAGAAAAACAGAAGGATTATGAGATGAAGTTAAGATAATGTGTGTGTAGTCTTGTGATGGTTATATAACCAATTTATCTCTGCTGCTCTTCCACCACAGATACTCTCAGAGCTGCCTCTTCCTGTCCTTGACAGGGTCTCCATGTCTCCTGTGACCTCCCACTTTCAACATCCTTTTAAACTTCTACATGTTTATTTCTACCAAAACCCAGGACTTCATCTATGAAATTGGTCACACACTCTAATCCATCACCAAAGTATACACTCGTTTGTACACAGACGATCGATCCAGCTTATCAAATTCTTTGTGAGTCTGAAAGAAAGTGCATAATCACATGACCCTCAAAGTTAGGGCTGGGCGATATGGCCTCAAATCAATATCACAATATATTGAGCAGTTCACCTCAATAAGGAACAATGGACGATAACTACTCCACAAGCTGCTCACCCCCCTCCCATATTAACTTTGTTTACTTCAGCCACCACTCCAGCCGCTACAACTTTTGAACCGTTCTCCATCTCCTCACCTGTCTTTCCCTCTTTGTCACGGACTGGATGGGGTGGAGTTACATCTCCGATGTAGGACAGTGTCTTAAAGGGACATGAGACCATAGCCTACCTACACACATCCAAAACCAACTTTGATTTATCTATTTTTCTGATACCGAATGTACTGACATGGGCAAAATAACATCGGTTATTGTCGTAAATTCCGGTATCTGTAAATTTTTGGTTTATCACCCAGCCCTACTCGAAGTCTTATCCCTAATAACAGATGGAAAAAAAAAACATTAGAAACCATGACTATAGAGGGTTTTGAATTGACTCAGAAAAATTCTCATGCCTCTCTTTACTCAGAAGTTGCCTTGAGGAATGAGTCTACTACATCCCACACTTCCCAGAGTGCATTAGGCCTCATTAGCGATGTAGGGCGATTCATCTCAGTCTCTACCTATCAGGGTCTCTAATCACCACGACACGCCCTGTGATCCAGACAAAGACAAAACTCTGAGACACTATGTGCAGCTCATTGAGATATTGATCTTTCCTCTGAGGATGACTGTACAAACCTGAATCAATATCAGCTGCTGCAGGTTGGGGCTTGTTATCGGAGAATACCTGGAATCCCTCAGAGTTTTTTATCTGTTGTGAAATCCTGATCTCTTTAGTAATACGAACAATAAGACCTCTTTATGAAGGAGGATCTGGTTTAGCAGCGGTAAAATTGTGTTTCCCTTCCTGATGTAGTTCATATGTCAACTGCCCAAAACAATCAATGGATTCATCTTTTCTGCATCGCCACATGGCTTTCTGGGTAATATTAGGCCACAACGCTGAGATGAATGGGGGATGGTGGTGGCAGTGGTTAGCGTCAATGTCTGCGTCTCTGGGTGTCTGGAATGTCAGACTTTTTCCCCCCTTTGAATCTAATATAACCAGGTCCAGGACATTCAACACTGCACAAGCTTCACACACAAGAGCCTGCAATGACTCACCCGATGTGATTGGTCCGTAACGAAATTTCCAGTTCTCTGAGGACCTGGGTGGACTCCTGAACTCTCCGCCTGAATTTCTGTGAAGGAAATACGAAGAGAGGGAGTTAATAATTCATTGTTGCGCAGGAATTGTAAAAGATCAATGCAAATCATCGGAGCAGGGGATGTTGTGGCTGGAAATACGTTTTTTCTGCAGGAAAGGTCAGACCGAGGGGTACAGATAGAAACCACAGTGACATTTAAATTTGAAAGCAAGCTAGCCGTGTGCTGATTACAAAATAAAATGTTCTCATAAGATTGTTTACCAAGCCGTTTACTTGCCAGAAACCATTCAGCAGGCTTAAAAAAGAGAGAAAGCTGACTCACTGGAAACTGTGGATGTGGAACAGTTCCCGTTATCCTGTTTGCTCACATTGGTTCTTTATGTAGCAGTAATCCCTCCTCGTAGCACCAGGACAATATCATCTAACCTGACGGGTACATTTGCAAAATCTCTGCATGTACAAAGACATACACAGTCTACATTGTGTTGTGTGGCCACAGCTGGGGAAGACGTGTGTGTGCACTTGAGGCATGACGGTATGAGCCGCCAGAGAATAAACAGATGACAACAGGAAATGAAAAAAAAAAAAGAGGACATGTGCGGGTCCCTCTTTGATTTTGTTCACCAACAGGAGGTGATCTGCACAACCAAACACTAAAAAGGGCCTCCAAGCTGTTACACAACCACAGCAACAACACAAAGGCCGAGCGAGTGACCAGTGGTGATCAAACAGGAGGGGGAATCCCTGATGAGAGGGAGAGACAGTGTTGCATCAGAGGAGAGGAGGAGTAAACATTCAGCTTTTCATACAGCCACACACAGAGACAGTATGTCTACAGAAAAAAAAGGCAAAAAGAAATCACTCCTGGAAGGTTCAGCCATGATAACGTGTGTAATTTTCAGGTGTTTTGAATATGAGTAATATTCATTTAACAATTTTTCAGGCAAAACAGAGTCACCTTTAAACTTCTTAAGGTGTTCACTCTTTTGTCTTCATGAATAGGAAACATCTTTTCTTTCATTTTCCCATGAAGAAAAGAAGAGATTCATCAAAAATGTTTAACTCAAAAAAATGTTGTTTAGATCAAGAAAAATCAAAAAGTTTAATTCTATAAATATATGACAAGAGTGGGATTCATGACTAAATCATAATAAAGCATTTTTCTGTCAAGTGGGTGGTCACTAAAGGAACCCACTAACAAGAGTGGATATTTTTGTGCACAAAATAATTTTGCAGTGAGGAAGTTTCTGATAGTTTAACTTGACAAATGGAGTATCGGGCTTATCATGCATCACAGGAGCTCCTCGTCCTTGAAGGTCACAATCACTTCACCAGTGGGAGGGATGAGCGAGAGAGAGCCTCAGTCTAGATTCTGACAGCTAAATACTGTTAAATGCATCCATTCCTACACACTAAAACTTTCCCTTTTCGCTAGTACTGTCAGCATACATGCACCAATCCAAATATAACTAACATCTGTGAGTCATGAATTATCTAATTTAACCACATGTATTTTTGTCCTGTCTAGCAAACAGTAATGAAACTGCTGCAGTGTCATCATGATACCAGCAACAGATATAACAGCATCACTGTGCTTTTAATTGACACAATTTACTGGTAGGAACTTCCAGAGCGCTCAGTTTAAGACACACTTAAAGGGATATTCCGGCGCAAATTTAAGTTATGGTCAAACACACCGTAACACTAATTTAGACACCCCCTCAAAAGATGAATGTTGCCGCTTGCTTCTCTAGTTAAATCAACTTTAGTAATAACACACTATAGTAATACACAGCAGTCTATGGATCCACGCACACACCTCAACCAAACAGCCACTCTATAGCCACAAATAATGCTCAGAACAGCACCTAACTTCATCAACAGTACATATAGGGTCCCAGCCATAGCACTGGCCATCAAACATCTTTTAGCTTTGCCTGATTTCTTTAGCAAAGAGACCAAACCCAACTTACCCACTCTCCTCCAGCAGCCGCTTGTTTGTGGGAGAAGCCCTGATGAGTCGATCACCAAGTGCAGCGGAAAGATTTTGATCATTATTTCATGGAAATGCAATCAGACTGAGACGCTTAGGCCGAAGAACTACCGTGTCTGCAGTGCACACACAAGATACACAAGAACTCTGATTGCATTTCCATAAAGCAATGATCACAAATGTTCTTCCTTGAGCTGCGGAACTCCGCTGCACTCTGTGATCGACTCGCCAGGGCTCCCCCACAAACAAGGGGCTACTGGAGGAGAGTGGGTGAGTTGTGTTTAGTCTCTTTGCTAAAGAAACCAGGCAAAGTTAAAAAGATGTTTGATGGCTAGTACTATGATTGGGACCCTATATGTACTGTTGATGAAGTTAGGTGCTGTTCTGAGCATCATTTGTGGCTATAGAGTGGTGTTTGGGTTGAGGTTTGTTTATGGCTCCTTGGACCGCTGTGTCTTACTATCATGCAGTCGTTACTAAATTTGGTATAACTAGAGAAGCAAGCGGTCAGGAACATTCATCTCTCAAGAGGGTGTCTAACTTGGTGGTACGGTGTGTTTGACCATAACTTAAATTTACGCCGGCATATTCCTTCAAGTAGTGGTTTGTTTGAATGAAAGATGTTTTATAAAGTTTAGATGAGTTAGGGGAAAAATCAATCAATGATGACAATAACACCTGCTGTTATAAAAAACACCTCTTCTGTTGAGGGTATTTGTGCACTACTTTTAAGAGAGGAGATCCACCCAGGTTTGGAGGGCCTGGTCCCATTCCATGATGTGGTAGTATCAGGGAGGAAACAGAGCTCAGGCCTGTGTTAACCTATTATTAACATCCACAGAGGAGAAAGCTGTTCCCATGGCTTCACTCTCTCTCTCTTTCTCTCTGTAGTCTGTGTCTTTGGGCCTGGGCGGCGTGTTTGGCGCATGAGGAGATGAGAAACAGAGTGTTTTTATTAGGGAGGAGCCCCTTATGTGTTTGTGTGGAAAGCAGAGCATATTTAGGGGTACTGCGCAGGCTCCCTGAGGCACCCCTCCTCCCTCCCTCCCTCCAACTCTTCCTTCTCCTACCAAACGCCCTACACTCCACAGTCTTTAAGTACTACCAGCTGCATCACAGAGAGAGCAGGAAGACAGGGGAGCAGACAGAGGTGGGAGAGGGAGAAGGCAGCATAAAGGAGACGGGTGAAGAAGAGGAGGAGCCAAGAGGGGAGCAGGGAAAGGGGGAAGTAAAAGTGGAGAATCAGCACTAAAAGTGTGGAGGGGGTAAAAGGAGAGAGATTCTGGGGAGTGTGAGCTCAGGAGGGGTCATCCTGGAAACAAATCAATGCCTGATACATTCTTGGGGACTAGTTGGACTGCAGCTCTTCCTCCTTGGCTGGTGATTGGCTGGGAGCTGCCCAGAGGAATGCACCGGAGCCTGCCTATGGAAAGCAGAGGCAATGACCTCCAGCTCTCTCACAGCCGCACAAAGTGGCAATTGTTTTGGGTTTGAAGAAAAGGGGGATGGAGCAGGAATGTAGAAAGAAGCCCATAACTCTCTCCCTCTCTCTCTCTCTCCTCCTCTGTGCTCTCTTGTGTTTCTCTTTTCCCTCTCTCTTGTTCTCTGTCCATCTTTCTTCCCCTCTACGCTCTCTCAATTATTCAGCCTTTCTTAGTTGGATGTTTAACCCCTTGCTCAATAACAGCATATCAGTTAAGCAGAGAAGAGGAATTTTAGTCAGACTATCAAGGCCAGTCAAGAGGGTCAACTGAGACATCAACAAGCCTCTGTCTAACCTTGTCACTATCACTGCACCAGCACAAACCATCAGGCTTTAACCTTAGAAGTGTTTGGTCTTCTGTAGCGTGCGTCAGTGTCCTCTTGTTTCCTGTCTTTATCAGATCTCCTGTGTGCTTTATCTTCCAGGCATTACATCAGACACACACTGAAGCGTATCACTCTCTGACACCAGTGGTAGTCATCCATGGACAGTTCAAACATGGACTGATTTCAAAGCCTAATTATGATGTAAGCCTCATTGGAAACACTGACTCAACCAAACTTTTGGTCAACCCTGAAACATGCAAAAAGGTGGAGCTGAGGTGGGTTTGTATTAGGGGTGGGAATACTCCTGGCCCCATGATACAATATTACCACGATACTTGGGCCACGATACGATATTATGATGATACTTGGGCCACAATACGAGATTATCACAATACTTGGGCCACGTTACGATATAATCATGATACTTGGGCCACGATACCATATTCTCACAACACTTGGGTCACGATATGAGATTATCACAATACTTGGGTCACAATACAAGATTATCACGATACTTGGGTCACGATACAAGATTATCACGATTCTTGGGTCACGATACAAGATTTTCACGATACTTGGGTCACAATACAAGATTATCACGATTCTTGGGCCACGATATGATATTATCACAATACTTGGGTCACGATACAAGATTATCACGATACTTGGGTCACAATACAAGATTATCACAATACTTGGGTCACGATACAAGATTATCACGATTCTTGGGTCACGATACAAGATTTTCACGATACTTGGGTCACAATACAAGATTATCACGATTCTTGGGCCACAATATGATATAATCACAATACTTGGGCCCTGATACGATACAATAATGATACTTGGGCCACAATACGAGATTATCACAATACTTGGGTCACGATATTGCGATATTTAACATTTTGCGATACAGTGAATATTGCAATACAATATACTGCAATTTATTCAATTTTGCAACTGTTTAGCTACTTTGGCATTTCGCTTTCCCTTATGTTTGTCTTATTTACACTGTATTTTATTTTCATGTTGCACATCTTGCAAACCTTTTATATATTTGTTGTACTAACTTTCTAACCTCACTGGACAAACTGTTGATTTAATTTTTCCATTATCATAGATTTGACTTCATATGAGCAATTAAATTGAAAAATCAATACTTGGTCAATGAGACGACACAATATATCATCAAACAAAATATTGGGATACTATGCTGTAACGATTTTTTCTCCTACCCCTAGTCGGTATCCTCCTGGCAAGCAGCTACATTGCAGCCAAACTGTCTGTTTACTCAGCTGTGATGCAAACTCGCATACTGTAAGCTTTTAATAAATCTTAGAGTATGTTCTGTTTGTTCTTGGTATTTTTCCTGTATCGATAAAACCGACTGAGATGCTGAAAATGTTGGTACAGGATGGGGAGGACACGCAACAAATACTGTCAGGATCAGGATTAGATGTCGCAGCTAGTGGGACGAGGACTGTAGCCTCTACATATAAAAACCTGCAGGCTGTAAACATGCTGCCGCACAGTATGCCACATGTATAAACATTTGACCAGTTGGGACCAGCCTCAAGTGGACACTGAGAGAACAGCAGTTATTCTGCAGTGACTACATTTATTAACATCTGAATCTTTCAGCGGGAGTCCTGACTGCAGTGACAACATTCGGAAATCTCGTCCTGGACACCAGTACTGCAGGATTCCCCTTTCTGCATACGCAGCATACATTTTGCACCTTTTTTAATGAGGAGGGAAAAATGCAGTCCATCAGCTCTCAGTTTGTATGTTCGGGGGTGTGTTAGGGTTCCTGCGCCTCTGTGCATACCAGTGTGTTGAGGGTCTTTTTGTTTGTTTGTTTGTTTTCCTGTTTTTTTGCAACAGTCATCCCGGCTCTACAGCTTTAGCTGACCCATTGTTATGCAAAATCCTAACTCCAGTGGCTGTAAATTGAATTATTCAGCAATTTGTTGGTATTCTGGCAGCGTCTGTTGGTTAATTTGGTTATCAGAGAGGCTGGGCTTTCAGTAGTCCCCCCCACGGCCCTTGCTCACTGAGACCTAAAAGACTTTATTTTGGCAAAGACAGAGAGCTGGCTGATATTTAGCTTCGCAGGGCCCCCTCCACTTACTCTCTTCTGCTCTTTCTCCAGCAGCCACAGATGCAGTGAGAGCTGGCAGCTTAGATGACATAAGACCATCTTTATCATGTAGTTACATTGCTTCTGATGTCCACAGCTTGCTACTTTAATGCTGCAAGGCAACAGCAATAGAGCAATTAGTAACTAGTCCTCCTCCTTTCTGGTTGTCTTGTCCTTTTCTGCCTTAAAGTGAGAGTTCTTGTGTGTTTTTTTCTGTTGGTCTTTCTCACAGAGAGGTCAGAGCAGGCTGTTAACCACCAAACAGCACCACAAGGGACTGGTAAGGATTCAATGTCTTGCTTAATGAGACTTGAGCTGGACAGAGGTTTCTTGAGCCTGGGCGTTCCAGATAAACAACTGTCTCTTTTCTCACTGACTCACACTGTTTTCACTCTTTTCTAACTGAATTTCCCAAGCTGTCTACTCCAGCGGCCTTGTGAGCACCCTTTCCTCAGCTGTAGTGGGGATATCCTGGACAAGAGATAGAGGGTCAGAGGGGAAGGAAAAGCTTCAGCAGTGACAGAGCCGGGCTGGGCCAAGGGGAGGACAGGATAGCATGTTAGCGAGGGGGCTCACCTTTCTGGTGACTGCAGGGTCGAGATAACTCCTCAGCTTTTGGAGGTACGTGTGAGGCGGGTTTTTCACTTGGAACCGCTCCTGTCAAACAGAGGGAAACAAAACAGTAAGATAAGCAAAGGGAAAGGAAAAGAAAATGAGCGAAAATAGAAACATGGAAAAAAAAAAAAGTCCAACCGTCAAATTGAAACAGAAAAAGACTTTTGAGTAAACCACCATGAGTCAAGTGACAGAACAGCGAGATGATACTCTGCTCTGAGAGGTGAAAAGTAAACAGTGTGTCTTTGTCTGAGATCACATGAGCTTTAGTGAAGATTTTCTTTTAGACCCGAGCAGTTTTCAGCATCTCCTCACTCTTCAGAAAACATATTTGGGCCTCTTGTGTGGAAAGCTGAACTGGGTGTTTATGAGTCATTTAGCCACAACATACCCAGAGCCTTGCAGTGATTTCTGCATCAGTGGTTGTGTTGTATGATGACAGAAGGGTGATACTCTAAACAGACATGGTCACTGATAAAGCTGAATAGAAGACTTTTACCATCTAAGTTGTTAAGCCTGCAGGACTTAAAAATCTGACTAGTATTGACTGATTGGTTTTAATGAGCTATGAAGCTCCAGAATTGTGACTAAACGTGTATGGCTGTGTGCCTACGTGTCTTAAGTTGGGCCAGGAACAGGTTTTAGGTCAAATCCCTCACCGTTGTGCTCTAAATATAAATACAAGAGATTAGCACTGGATTTGGATCAGTGCGTTGAGCGGGAAACAGTATTTGGATCAGGCTGGGAGTCACACCATCATGGTAGCATGAGTGGTGCTGCGAGGTGATCTAATGTACAACAATTCACAAAAACTCAGAGAGGAAATATTCTCTTTATATCGTGAAATGTTGAGGCAGAACCACAGGCTGACTGACTTTCAGGGAAAACACATATATCTACGATTTTAATGCATTTAAGTGTAAACAAGAATCTCAGATGGACATCAGTAAGTACCTGTGACAGTGTTTCTATTTATACAAGAGCATCATGTGAAGACCTTAGCTGCACTTCAGTACATTCATTAATCGGCTCAAGGAGAGGTGTAAATCCCCATATCAAGGGTTAGCTCTACAGTGTCCTGAGTCAGTACGTTTCACAACATCTCTGCCCTTTTTTTTCCGCAGAAAAGGTTTGAGAACAAACACCAAAACTGACCCCTGACCTTTTCTCATCAATATACAGGTAGTCAGACTCACAGGACCACACAATTCAAATGTTACATCAGTGAATATCAAGCCCTAGATATCTGCATTATTAGGTAAAACTTTAACCCCCCCATCCCTGTGGAAAAATGAGGGATAATATATTGTGACGTTGTTCCTATCATTGTGCCGCTCTCAGTCTGTCTGCACACACTGATGTTGGATCAAATTTCTGGGGAGTACTGAACTATCAGCTACATCACATTTATTCCAGCCAGAGTGAGCCTGTCTGACAAAAACAGGAAAGACATGCGGAAAGAAAGAAAGAGAGAGAGAGAGAGAGAGACAGAGAGAGAGAGAGAAGAGAGAACTGGCTCTCATGCCTGACAGCAACAGGCAGACAGACACGCTCTGAGAGTTTGTAATGTAATAAATGATTTGGCAGGCACTGTATATATCCTGTTTCATGCAATGAAATGTAAGGAATGAAGGGCCGTGAGTAAACGTGAAGCTGAGGATTATATTATGGAGCAGACATGTCTGGTTTGTAGGAGAACATATCAACATGCTCTAAAATGTTCAGTTGTAGTTATTAGGTTTGATTATTATGTACAGGATCTACGTCAAAACACAGGAGGCAGAATCAGGCTGTAAAAGTTTTCAGGTACGCTTCACAACCAATCTTTATGAACAACTTCAGCTGATACTTTTATTAGGACAGAAAAACCAACGAGAGCGCAGAGAATCCTGGGAAGTGATCATCCTCCTGTCTTTGTACTTTGCATGCTTTAACCTTTACATCAAGGACATCCTCTATATTTCATCAGTCCTCCTAATTGCCCTAAAAAATGTTTAATATTTCAACCTCTGGTAGCGTTCGCAGGGCCTGTTTTTCAAAGAGGATACACCTGTCATCTCTGCCTCCCTGCCTCTTTCCATCACTGTTGCCATGGTTACATACAGAGATTCACACTGGCTATGACACAGAAAATACTTTGGTCCCAGAGGTGCCTGTGCTGTCATGGGCTTTGTCTTGTTTGGAAAACAAGAGAGGAATAATAACTACTTTGGAGGACTAGTTTAACTATATGTTCTGATTTTTGACTCATAAAAACTAAGAAGAAACCAGATAAATCAATATTCTTAATGTTAACAGTGAGTTACTCTTTACCATTGAATCATTGATGATACAATAAAATAATCAAACAAAATAAAACCTTCATATAATAAGAAACATTTTAAACAGGGATAACTGTGGAAAGAGTTCACTTTTCCTTTGTACACTGTCAATAAGCAGGGTTCCTACGCAGTTGGAATTTCCATACTTTTCTATACCCTACTTTTAGTCCAATTATTTTTGGAAATACCTACTTTTCTATTTTAGAAAACACTATTTAAGAACTGTGGAGATAGTCCGGAAACATAAATATGTTTCCATCCTTTATTTTTCATTAATTAATTAATTAATTGATCAAATTTATTTCCACACTTTACCATACTTGCACTGGGAAAGGTGAAAACAAAGCAAGGACCCACGATACCTGTCGTGAAAAAACACTTTTAAAAAGTACTCCCATGACAATAACAGGGAAACCATCTATTTTCCTTTCAGGTCTAAGAGAGGAGCATGGAGTCCACTCCAAACTGAAGGAGGATCCCTGACTGCTGATCAGCCGCCAGGTCAGCTCTCTCTGGCACTGCTCCCTTCAGGGTCAGTGCGTATCAATGCAGCTGGAGTGGGTGGTGGTCTTGATCTTGTCTCCGTTTTCCTTTCTCTGTTTACAGAGGCAGAAAAACTCTCTGGCACCGGGGCTGCTGGCTGAGGGGAGCACTCAGACCACAGCTCGCTGCACAACGTGCACCCTCTGTTTTGTCCTCCTGCATGCAGCGCTGACACCCATAACAGGCTGAGTTTTTTTTTAACTGGTTTAGTGGTGTGTGCTCCCTGCTGTGCCGCTTAACCCACTTGACCAGGCAAGTCGAGGCCGGGTGTGAAGGCCAGGACAGGCTTACAGGATAAAAGCAGGGCAATGGAGCATAGGAGCTGTGCTCACGATACGAAGAGCATCAGACCTTCTACTGGATTAGACAAGAGAGGAACAGGTGAGAGAGTATACAGCTGCTTGGTTTATTTGATTCAGCTGTTTTCAAGGTTCTGGTTCTTGATTTAACAAACCAGACACACAGCTGTGTGCACCAGCTCAGCTAACTCTGTACCAGGTATTTATGCTGACGCCTGTATGTGACCCACAGAAACAAACCAGGTCATTAGCTCCAACACTCACTAAATCTATAGGTTGTCTTAATGCCTGTCACGGCTGCCACCAGGTCAGATTCCAATGAAGGGATTTACAATAAGTAAACCAAAGGGCCCTTGTTTATATTCTCCCTGACATGGTTTCACAGAGATCGGTGTTTCAGCAGAAGAAGACTTTTCCATGAGGAGTGTAGCCTGAGTTCATGAACAGGATCAGAGATGAGATTCAATGTACTCCTTTGTCCTCAGATGGTGGTTGGATCAAAACAAAATCAAAGTTATCACATCTGTTGAAAAAAACATGTAAATTAGTGATTGACGCTCACCTGATCACAGATGAGCTCCCACTTCTTCTCGTTGTCATACTGTCGCAGCAGTCGCGCTTTGTCTGGAGGAAGATTCATGGAGTTCTGAAAGAGAGGGGAGTTGGAGATAGTTAGGTCAGGAAAAAATGAAATATTATCTGCCCAGAAGAGAAGTCAAGTCTGAGGAAAGGAGGTCTCTTCTTAATGGGAGTGAGGTTACAACTCTGAGGAAGAGAAGAGAAATATCTGAGCTCTTTTTGTCTGAGCTTCGAGCGTGAGGACGAGGCGACTCAGCATAACCTCGCTGTAATAAACTGAACCAAGTGGACCAGACATCCCAGACAGAGCACCAAGACTAACGAGGGTGAGACAGTGAGACAGTGAAAGTAAAATGAGACACAACCCTTATCACATTTTTCTTCCCTTACATTACAGGAATGAACAAGATATTTGTAGTCTTCAGAGCGGCTTCCTGAGAATCGTATGTCCTGTTCCAGCCCATGTGTTCAAAAAACCCCCAAGAATAAGCCTCATCCAAAATCTGTTACACGACTTCTTTCCCCTGTCCTGTTATCTTCACTTTCCTTCCTTTACTGACACCTCTGCAGTTGTCTCCAATTTGGCTCACTTTCACATAAGCAGGATTCAGCCCGCCCTCATGCGAATTAAAAAAGCTGGAAACAGTTTACCAGCACTTAACTGCCCCACCTACATGAGAGGGAGCGAGGAGGAACCAAATTTGTCAGCAGAAAATTTTAATTCCAACGAGTAACCCAGCTGGAGATTCATTAGCCACCCACAGACAAACACAAACATATAATACAAATATTTACACAGTTAAAGTTTGTGCTCCTCTTCAGCAGTCTTATTTTCAAAAATAAGCAAATCAACCACAACCAGGATATTAAATGTGGTCTGAGCAGAATATTTTCCACTTCTAAGAAAAGAAAATGTGGTCATCGTGGGCTGCTCAGCTTGGGGTTCTTTTCCTCCTTTCAATGGATGGGTTGGATCATTAATCAGTGAGCGTTCAGCGCTCAGACTCCACTTTTCCAGCAGAGCTCAGGGAGGGAGCGAGAAGAAGATGGATGACGAAAAGCCCTGGGATCCAGCCTATTTCCATGAGCGAGTAAGACCAGAATCGAGTCGAGACACTGATGGAGTAGTCTGATCCTAGACTGGCTTCAGACTTGAGCTGTGGCAAACACATGAATCTTACTAAAAACTGCTGAGAAAAGACGACGAAAGTGAAAAACATGACCAGATTAAAACAAATTGATAAGGTTTAAAAGTTGACAAACTGAAACTTTGTAATCTGTACTGCCACACTTCTGTCTTTATCTGTTTGCTTTTGTGAATACTAGGGATGGGAATCACTACTTGCCCTATGATACAATCTTACCACGATACTTGGGCCACGATACGATATTACCACAATACTTGGGGTCACGATATGAGATTATCACGATACTTGGGCCACGATACATTTACCACAATACTTGGGCCACGATACGATATAACCACGATACTTCGGCCACGATACGATATAACCACGATACTTGGGCCAGGATGCGATATTACCACGATACTTGGGGTCACGATACAAGATTATCACGATACTTGGATCACAAAACGATATTATCACAATACTTGGGTCACAATACAATACTATCACGATATTTGGGCCATGATACGATAATATTGCGATTTTTAACATTTTGCAACACAGTGAGTATTGCAATGCGATATATTGCAATACAATTTTTGCAACTGTTTAGCTAATTTGGTATTTGGCTCTCTTTTATGTTTTTTATTTTCATGTCACACATCTTGCAAACCTTTTATATATTTGTTGTACTAACTTTCTCCCACTCAATGATGTTATCTCTGCCAACCTCACTGGACAAACAGTTTATTTTATTTTTCCGTTTGATTTGACTTTGTAATAGCAATTAATTTGTAAAAATTGATACTTGGTAAATGAGACAATACAATGCATCACCAGACAAAATATCACAATACTACACTGTATTGATTTTTTCTCCCACCCCTAGTCAATACACACTAATAAACATGAACAAATTGATTCCACAGGTAGAAAAATACACCTGAAAATTGAAATCTCAGTTTCAGAGTATAATTGGCTTCTGATTTTTACTGCATTCTTTAGGCGTATTGCATTAACTTCAAGTGCTGCATTCAGGTTTATTTAATAGCAATATTGGTCGTGGCCAGTCTCCTGCACTAGCACAGGCAGGAACTGTCATTAGTATTCAGCAGATGTTGCTGGTCGGCTGATTGCTGCTGTGCTGACTGCAGGGAATTCAAGTCAGAGAGTCTCTATTGATTCAGTCTGGCAGCTAACTAGGTGACTAGACTCAGTAGTACCCCCTTTTTCCTTTTCTAAACACATTAAAGCTCAATTTGACACTTGAGTGTGCTGTCAAGCCAACAGGAGTCTCACCATATCACACAAAAGTAAACAGACTTTTACTTCTTTATTGTGGACTGATGTTTTGCTGTGTTTTGGATATTTGAGGAGTATTTGATGGGTAGGTAGATGCTGGACTCATCCTGACTGGCTCGCTGGGTGGTGTGCTGGGTGGCTGTGGGTGCTCTGAGCTGTGGGCTTCCTGCTTGGTGAGGCTCCAACTAAAGCAAATAGAAGCACTTCTAGCGGCCGTCACTTCATCCCAATGCTAATGAGCTGCGACAGGCACTCAGCGAGCCGGGGTCAGGTTACCCTACGTCTACAGTCGCACTAATTCTGCATCTGTGTTATTAATGGGGTGATGTCGAGGAGGGTGGAGGAGCTTTTCACCAACACCTGCTGGCAGACCACCCAGCTGAAAACACACCCACAGACACAAACGCCTTAAAATAACTTATCAGGGAATCCAGTAGTAATTCAGTGTGTCTGCACCAGTACAGAGAACTTTTTGACAGGATTGACCCACTTGGCAGACATGAATCCAGGAGACAGACGATCACCGGATACCAATTAACAACTTATTTTCTGTGTGCTGCTTCATTCAACAAGAAACTTAAGACAGGCAAAATTAGTCACAACAGATATAGTTCTGTTGTTCATTACATCTACCATAGTAGACTTGTTTGTCTGTGTGGTCAGTCACAGCCTCAGGTTCACTGTAAAACCAGCTTCCCTTCACAAACAGATTTCCTCATCATCTTATTAAATCTTCTCATTAAAAGGAGGTTGGATTGATCATTTCTGGTGCATTCGAGGAAGTCGGGTTTTTGCAACAATGCATCAAGCAGATTTCTCACAGAAGTTAAAACATTTGATATAAAACACATTAAAGATGTATGCCTTCCATCACAGTGACATGCATACTGTGATGATAAGCCATACCACGTGATAAGCCAGCACTGCATAAACTACAAGCATACTACAAATGGAGCTACATCTCTCCTCATAATGAAGTGTGGTCCTAGGTGCACAGATTCTGCACAAGAACATCAAACTCTTAACAGGGAATCAACAGATATAAACAGAGTAAAATTATCCCATGATTCAACAGCAGGGTGTTCTCATCAGAAGTAACACACAATAGAGCGTGATACTGTTTTGAAGTGGCCAGTTCAAGTGAGTGCAAGCAGCAACAAAGCTGTTTTTAACAGTTATAATGAAGCATTAAAACTCCCTCCAGCCTAACAAAAAAAAGGAAGAAAGAAGATGATGCACTCACTGGGCTGGATGACCAGCCCCTTTCTGTGAAATGCTGGCTTTTTGCACTCCAACATGTCTGGCCTCATGTCACTCTGCCAAACTGGAAACTCATCTCCAAGAGCAGCTGTCCCACATCTGCGCTCAAAGTTTGCACAACTGCAAACATTTGGAAGAGCTGAAGCTGTGAGTTTGGGCTGTAAGCAACAGTTTCTAATGACAAAGGACAAGTACTCTTATTTGAACTTCACACAACAACTAATACTGAGTTAGAAAATAGAGCTTAGGTTTTAACAGTTCACCTCATCCACAACAAAGTGTAATACCTGTGTTCTTACCATCTTAGTCACACTCTTTATTCACAGGACATGTCCACACCTGATCAAGTTTTTACATGCAGATATTAAGTTATAAAAAGAAGAAAACCTGCTTTTCCTTCTCTCTAGTTTACCAGATTTTTTAGACTTCTCGGTGGAAAGTGTTTAATATTTTGTTGAGTGATAAAAGCTGCTTAAATCACTTGAAGACTACATTTTATTTTAGGGGCTCTATATGTAAATGTTATGGAGAAAAGCTGACTAGCTTTTTACCGACAACTAAGCAATGAGTGTGTCAGTCCAATCTAGTCCTCATCCTCCAGTTTATAATGGGAGCTTCCTCTTTGGCTATTTTGACTCTACAGCATGTTAATCACACTGACTGACTGCTGTTTATTATGTAACAGTACAAAAGGTTTTATTGGAAGTAGAAGTAATTTAGTACCGAGTGTGACACCACACCAGGAGACAGTGAGCCCCTGAACTCAACAAAAGCACTTTAAGAAAATAGAAACTTGAATCATATGTCTAAAATATGAGGTAGAAAAATCAGAAGAAGTATGATCACAACATTCATCTCCACAGCAGTGTGATCTGATAACAAGAGGTGTTTAAGGTGGAATTCAGGAGCTGAACTTTCACTGTTGTTACCGACATCAAATAATGTTATTGTTGAAGACACACCAGGACACAGGGATCAGGAACCTGGATTGAGCTTATGAGTGTCCCTGTATCCCCTCATTAGACAGGTTGAGTCATAAAAAGAGTAAAAATAGAAGGCTGGCCTGAAGCCCGCCAACCACCCACCACCTTCCAGGAGGTCTGGGAAGGCACAGCTGGCTACATAAGCAAACACACACTCAGCCCACATGAAGGTCCTGCTTCAGATGTGGACTAACAAAACTGAGAAGCAGGGATCAGCGTACAATCGAGTCATGTTAAACTCTGGTATAAACTGACCACTGGGCTAGTTAGGAGTTTGGAGATGCAGCTTTCCTTTGATGACGTAAAAACAAAAACTGACATCATTCCATTAGAGAGTTGAGAGTTAATGGTAGGAGGTGTACAGCAAGTCAAAATGGAGTTAAGTGTGTTGATTTCATTTGATGGTTTCAAAAACACGCTGATTAAAAATTAAGCAAGAAAGGTAAATATAACACTGAATAACAAGATACTGAAACAGAATGAGGTCAGAACAGAGAAGTGTGCGGTGCAGCGCCTCCCTGCCCCTCAGACATCTTTGAGAGCAGGGACTGATATGTCCCTGCGGTCTTGCTATTTAATGTGTTTGAGAGAGACACACCCACACTCATGTATCGCTACCTTCATTCTTGCTAATGCACCACAACAACAAACATCTCCCATCTCTCAGGCTGAGCCAACAGCACAACATCCAAATCAATCCAAAGTGTTTTCCACTCTTGAATGCAAAACAAACATAATAAAGTCGAACTTAAGACCCTCAAAAGATTGCCCCAATTTCTATTATAAACACCCAGCTTGCATCATTCAATGAAATGTTCCAACCCTGAACTTATTGCATTTTTTTCAAACCTCTAGCTGTCTTTATACGAGCAGTTAGGACGCCACACTGCATGCCACAACAAGAAAACCTCTGACTGCATCCATTATTGATGACTAGTCACAACAAATACTTCTGAGTTGCTCAATACTCCAGAAATGACTGGATGGATGCTGTGATATTCTCCCCTCATACTTGCTTCATGAGCCGCAGTGTTACTTTCAGTTTAACGGCTTTACATGACAAGAATAGAGAAAGACCTGCAAACTAATCTGAGCTGTAAAAAGACCTGACCAGGAAGGTGGACTAAGATGGGCTGTACCACTCTCCAGTTTTCATTTTCCCTTCAGGCAGGTGAATAAGCCCTGCATCTCACACACACATAGAAGATCTGTTATATTTAAGGTGGAGGGATTAAACCATGGTCGCCTACAGAAGGGAGAAAGCAGTGGGTCCGCCCTGAGGCATGCCATGCGCCATTCCACCCAAGCTGTTCTCCCCTCATTAGCGCCACGTGGGTCCGTAATCCTTGGCGGTCTTTGAGGGCACAGGTGTCCCCTGTCTGTCCTCAGATTAGCTTTGTAATCCCCGGGACCCCCTGCTCCGGCTCAGCAGCCTCCTCCATCGAGACAGAGGAGTTGATGTTTGCGAAGCTGTTTGCTGGAATGTCTCTGGACCAAATGGTGAGCTCCAGTGTTTGAGCTTGGCCTCTCATTTTCTTTTCACGAGCACATTCCAGCAAAATAGTGTTCATTTACCTCAGTGTGGTACCTGTATTATCTTACTGAACTAACAACAACATAGGAGTGTATCGATACAACAATCCCGATGTGCTGATCAGCTGTTTTCATTCAGCTTTTGTTCAAATCCAAAATCTTGTCTGTGCCGAAGCCAAACACACACAGCACTGCAGAAACTGGTGCTATGTTTACATTGCGGGTAATATCATGTTGGCCTGGCTGACACAGAATGGCTTTTAAGCTTCTTCAAATACCGGAAACATTATGAAGTCTCTTTGGAGCAGTAGGAAGTTGTCCAAATAAAACAGTTGATGCACGAACACGGAGGAGTTCCAGCTGGGCCAGATGTTGCGAGGTTGCGAAAGTGTCCGAACTGAGGTGGGGTCCGTGTTCTTGTTCAAGGGAACACATAATATATGAATCAGGGAAGTTGTTTATCTGCAAGATAAACAGTGGCTCACAGGAGTGTATGAAGCTCCCTATAGGATGAATCAGAAGTTTAACTTGAAACTTGTGATGATTTAAAGGAAAAAATGACCTTCAGATAAAGTTTGGTGCGTCTTTAAGCTCTTTTGAGGAGGTGGGATAAATGAGATCACAGAAACAGAGGCTGACTAATTTAATGAGGCAGCCAAGCATAATCCTGCAGAGCTTTTAATCTGTCTTCCCTCAACAACTACACCCTGTGCTTGTTGGCTATATTGTGACGTAGAAATATGCTGCGTAATTGTAAAATATGAAGACGACTGACCCTGTGTGTATCTGTTTCAGGGCTGTAATCAACCAAAGAAAATCTTGGTCAACTAAAACCATGACAATTTGGACCAAAAATTGACTAATGGGGGGGTTATATGACCGTGACGCCACCCCCTGACACGGCTTGGCAGAGCGCGGCTTGGCGGGGTGAAAATATACTGATATCAGCACAAGAAGGCAATTAAACACAAATATTACATTCAGCAAACCACTGGGTGTACTTCAATCTTCCTGTCTCCAGCCGGTCTCCAGTGGGTTGAGCGAATCCAAAATGGTGAAATCAAGGGGGGTGTTCTGAGACAGGCTGTTACCTGTGAACATAGACATAATATACGTAGACGCCTCAAAGCGTGACGCTGCCTAATGAAGCTCATGTATTAGCACGGTCGCCATCTTGGATGGGTCCCCCATGTGCCCCCAGTGTATTAAGGTAGGTAGAAATGCCCAACCATATTAATAATAACTCTGAATCTCTGCACGATTTTCACAGAGTTTGGTTTTTTACAACAGCAGGGATGTAGCCATATTACAGGACAATGTCACACATTAATAATAAACCAAATTATGTTTTGATCCTATTTGTAATTGTAAACCTACGTGGTCTGGTTTCAATACTGCGTCGGGTTTTTCAACCATTGAGTGCACAAATACGGGCAATGTTGCTCATTCTCCATTGACCCCGTTTGGCTCTTGAGCGAACCTGAAGTGGGGAAACCCATCCAACATGGCGGAAACACTGGATTACGCTCCAGCAAGTAACAAGGCGTGCTCTGAAAACACCCCCATTAGCACTTGGTACGTTCCTCCTGATGAAAGTAACATCAGAATTTTGGTCGACTCAGCATGTATCGACCGATAAGTCGACCAGTCGACTAAGATTTTACTGTTTTTGGTCAGTGTCAGAGCACTTCCTGTTGTTGGAGCGTTCTGATTTAGCTCAACCTTATCTAAGACATAAAATCTGATTTATTCATCCCTCATTCAGCTGGAATTCTCTCTGTGATGCAGTATGTCTCCACCTCCTCCTCCGGCACTGAGGCCACACTCAAGAGATCATCCCTTTCAATAATTTCCCCTGAAGTCTTTGTATCTGAACAAAAGAAGTGCAGAATAATCCACTCAGTGACTTCATTTCATGAAATGATTGATGCACTTTGAACTGCGGGTGGTTGTCTCAGTAATGTGATGCTGAATTGTCCAATGAGGAAATAGAAGAAAAGGGTGCTATGAATCTTTGGGTTGCCATTTAAGGGAGAAATTCACCAGGTCTGAACTTCTCTTTCACTAGAAACAAAAGAAATACACACTGGTCCACTCTGCTGTGGGTTTATGTGGGGTGTCCAGACTGTGAGGCACATCTTCTGTCCAATAAAGCCTGAAACAACAGACTGCAGCATTGTCTGGGCTGTGATGGGGCCTATATCAAACTTTGGCAAAGAGCTGCTGAAGGACATTCATATGCAACAGGACCTCCCATCCAGCTCTGCAGATGTTAATTCTGGCAAGTCGTTACGAGACAAAACTTGCCTATTTGACTCCGGAGGCTTCGAAAGCAGCATATGTTGCAAGAAAAGACATTGAAAAGAGGACAAAGTAAAAGAAACTAATCTCATCATGAAGAATAAAGTGCTACTGAGGCTTTTTATCAACTACCGTTCTTAGTGTTGAGGATGTGGTGTTACAGCTCCGTCTGCACACTTTGACATTTAGGGGGAAGAACACAGTGTGCATATTGTAGAAGCTTACAAAAAGTCAAAAGACGGACCACATGTGCAAACAACTTCAAAATGTCAGCTGATAGAGCATGAGTTCTCATCCTTATCCAGCCCTCAAAGATCCACATTATTCACTTCCAAAAAGCAGCAAAATGAGGTTAAATGAGCCAAAACATGAGACCATTATAATGATTTTACAATGAAGCCTCTAATCACACTCTTAACACTCACTGAATCTCAAAGAGAATGACAATGATATCAATACCAATGGATAAATCTGACCCTGAAGCCACAGCACTGCCTTCATGTGTCACAATGACACAAACATCTGAAGGCTTCTCTGGACTTATTTCTGAGAACAGTGCTTGAGAGCGAGTCCATCAATGACTTCTGAACAGTTCATGACAAAAACACCCACCCTTATGCAGCATTCTGGCTTATTTCACTTAATAGCGCAGCTGCCACCCTGGAGCCCAGTCAGATCCTGACCATAATGCACTTCTCCACACAGCAATGACTCTTCTTGTCTTTTGTGCAGCCCCTGGACCAGCCCTGATGGACGACGTTGGCGACTGGCTGTAACCAAATAGAATGGTCACTGCTGGCCTTTTCCAGGCTGCGTCATTATACACCTGCTCCTTACGCAGGAAGACCTACAGCAATGAAACCCGGAGCCAAGCACGGGGCTGCATTCAAACTCCAGCCTCAATCCTGAGTGACGTCAGGGAAAGCCGAGAAAAAAGCTGCCCCAGCTTTTCTGTAACTCAGACAGGAAATAACTAAGCCAGACTATTGAGACCAGTATCTGAAAAAAGGTCTTACACTGTTCTTTTTTATGTGTTATCAGACAGAAAACCCTGTGAGAGGTCTTAGAGAAATGTTTAAGTCAATATTCCTTTGCTCAGTCAAAACTCGGTGCACTCTGCCACCCACGCAGCAGTGCAAAAAACCCAAACACCCCCAGACGTGCGGATGTCAAAACTGGACTAAGAGCAACAATACTGATTGAAGCCCCAGTGGTTTCAGCTCAGCAGTGCCCGCACAAAGCCAACAGACCTGTTCCCACATAATCAGCTGACCCTCTGCCAGCCAAGCAAGATGCCTCCGGGCTCCGCTTTGGGGTTTTGAGCAGCACATTATCGCCCAGCGTCACAGCACCTCGTATCCTCCTCTGAGAAGCTGTAAAGAGCTGCCGGATCTCATCTCTCCCCGGGTATTTCATGCTCGGCTCTGTTACGGCTAATTGGCGGGTGAGCGTCCTGGGGTTCCGACTCAGCAGAAACTCACATGCCATACACAGGCCAATTCGCACACACATTTTGGGGTATGTGTGATGGCCTCTCGCACACTGCAGGGTCTGGGTCCAGCGCCAGGCTTCGTCTTGGGCTCTCCACAGAATAAAGAGCAGCTCTGTTCGGCAGGCCTGCTGCACGGGATTCAGCCAGTGTTCACCCTCTGCTCCTCAGACAATGCCCATTGTGCTGCTTTTTAATGAAGAAGAGTTGACATGGAAAAACTTAGACGGGTAGTTTAGCCACTTCCTGAGTGGTAGGATCAATATGACAGCAGAGAAGTTAGAAAGTCAAAGTCTGTCAAATCCTCAAAGCCATGTTAAAAACTCATCTCATATCTCATTGTTTTCACACTCCATCACCACACCCACCAGATTGGATCAAAAGTCCTGTGTCCACTGTCTTTTTGGTGAGATGCCCACTGCTGCTACAACCAACGTTCATGCAAATAGTAAGACTGAACCGAATCAGTAAGGGCCTGTGTACACTATGTACCTCTAAAAAACAACCACTGCAGGTTTTGGTGCTCAGTGTCTTCAGGGCTGTGTTTTTTCTGTTTTGTCATAAACTCAAGAGTTTTTGGCTGAACATTAATCAAACTCTGAAACACCACCTTGCTTGTCAATGTCACTTCCCCATGACTGACCAATCAAAGCATGAAGGGGGCGGGACTTTGAGTTTTGGCAACTACAACTGTGGAAGAAAACTTATCGGAACTCATCTTTTTCAAGGATACAATATTTACAGCAGCTGTTAATGCCAGGACATACTGTTTTTACTATTTCTTATGCAGCATAAAGTCCACTGAATATTTTAAGAGAAAACTTATAACCTCTTTTTAGACAAGCTTTTAACTGATGTCGATGTTGTGGGGCCTCTGCGAAGTTGCCTGTATCTGTGCCATAATATGTATTGTGTTTCTCTGTAATTTATTGCATTTTATCCTTGTTGTAAAGCACTTTGTGATTTTATCTATGAAAAGTGCTATATAAATTAAATATACTCACTTTCTTACATTGTATTTTTTATTAGGATGTGAAACATTAAGCATACAGGCGGGCTAAAAGGGTTAATTCTGAAGGATGTGGAATTAATGTGGGACAACTTTTATAGCTTAGTAATAAAAGAAGCTCAGTAAAGAGCTGAGGCAGCGTGCACTGCTGGCGCAAGAAAAAAAAAACATGCCAATGTACAAAGGCCCTTAAGATGTAAAATCACATTTAAGATAAAAAAGAGATGTTAAACACATTCATCTGACTCACGAATCCTCCAACAAAAAGTCCATTAGAAGAGCTGTGGATGTACTTTCTGATCTCCACCTGTATTTTTTAATTTCGTTAAAAACCGAAATATTTCTCGGAGTCAGCACAGGAAAAAAAAGCACAGCTAGCCCAGACCTGCCGATGTGACAAATTAGCCTTGGCTTGGACATGACGGCTACTCATGTGATTAATCTGGGGAGTAGATTTCAGATGCAGGACCCCAGCACAAATAACAGGAGCTCTGGATGCTTCAGCAGCAGCCCTTTAAAACAAAGCAGCTTAGATGTAATCTGGGCAGACTATTGAGAAGAGCAGCAACAACCACAGCTAAGCCTATAGTCCCCCATATGGCATTTAAACAGGCTGCAAACTACTCTGTCCCACTGACAGCAGCCATGAAATTTAGACAACAGTGAAGCCGGTGAAGCTGAAGTGGATGCTGTCTGGGATGTTTGATGTAAACTCTGTGGTTTGCTGAGGCAGAGGAGCCGACACATGAGGCCCGAGCTGAATTCCTGTTGCACAGAGTCATTTGCCTGTGGTCCTCATACTGTACATGTGACTCACAGAGATTGCAGTCATTTCACATGCTCTCAGTCAGTCAGTGCGCACTTAAAAAGAGACGCTAAATTGTCACTTTGAAGCTTTGCTCTAATGCTTGGCTAAACGTCAGAGTTGGATTGATTATGCAATAAGAGCAGATTAAACCCATCTAACGTGATGATGATGATATGGCCATCCGTACAGTATATTTACTGGAATATTACAAGAGTGCTGTAAACATAAGAAGGTTTAATACTAGCCAACCCTTATTTACAACCCATCTTCTTCTTGCTGAGATGTCTCCCTCTCCCTCACTACAGAGAGGTAAAGGCTTCCAAACATGCTTCCTTTTGAAACTACAAAGTTGATTCCCCTGGCTGCAGTAAAGTGAAACCTTAGCCTTCAGAGAGCTAAAATCAGTGACACTGAAAACAGGCATAGTAATGGATTAGTGTTAAACTCACAGCAGCTCTGTATAAAACTGCAGTTTTCATCTGGAAGGAAATCCACCCTTTTAAGCGCGTCAAACAATGAATATTAGGCGTAAATTTCTACTCACTTCATAGCCAAGGTCACATGTGAATTAGCGTCTCTTATCACAGCATAGGCCCTGCATTACAATTAGCTTCAGTCTATTTCCAAGATCAAGCCCCTGGGCTCCAGGGATTCACGAGACACAGACTTCAATGGGAGCTTTTCATTAAGTAAAATATGTCAATTCAGCCAGCACTCAACCACAACTACAGAAAAGGAGCTCAAGGGGCGGCTGTGGCTCAATGATAGAGTTGGTCTCTCTCAACTGGAAGGTTGGGGGTTCGGTCCTACTGTCCACATGTTGAAGTGTCCTTTGGCATGACACTTAAACCTTTATAATCTACACCAGCAATGTGTGGATGGGATTGATTAGTGCTCATGGGCGCTTTAGATTCCAGCCTCTGCCATCAGTGTCTGACTGTGACATGTAATGTATAAGCAATTTGAGTCGTCCGAAGACTAGAGAAAGCCCTTATAAATACACTCATCAAGCAGCACAAGAATGGAGAAATGAGCTACTGAGACCAAAATCTACATAAATAAAACTTGTAAAGTTATAAAAACAGATGTTCAATGGGGAATTCTCAGTTTATGTAGCTAACCTCAAGCAGACAATTAATTGCAGTTTTTGCACTTCCATTTTGGCTTCATTTCAACACCATGGGCTGCCAGTTACAGAAAGCTGCCAGTAAGCAGAGTGTAGCGTGCAAGTATCTGTGTTTAAATGGAATATCTTTTATAGCTTGTAGGGCTGGGCGATGTGGCCTCATATCAATATTAAGATAGATTGAGCAGTTCACCTCGTAAACGACAAATGGACGATAATTACACCACAAGCTGCTCACCCCCTCCCACATTGACTTCATCTACTTCAGCCGCCGCTCCAGCCTCTACAACTCTTGAACCGTCCTCCATCTCCTCTTTCCCTCTTTGTTACGGACTGGATGGGGTGGAGTCATGTCTCTGACATAGGACAGCGTCTTTAAGGGACATGAGACCATAGCTTACCTAAACACATCCAAAACCAACGTTTATACATTTATTCTTTTGACACCTAATATATTGACATGGGCAAAATGACAGCAGTTATTGTCGTAAATTTAGGTATCGGTAAGTTTTCGGTTTATTGCCCAGCCCTAACAGCTTGGACATAGTAAATTGTAAAATAAATAAGGTATAGTCTTAATTAAATTGATTAAAAGATCTGTTCCAATTTCTTGTGTTTACTCTGTTAAAATACCTGAAATTTGCTTTAAAGTTTAATCAGGAGTGCATAAAGATTTCTTTCTGCAACGACAACTTAATTAGACTAAACATTGCCCCTTCATATATCTGTGGCAGAAACTGCTGAGTAAAAAAAAAAACATCAGAAAGTGCTTCTGTAAAACTAGTGCATATCATTTGCATTACATTTTACAAAACTGCTCATTTGCTCTCCTGGTACATTTCTTACTGCTCCCCTCGCACACCTGTGATCTGCTCAGATGATGCAGGTCAAGAGGCAAAATATGAAAGGAGGCTGTTTTGCATCCCACAGCATGGAGCCAGAATTCATATGCTGCCTGCCCTTGATAAGAAATTCAAGGGCTTAGTAAGGTGAGTACTTGAATGTGGTCGCACACCGCACAAACCTTTAATCCGAACGACACCCTGCTGTGATCCCGGACTGGCCTGCTGATCAAACCTATTAGGAGTGGCAGGTAAACAGTCCTGCTGCAATGCCAGCCCAGGCTGAATCAAAAACAAAAATTAGCCTATTAATGATGACTCAAAATGGAGCAAACGAGCCAAGAATATGAATCAAAACAGCCTGAGTGTTGACGTGACAATTTAAAGCTGATGAATGAAAGGGTAAAAAAGCTCTTGATCAGCAGCCAAGCACACTTCAGTCTTAATTCATTAGCGCTGAATAGAAGTCATATGTAGTGATACAAAGAGGCTGAGAGGCAGTGACGAGGTATCATCCTGATCATCAGCTATTCAAACTTAAGTGAGGTCATCAGAGTCACACAGTGTCACTCGCTCTGGCAATCAATGGAGCCAACTGCCATCAGGCACGGCTGGGCCACATTAGAGTTTAAATGGCAGTAAATAACAGTAAATGCAGTGATTATAGTGCTAAATTCCTCTAATGCTGGAGGGCTTCCATCCCTGCAAGAGCTGAGGCATCATGCTGGCAGCTGAAAAGAGGGAGGGAGTGAGGGAGGGAGGGGGGGAGATCCTGACATGCTACAAGGATCAGCTTTTCTGACAGCCAGTCAACGAAATCCTAAAGGTAGACAGGTAGATTTGTTTGTTTTGTTCTGGGGAGCATAAGCCTTTGTTTTGTCAACCACCTGTGATCTTTCCCTGTCTCACGTCTACTCTTCAGAGTGTTGGTGAACCCAGATGTCAGAAGAGGACCTCTCACAAGATGTAGAAAGTAGCAGACGTGATTAAGAAGAAGAAAACCTAAATCCCTGCGTGGTGTGACGTCAAACTCCTCGAACTCCAGTCTGCTGCTGCCAGCGCAGGAAGGGGATTCATCAGTCAAGCAGCAACACATCCCTGTACAAATGTGATTGATTTAACTACCAACTAAACTTCACCCACTCTGAAAGCGAGCCATCACAAACAAAACTCTGTAAAGAGACAGATAGACACTTCAATGTATTTCTTCCATCTTAAAGGAAAGTTTATGATCACTGAGCTGTAAGGACTTGCTCCAGTCAAATTCCCTCTGCTCACCAGTTAATGTTTATGAGAGCAGTAGGCCAGGCGACAATCACGTTTGACCCACATTTTGCCAGTTCTCAAATTTCACCAATGCTCCGCTGTTGTTCTGCTCTGACTGATATTCATCGACTAGAAAGCCGCTGAGGACTGAAAACTGTCTGTATCAACTTAAGAGTTCAGTTTGCCTCTCAAAATCACAGCTCACAGTGAATAACAAAATAGAAGGACGTAGATAGAGGCACGACAGTCTGGTTTCAAATATGAGAAACACTTTCTAACCAATGTATGTCTTTGTCTTTCAGCAGCCATCCTTCACAACACTTCCTTTCTTTTAAACGCAATTTAACAACCTGTTTATGCTTTAAAACCTTTAAGATCTCCAAACACCAGGAATGTTCAGCATTCCCTCCCAGGTAAGGTAACATAAGTGTTGACAGATGCTGTTGACACTTTATGATGTGACAGATGTTTCAAAGGACCTGGCACGCTGGGCTTGTGGCGGTTCAGTAGTACAGAGCCGGGATCTAGACCCATAAAGTTGTGAAACACAGAGCCATAAAAGCAATAATTTGACAGCAGGTGTTTCATGTGACTTTACAGAATTTACAGAAGCTGCTACATGTTTGTTATCTTATTAAGAGGGCTAGAAGTAATGTTGGGTGTATCTTAGATTGGGGGCAAAACTTCACATACTAATTTTAGAGGAGAACATTTGTACTACAACTTTGATAAAAGTTGAAAAGAACTAAGACTTCTCAAATGTGTTCTCCAGTAATGCAACAGATGCTAAACTCCTGCACTTTTTACTACAGAATTCCTCTTTTTTCCACAACAACAAAGAGCAGGGAGGCAGACAGGCGTGCTGGGAAGACTGGGGTCTAACCTACACACAGCTGTCCCGTCCCAGGACACTGAAACACGGAGGGAGAAGAAACAAAGAAACCCAAAAGTGATGAAATATGATAACTTTCTTACCAGGACTGTTGCAAATCTCTCCTCCAGCTCCCCTGGCTCTGGCATTGGCAGTTTCAGAGGCATGTTGTGTCCCCTGAAATCAGGGTGCTGGTCCATGCTCCCTGCGTTCCCCATGTTTCCTCTCTGACCAACAATCAAAACTTTTTTCTATCCTCTTTTTTCCCCTCTTCCCTCTCTTCTTCTCCAACTTGAGAAAACGTTGTAAAAAGGTAATAACTCCCTACTTCCTTTGGCTTTAGCTTCCCTCCTTAAAGGTTTCTTCTTCTGGCCACTTCTTCAACATAGAGCACATGTGAGGGAGGAAGGTTAATAATGCGACGGGTCCGAGCAGAGGAGCAGCAGCAGCAGGAGGAGGAGGAGTGGAGCCTCTTCTGAAGCATTTTTCACGACAGAAAAGAGACGAGGGTTTGGAAAGTTGACTGTATCCACACGGACCTTTCCCTCGCTGTTATCCGTATCTTGCACAATTTCGGCTCCACTCCCAGTCGGTAGTAATGACGACGAGCATGATTCACGCGCACTGCAATCCCCCTCCGTCTGCTGTGAGTGAGTGAAGCTGGCTTCTCTAATCCCTCCGCGAGCCGCTGACCAGCTAGTTAAGGAGGGAGAGAAGGAGGAGGAGGAGGGGGTCCACACTCACACACACACACACAAACACACACCGCGGCTGCACACACTCTCATCCGTGCCTACAATGAGTCCTTTGAGGGGGAAACCTCCCACTCTTCTTCTTCTTCTGCGTCTTGTCGGGGCGTAGCTCCCAAAGCCGTAGCCAAGGAGATGATATTTTGTCTGTTGCATTGTGGTACTTTGAGTTTATTGTGAGGGCCAGCAAACTTGAGTTAGTGGCGACCCCCCTCAGACTACTACTACTTACTTTGACTTTGACTTAAACTATGCGCATTTGGAGATTAAAATGTTTGTTTTAGGAGTTTACTTGTTGCATTTATCAAAAGAGTTTTGATCTACCGCATTTCAATTAAAATCCTTTTGACACAACCTATTTTTCATTAATCACCCAAGCATAACTCGTGCTGAAAAACGCAAGATTTCAACAGATCAATGCAACAGCAGGCGATAAACAACAGTATAAGTTTAAGATGAAGTCATGATGACTTGTTTTAGACAAGTCAAATGTCCTAAGAGAGAGCTATGAGTAATTCACTTAATACTTCTTACCATTGATTCAAGAACTACAACATTAGTCAGCAGCAGGAAACACATGAGCTGTTCCCACACGTTTGAAACCTCACCGTCATGTTTTATTGTCATAATAAACTACCAGGTGAATGTTGAAACCGACAACATCTTTTGGTTGCATCAACACTTTTGATCAAGTGGACTCAATATAACTATTACAACTAAAAAGCTATTTGAACTAATGGAAAAAAACAAGTGTAAGAAAGCTAGTGCTCAGCATTGCATCTTTTATGTCTTTAAAGGGGCTTTAAGGGGCTCCTCTGATAACTTTCTAGCTGCTTTACACGATTTACAGTTCAGCAAATTCTCCCCATATTTCAGGCTGCTGTTTTTGTAAACTTCTGTTTTTTAAAAGTGCTATACCAATAGAGTTATTATTATTATTACAGTTTTCAAAGTGCTTTGACATACAGTCATACAGCACATGGAAAAAGATAAAAACAAAAAGCTCAGTAAAACAGGAATTGAAGGCTATTTTTATGTCAAAAGGAACACAGACAATACAAGAACCATGCAACATAAAATGAGACCATGAGGACCAAAATAAACACATAAAATAGATAAGAAAAAAGGAAAATGCAATTAAAAGGGGGGATGAAATGGCAAACAGGATAGTAAATGAAAAAGGCAATGTCAACGATGATAATAAAATAATAACAGGTAATCCTGATAATAAAAGTCATGATAAAATAGAGCAATAGAAATGAGCAAGAGATAAAACAATAAAATGCCTAAAAGGTCAATTAAGAAAAGAGTGTAAGTATAACAAAAGCTAAAAAGACAGTAAAGCCGAAGTAAGATAGAGGTAAAAGAGATAAGAGACGGCATCATGTAAAAGCAAGTCTGTAAAAGTAAGTTTTTAATTTTGACTTAAAAGATGCTGCTGTATGCCTTATCTCCTCTGGCAGGTCGTTCCAAAGTCGAGGAGCTCTGATGGAGAAAGCTCTATGACCTTTAGTTTTGAGTCTCGACTTTGGAACGACCAGGAAGCCTTCGCCAGAGGATCTGAGGCTGCAAGGTGGCTCATATGGTATTAAAAGCTCTGAAATGTAGCTTGGAGCAAGTCTTTTGAGTGCTTTAAAAGTAATCAATAAAATCTTAAAATCAATTCTAAAACTGACAGGAAGCCAGTGAAGGGAGGCCAAAGTTGGAGTGATGGTATGCCGTCTACTAAAACCAGGTAAAAGCCGAGCTGCTGCATTCTGAACTAGTTGGAGGTGGGAGAGTCATTTCTTATTTAGACCTGGTAGGAGAGAGTTACAGTAGTCCAGCCTTGAGAAAATGAAAGTGTGGATTATTTTTTCGAGATCTTAATTGCAGACTCTGCCTGAAATGCCTTATTCAAGCCACTGCTCCTTTAATCCTCCAGAACATTCTGGAAGCCCCCTTTACTTTTGCCATGCAATAAAGTTTTGTTTCTTTTTGTTAAATGACACATTTCCAAATTAGATTTACTGTCTGGTAATGATATGATTTGAGCAAATCTCATATTGATCTTTCTGGAACTACAAAGTTACCTAAACACACATTAATTTGACAATCAGAAACTTTGCTTATGGATAGTACTAGCTTCCAAAATTTTAATTTCATGTTTATTTTCAAAATATGAAAAAGTGTTATACCACCTCTATAATGTTTCATTTAAGCCATGGTCCTTGGACAACATCTTTCACAAGTGCTGACAAGTTTCTGTCCAAATTAAAGAAGAATATTTGATTTGACTCTGGACTTAATAAATAAATAATATATGTGTTAAAATGTAGCCAAATTCACTTTACATGCTTCTGTTTCAAAGTTTACTTTGCATGCCAACTCTATATAACAATGTCCTTTCTAACTGCTTAAGAGCGTATCAATCATTGGTAATATAACCCCATAGTTTTCCTTCTCCTGATTTGTCAGGTTGTCTGTTGTGAATACTTCAAAGTGATTGAAAACCACTGCACACTTCCTCCAGTGTGTTTGTTCACTCCTGGTTCTCAAGACAGTCAAGAATTTTTCTGTGACTACATTTTTTCAAGAACACAGTCACTGACATGTTTATTCCTCCTCAAGATCTCAACATGCATTTGGCTGAAATTTGATCTGCTGACAGGGTGGAGACCAAATTACGCACAACAGGGTGACATCAGCTTGCAGCGCTCTGGAGACGATCCAGAGGTTTACCAGATGCACAGTGCTTTCATTCAGGATGCTGGATCCATTCAGCAGAAGGAGGGTGTCATATCAGAGGCTGTTGGCTGCACACAGTGAGGATGTAAATTACAGCTGACTGACCTCATGTGATCATTATGCTGACCAAGTTAAGTTGATTTGCTTTTTCTTGAGGCCTTGCTGTCCACTGTATGCACCGTGTAGGCTGCATTTAAATGCTCTTTGTGGATTTGATTTAGTGAGAGGATGCTGCTGGTCAGGGAGAATGAAGCTACATTGAGACACCACCTCACTACCCCATATGCTTGAATATTTTTAGACAGTGCACCTGAGCAGTTTTGCGGAAGACTAAAGCAAACATTCAAAATGAGATTCCTTATTAAATTTGTGCACTGTTAGGTGATTACAAAAACATGATAAATAAACAAGCTGCATTATTTGGACATAAGGAAGAAATGTGGTGTTTTAACAAAGGAACATGAGCAGGCATAACTTATTAGAGTGTCTATTATTCCCCAATCATTCCAATTTATTGATTAATATTATCAAAGCTAAGTTTTGAGATCAGGTAACTAACCAGGACCCAACTTAATAAATGCTGAAGTCAATTTAAAATGTGCTTATACTAATTAAAGACCTGCTGGTGAACATTTTATAAAAGAAAGACCAGGAGCTGTTGCCCAGTCGGTGATCCAGTCCACTGACATTCAACTAGATAATCAAATCAATCTTTGTGTACATATGGTTGTCAAACAAATCTTCACTTTGTTTTCTCATGTGAGAGGAACTTGTCATACACATTTCTTTCTCATATGAAACTGATGATTAATTTTTCATTTTATGTAGCAACTGTGAAGTCTAACTCAATGAAAGGCCTGTTTTCTTGTCACAATAGCAAAACAAATGGACCCTTTTTTACAGTGACAGCAGAGCAGTACAAGGCACAAGATGGACAATGAATGAGATTTCTAACAATAACAATAATAAACTGTTCCCCTACATCTACTGCGAAGGGAAAACAATCAGGGATATGCGCTGCCTCACAGGCGTCGCTGACACAGCTGATGCTGACTCGCTCCACAATAGTTCGAAATGGTGATGGGTGGACAGAACTATTGTTTGTAATAGCTGTGTATTTTTCTACAGGATGCAAACATTTTAAAGGAGGCTTGAAATACAGCAAATTTTTACAGTTAGTTTAAAAAATGGACTCATGAAGGTTATTTTCTCTGAACAACAGCCCTTCACCTCACAAATACACAACATATAATCTTTATTATTTATCATTAGAAAATATGGAAAGTATGAATGTATGGAGAGGAGGGGGACACCTTGCAGCTGTATCTCCAAAAGGTCTGGGGAAATGTATGAGAGGCTTCAGATGTCTCCACCAGGAAATATAAAATGCAAAAGAGATGCCAAAAATAAAAGCAGCACAATCAGACCACTGTGTACGGGGGCTCACAGGGAGTTCATTGGCTGCACAGTTTAGTAACATCTGTAAAATCAAGTTCTCTTAAATAAGAAAGGACTCTTGGAGTTATGTGCTCAACCAGCCTGGAGAGGAGCAACAAATGTGTCTTTGTGTTTTAATTTAAGGGCTTAAGTAGAATCCTAAGATCAACAATGCCCTCTAATGCATGCGGGGTGAATTACCTCTTTAGATTGATCAGCACAAGAGCTGTGTGCTATTATTACAGGTAGTTATGCAAACATGCTGACATAATTTTTTTAAATCAATTTTTTAACATTCAGTTTTAAAATGTGTAAGTTTGTGGGAGCAATTCTTCAAAGATGACATTCCAAGCTTGAGGACAAAAGTTTAAATTGTTCATATTGAGTTAGAAATGTTATCATTGAAATGCTAATAACTCGGATGCTGGTGTAACCTATGATCAATCCAGACGTCCACCACTCTACATTTTTTCAAAATATGAACTTTGTGAGTCTGCAAATCTGCAAATGATTGTTATTGTGTAATTGCTATTGTGCCTTTATTGGCACAATAGTTCAGTGGATACTACAGCAATCCCACACTTTTTAAAAACCCTTATTCTGCTGTTATAGTTTCACATTGTTGGGGAGAGTCAGCAAGGCGGCACATATCCCTGATTGTTTTCCCTCTGCAGTAAATGTAGGGGAACAGATTATTATTGTTATTGTTGGAAATCTCAATCATTGCCCATCCTGTGCCATGTACTACTCTGCTGTCTAGATAAATCAGGTTTCATTTGTTTGCTATTGTGACAACAGGCCTTTTGTTAAGTCCGACTCACAATCATTAACACAGAATGGAAAAATAATTAGGTAATAAAAAGTTAAAGAGAGGGATGCACACAGATGTTACTGTTATTTTTATCAGCCAAGGAAGCTAATGGAAAAATATTCTGATGTTGGATTGAAATGTGAATAAAATTTAATCCAAGCATGATTTCTAACCTGCTGCAAAATACTTAGACTGCACTTTGAAAAACAAACTGAAGTTTAATGACTCTTATCGGCCCAATGGTTGGCTGATCAGAATACCAACCAACTGAAAATATATATATTTTTTGCTTCAAAAAAGGTATATGCAGTGTACTAAATTACAGAGACTTTTTTTGTTGGAGGACTCAAATTTAAACAGTCCTTTTCATTGATTTAGAAAAATGCTGCAAGATAAAACAAACTTTTACAGAAGGTGTCTCTATATGTCACCTGCTTTTCAAGAGGCTGTTTATTAGAAAGCACATTGATTGTGAATGTATGGAGAGGAGGTGGAAGCCTTGCAGCTGAGCCTCTGAGAGGCTTCAGTGATCTCCACCAGGAAATGTAAAATACAAGAGATGCCAAAAATAAAATTAACAGTGAAGCCTGAAAATTTAAAGAATGCCTATGATACAAGGTGTCACAGAGGTGTGTGCTTTAGACTTTAATGCTGTAAAATGAAGCAGATATTCTGTAACTATCTGAAGATTAACAATGCCCTCCTCTAATGTATGCAAAGTGAACTACCTTCTCTTGATCTGATTAATTTTCTTTACTTTTAATGTGATCTTAACTTTGCAGAAACTTCTTTTAGTTTTCAGGTTCTGACTCATGTCATTGTGGAAAAAGACGCATTGTTCTTCCATGATAATATAAACAAGTGACTTAAGGACATTAATTTGTAACTCTAGGTGGTTGAGACAGATCAGTCCATTTCCGTTGCAAAGGTCCTCTTTTACCCAGGACCCTTGATTTGTTGTTTACTGCTTGCACCAGACAGAAATAATGCATAATGTTTTACAATTTAAATCTTTATCTTGACCCCACATATTGGCCAAGTAAACTAAATTTATTATGTAGGAAGTGATAATGTAAAAACTTTAGAAAGATGGGTATGTTCCACATAATCTACCAAATGTTAATTTCACAAATGACAGTGGACATTCTAAAAGAAACAAGTTGCCACCAGTACATCAATTAGACAAATCCTGAACTTTGTGACATGACAGAGATGTTTGTGTAGATTTTGGATAAATGTATGTACAAGTGGCAACACAAGCTCCAAGTTCAATATTTGTTTTAGACTGGCTGACATATTTGTAAAACCTTACATGACACACTCAATATTAGAATGAGTAAAGTTTAATTTTTGTTTTGCAATACATGAAATAGTGGAAAGATATTCATATACACTCATGTAGAATAGCTCTCCAGCTGTGACAAGTAGGAATACAGCCACAGTTCTCCATTACATATATGTCTTTATTGAGTTAACCGAATCCTTTTATAAAACAACACTATTCTTGTAGCTTTTTGGTCCAGAAATGTTACTGTACTTTATTTACGGTTGAGTCAAATGTGAGGTAAACCATCCATCTGGATCTTTCCTAGCACAAACACACTGTTTTCCAAATAAACGAGCATGGATACATCAAATTATTTTTAATATTTCATAGAAAAAAAAAGAAAAGACTACTAAGTTTGTTACATGAGAAATATACCATAACATCCATTTCAGTCCATGGTGAGGAACCCCAGTCTACCATCCAGCAGTTTTCCCCCACAGAAATTTTTATCAAGTACGTGATATAAACAGTCAAGAGTAACCTGAATTTGAATGTTTAAAACAAAATATGGAATACTAAAACTAAAAGAAAAACTAAGCAAAGTTTTGGCATGTAGTTCAGCTTATGGTTTGAGACATGCAGGAGTTCATCTCAACATCAAAAGATCTGGTGTTATTTTTTTTTTCCCATTGGGAGCCATATCTAGTCTGAGACGTGTCCCTGCTTTGGACAATTTCAAATCATGCATTTCTGTGACCAAAACACATGTTACAAAAAGAAATTACCCTGCATCTCAAAGTTAGACTCAAAATGGAAAAAAAAACACAACTCTACCTGCTTTTGTGTTGGGGAAAGCTTGACATTTAGCCAAGCACAGTGAGGGAAAAAGGTATAAAACAGAATTTAACAAATACAACATGAAAATAAAAATGTGGATGTTCTTCCAAGAGTAGAGTCCACACCCTGTTTAAGAACACAGCCCCCCTGTCTGTTGTTGGAATACATCAATAGTGTCCTCGTCCTCCATCTCCAGCTGTAAAAACACGCACACAAAAACAAAAAAAAGAACACCCATTAGACATTTAGGAACGAGCTGGTTTTGTCTCCAACAGCAAATACACATTTCCTCATTAAAGTACAGTAAAGAGTTCTGTGTCTGGCACTGAGAAGTAACAATCTTCTGTCAATTTTACATTTGCCTTTGTTTCATTGAATAAAAAAATGTAATACAAGGTTATCCTTATAGAAAAGAAAAGCAATGCCCTGCTTTTTTGGCACTGGAACAGACTTATTAAGATATCTATGGTATTTGTTTAAAAAAGAAGATAAAAGCCATTTCATCAGATGTTTTTTTGGACTGTATAAACAAATATGATCTTTTCAGCCACGCCGCTTGAAAGAGCTCATCCTGAGTGAATTTGTCTTTCGTGCCAACATAGAAATAAGGATCAATAAAACTCAAATGTCTGCAAGCCAAACTCCAAGCTACAGCCGACTGCTGATCAGCTTGGAATAGTATTATGACTGGAAACAGCAAGTCCTGGCCTGTCCAAAATGTACTGTAGTCTACCCACAAGCACTGTAAACGCTCAGGAATGACCTCTTTCTATCTTAAATGATTAATCCATATTCAAACGAAACAGAAAAATTTAAGTGTAGTTGATTTAAGCATTTTCAAAAAGTCCACAGTCAGTGTTTTTGAGCATGGTTTGTTACAATTGTAAATGCCATTATCCAGATCTCAGCTTCTACTCTCATTTTATGAGCAATCAATTGAGGACATAGTAAGCTCACTGATGTTTTCAGAAAATACCTATGAATAGTAGACTATGTACAGCCTGTTCTTACCTGTGCCGGTGTGTCTGTTTCATTAATTGGCTGCCCATCAAACCTAAAGCGTATTTGACGAATTGACAGTCCCTTTAAAAAGACAGAGAAGAGAGGAATGCAAAAAAGAGATTAATGATAAGATTGTCAATCACAGTGTTAATGTAATCCTGTTTTTAAAAACTGTAAAAATGACACACCTGTCTTTCGCAGTATGCCTTCATTAGTTTGTTAAGTGGAGTATGCCTTTTGATTTTGAACTGTACTACTGAGCCATCCTGACCGGCCACCTTCAGGTTAATGTGGTCGTTCTCTGTCTTGACTCCTTCCTGAAACGAAAACAATCACAAGCAGAAGCAGCGACACGCATGAGTGATTTGTATACATAGTCTGGTGCCACCATTTCAGTTACGCACACAAACAGTGAGTACGGTTGTATAAACTGGGCAGCCACAACATTATAAACACCTGGGCAATTAAATGCAATCCAATAAAGCAGCTCTACCATTAATTCTATTTTTACACAGCTTCAAATATTGAGGTTTTGTAGACAGATGATACCTACTCTTCACATTCATTAGTGGGTGTTAGTGATGAGTTGAAAGGCACCTATATTATTGGAATTAACAAATCTGAGGAGTACCTTTCAATACAACACACATCAGTACACCACCACTTTGTCTTTTAGAATACATTTAAAGTACATGGAGTGTATCTTAATATCATCTGTATGATCATGTCAACAAACACTTTAAATTTGAGTAGCCTCCCAAAAGCAGAGGTTGTTATATTGGTTTGCATTAGGTTGCTTAAGTAGTCATACTGTTATGGCTGGTGGGTGTATTGCACATGACATCGTTAAAAGATAAAGTAATACTTTATCTCAGGATGCCTCCTTTTCCTGCAAAACATCCGTAACTACAAGCATGCACCGACACCACCTGGTAATATTGATCTGATTAGAGATTGATCGGAACACCGGTGTCTGGGAACACGACTCCGATCCACAGCAGCCGACTGAAGGTTAAATTAGTTTTGTTTACATGGTAAGCTTGGTCCTCAGGTCACGCATATATCAATAAAACACCACATTTACACGCATTATGCTACCATAAGGTACCACCTGCGGTTCTTTTCTTGTTAGCATAGCATGCTAGTCGGTGCTCAAACTGGCGCAGAGAGCCACAATGGCGCAAATGAAAAGAAAAAAAACCCTCAAATCATTCATTTCGCTGGCAGTGTCTCACACCGTCGTTTCCACATGGTTTCGTCTAATGGTAACACAACAAGCAGTAGAAGGGCGCAGTTATGATATTCGACCCGTATTACCTTAACACTGTGCGCCTGAAAGCGAAAGATCCGCAATTTTGTCAACCTTTGTTTTCTCCGTCGACCCGCTCAAATGCGCTATCTGGAGCCTGGAAGCACGGCTAGCTTAGCAGGAGAGGCTAACGTTAACTTACAACTGGCATCATAAGCCTTAAACAGTTGAGTGAAAAACCGTGAAACCGTGAAACAGAGCAGTACCGACCTTAGGTTTCTCCTCAGACATTGTGCTGTTTTCCCAGGGATTTATCACTAACGTGGAGACGAACCGTTAACGGTGAAGCGGGTTATCTGCTCCTCCGGCTCTTTCGTTTGCACCAGGAGGCGCGCGCACTTAAATTTAAACTGTAATTCGACCAAAACGGTCACGTGCTTCACATTTCCTCGGGATCGCGGATATGTGAGCGCGCAAGCCAATTTGCGCGTGCCCGAGAGAAAGGTAACACAGGGGGCCTATGCAAATCTGACCTACAGTTAAGGCCGTGGTTTACAAAGGAAACATAAACCAACTCAAAGGACGATCTAGTCGACAAGAAATCAGACCTACTTCCACTGCAGACACAGCTATAAAATAAAATCGGTCGTTTGATAACAGAGCTGAAAATGCTTTCATAATGTAAGCTTATTTTTCAAAAAATGGTATCTGAATCTTACTTCATAAACGTACTTCATTCTAGGTGTACATCTGGATAATAAGTTGGACTGGTCTAAGAATATAGACTTCATCTACAGCACAGGTGTCAGACTCAAGGCCCGGGGGCCAAATCTGGCCCGTGGAACAATTATATCCGGCCCACAAGATCATATCATATTTGTTTTATTATTGGCCCACCAGTACGAAGTCTGCAGATTTTCTCCAGTATAATTATGTAAATTTTAGCACCATTATTTAAAATGTTCTTAATAAGACACTAAAATCTGGGAAATTAAAGAGTAAGGAAGATTTGATAAATAATAATGAATGTGGGGGAAAAAATATTTGGTGTTTTATTTCATGTTTTTAATTTTAAATTTCAAGATTACAAGTAAAACATGATTGGATCTTTTATTTCATGCTTTGATTTTGTTCCACTCAGTATTTAGACTAATTTTTATATTTTAGATTCCAATTTTGAATTTTAAGTCATATTTTAAGCTTTTAAACCTGATTTCAACGTTCTCCTCGTGTATTTGCTCTTTAAAAGCATTATTTTTCTATTTTTAATATCATGCCTTAATCTTTTGAACTAATAAACAAAAATAGAATAAAAATAAAAAAGTTTTTCTATCTCAGATTGCCTTTAAACTTATCTTTTTACCTTTTTTTGAATTTCCAAACGATTTATAATCATTGCTGTTTTTGTTACATATTTTTTGAAAAGGAGTTTGACTGTTTTGGTGAAATGTTGACCCTGGTTGGCCCTCAGGTTAGACCTAAATCCAGATTATCGCCCATGCTGTGGTTGAGTTGGATACCCCTGGTGCTAGGTGTACATCTGGATAGTAAGTTGGATTGGTCTAAGAATATAGACTACATCTACAGAAAGGAGCAGAGCTGCCTCTTTTGCCTGAGAAGACTCCGATCAACAGATATCTTTAGTAAGATGCTGCAGATGTTTTATCAGTCTGTGGTGTCTACAGTGTTCTGTTCTACGCTGCAGTCTGCTGGGGAGGAAGCATCAAACACAAAGATGCAAGACGTCTGAACAAACTGGTGAAAAAGGCTGGCTCTGTGGTAGGACTCAAGCTGGACTCAGTGGAGGATGTGGTGGAGAGATCTACACTGAGGAAGGTGGAGTCTATTCTAAAGAACATGGATCACCCACTTCACAACACCTTGATGGACCAAAGGGCCGATGGTGGTGGACGGCTCCTCTCTCATCGCTGCAGGACAGAAAGATTCAGAAGATCTTTTGTACCAACAGCCATCAGACTTTATAACTCTTGTGTGAATAGTAGATAACTTTTAGAGACATATTATGTGAGACAACAGACAATTGAAATTCCCTTCGGGGATTAATAAAGTTATTCTTATTCTTTAAAGAGAGTGAGGCCCTTCTGCTTTCGTCAAAGACGTCAAGTACAGTTTAGATTGTATTGTAGTCCTTGATGAGGTTAAAAAGAAAACATCTGACAAATTCACCATGCCTATAAGAAGAGTATACAGACCCTTTCCAAAAATTAGAATATCATGGAAAAGTTTATTTCCATAATTCCATTCAAAAAGTTAAACTTTCATAGATTATAGATTGAGGGCCCACAATTGAAATGATTTGAAGTATTTATTTGTTTATTTTTACATAATTTGGGCTTCCAGCTCATAAAACCCACAAAAACAGAAATTACAAAAATTAGAATTCTGTGAAGAAATCACCATTTACGTCTGAGTTTTTGCAGAAAAAAAGACAGAAATTAGGATCACATCAAATCAATCAAAATAGGATACTTTCAAAATGATATGTCAATCTTCAATACTTGGTTGGGAATCCCTTTGCCCTAATCACTGCCACGATGTGTTGTGGCATTGCCTGGGAGTTATGGAAGCCCAGATTTCCTTGATGCTTGCTGTCAGCTCTTCTTTGTTTTTGGGTCTGGTGTCCCTTATTTTCCTCTTGATAATACCCCATAGATTGGTTGGCCAGTCAAGCACTGTGATGGCATAGACATCAAACCAGGTTTTGGTGCTTCTGGCAGTATGGGCAGGGGCCAGGGCTTGCTAGAACATGAGTTCTGCATCTCCATACAGATTCTTAATGTAGTGGTTTTTTGAAGCTGTGAATCCTGCCTCATTCCACTCTTTCTGGATCTCTGCAAGATTCTTGAATCTTCTCTGTTTGATAATCTGCTGAAGCCCACAGTCATCTCTTTTGCTGGTGCATCTTCACCTGCTACGTTTTGCCCCTCTACCAGACTTTCCCTTGATATGCTTGGACACAGCACTCTGTGAACAGCCAGACTCCTTAGCTATAAACTTTCGTAGCTTACCCATCTTATGGAGGGTACCAGTGATGGTCTTCCGGCCACTTGTCAAGTCTGCAGTCTTCCCCATACTGAACCAAATTGGGACGATTGAACCAAACTTAAGCAATTTAATGACACCTGGGGAAACCTGTGCAGGTGCTTTGAGTTTAGTAGATGATTAATGCATGACACTCAGTTTAAAACATTCATGACCCGCAAGATTTGGGCTGGTTTCTTCACAGTATTCTAATTTTTTGAATTCTTGTTTTTGTGGGTTTTATGAGCTGGAAGCCCAAATTATGTAAAAATAAACAAATACTTGAAATCGTTTCAATTGTGTGCCCTGAGTCTATGAAAGTTTAACTTTTTAAATGGAATTATGGAAATAAATAAACTTTTCCATGATATCCTAATTTTTTGGAAAGGGTCTGTACATTGATATATGTAAGCCTCTGTATGTCTCAGTGAAAATGCATTAAAACACATTGGTTATCGTGTTTCCCAAACCACATTTATGGTTTTTACCATTGCACACTTTCTTCAGTGCTTATTTTTTTTTTTTAAACTTAAAAGGAATTTTTTTTTTGTTATGTTCAACCTTTTTTCTACAAGGTGGATGGGCTTTAATGGTAATAAATTCAAATCATACATAACAGAATATTAATTTTATTTGTTTATTTTTTTAATCACATTTTCTAAACAGATGCTGACTTAGTTTGTGAAAATAGTCATGCTTTTTTTAATCAAAGAAAGGTCTGAAATAGCTTCAAAATTCAACATCTTTAATCAAAAAAGTAGCAGAAAATCTGCAGGATATGCAAACATCCTATGTATAGAAAATAAAATTTTTACTTTGGACTTGAACATTGTTTAGTGAAATATTACAAAAATAACATGAAATCAAAATGCTACTCAGTAAAGAAGTACCACAAGCACTGATCTGCTCTTAAGTCGTAAGACTCGTACAATACTGCATTTTGTGCAAAACAACACAATTTTTTCATCTCTGTGAAAAGCGTGGCTTAATTAGGAGCCCTTACAAGACAACTTAGAAGCGTGGATTAAAAGCAAATGACCCGAACAGATTTGTTTTTAAACTATTTACATGAAAATTAAGGGATTAGAGCAGAGCTGTTGGATGTAAAAGTAAAGCATTAGGAGTGAAGACAGGATTTTGGAGTGTGTGCTCTCAAAATAATTTCTGACTCCCTTTCACACAGTTTTTTTTGGCAAAGACAGACTCTCTGAAATTCATGTAATCACAGTTTGTAACATGCTACACGTTTACCACTGTTACTGGCATACATCAGTTCATTAAGGAGTCAGGTGGGAGGTGAGATTCTTCTCAGTGATCATCCATACGGGAGTACGGATTATCCTTGGCCAGACCTGAAAAGAGAACAAAGGAGATAGTGTTTGACATTTAAGGTAAATGTGCTCCTGAAGTCCAAATCTTTCTAAAATCATTATCATTGGACATTTCAGAATTTGTATTGACACTTTTATCCAATAGATGGCACTACTGAGTCAAAGTTGTTTGTTGCTTCTTTGAACCATTGTTCAGCTTTTCTTGTTTTTTGTAAACCTTGCCTTTTTAACAGAAGTGTTTAATCACTGCTTATTTTCTGCAAAGCTCAGAAAACAGACAAATCTTTAACTTTTCAAATTCAGACTTTCTGACTCAGTCCCAGCACTCAGTCAGAGAATGTGTCTCACCATATTTGTTTCTGATTTCGTCATGCCTCAGCTGCATTTCTGTCCTCCTGTTGGGGAGAGACAAAAAGAAATTTTTAGATGACCAGAAAAAACACAACTACAGTCTCAGGATGCCTAGTGCACAAGAACTTCTGTGGGGTGATATTGGGATTATCTGTATGACGAAAACCTGCATTACATGTGGTGAACATTAAAAAATGAAGCAACAGCAAAAGCAAAAGTTATGGCGATAAAATTAACATTCTTCACACTGATTTTCCATAAAATGCAACTATGTCAAGGTCTTTTGATTCTGTTTTAATTTTAATACATAAAAATCAAAATGGTCACTCAGGAAATAATGTAATTCAAGATTGTCAATGATTTGGTTTAGTGATCTATAAAAGGAGTGGGAAGACGTACAGACCGATTTAAAACCTAACCCACAAACAAAAGTCATTAATTATCCAACATCCTCATGGATCTGACCTCAACCATCACTATATCCTAAATGTCCTACAAAATACAAACTTATTCCTAATACAACTAGATAATGTCATTACTGTAATAGTCTTTTACAGCGATCAAAAAATATAGTAATTACTGTTATGTTTAACTGTAAGTATGAAAATTCTTGGCTGGAATGTTTGATTTCACATTTATTGAGGGGTTAAAAGGCTTGAATGTCTGAAAGATTCCTTTTTTTGGTTAATTTTTTTTCTTGGACTGTCAAGAAGCAGCATAAAATCAACAGCACAAACTTTAAGACTGACGCCCCCCAGTGTCCATTTACAGTTATTATATTTCTAACAAATCAACTGATTAGTCTTTGTTCTCTGTATCTAAATGTGCTCCTGACCTCTCTTTCTGCCGGGCCTTCCTTGCTCTAGTCTGTCGTTCAATCTTTGCATCTTCTTTCTTGTTCCTAGAAAACAAGAATATGTGATTTTACAGATATAGAGCTATATAAAAGTACAATTTGCAACAGACATACATTGTAAAACAAAAAAACAACAGTTACACTTAGGCTAATGCTGCTGTAAAAGTCAATGAGATAAAAAGTCTGATCCTTCAGCAGAATGATTAAATTGACTTGTTGTTTCAGAAAACTGGAGCATGTCTCACTGGAAAGGGTAAAGCTATTTAGAGAGTTAACCACAGTTACAAATTCTGGCAGGCTTTGGAGATGGCGGTATCAGTCGAGCCTTGCAGAAAAACAAACCCATTGTGCTCCCACGTCCTCCTCCTCCCTCCATGTTGAACCAGATTTCACAGTCAGAGCTTCATGTGACTTGGTGCTTACCCGATTCTCTCACACTTGCAGCAGCAGCAGACGCAAACAAAAATGGCGATGAGGATGACCCCGGCCAGCGCTGACATGGTGATGATCAGAATCTGGAAATTTACTAAGAACAGTAACAAAGACATAAATGGTGGAAATTTAAATGCTGAGATTCAACAGAGACAACGAGTCACGACACAGACAAGGACTGTGCCTGACTTTGGCTCTGACTCTTTGTGCCAGTGTTACCATGGAGTTTAAGTTACTGTAATTAAATCGTTATTCAATTAAGGGAACAGACGGAGACATTTAGCGCAGTCATTTTCCATTATTTCTCATGTAAGTACATAACTACTTCAGCTGCTGACAGAAAACAGTGACAAATGCCAATCACTGATTCTGCAGCACAACATGTGGTCCTTACACTCCTTTTTGTGAAGGTAATTTTTAAGATATTTTCTTCACACAAAAATCAAGGAAAATCATTAAAACTGTGGGAAAAAACTTCATATATTTTCTACAATTTAGTAATAATATCTCCTTATTGCTCCTTTTTGTGCTGTAAAACAAAACAAAACAAAAGTTGTGAAAAGAAAGGCAGACTGTCAGTAAAATAAAGCAGTTATTAGTTAGAAAGTGGTGGGCAGTTTGGGAGCAAAATGAGACAAAGACAAATATAAACACTCAAGATAAAAAAAAAAGAGGAAGGACTAAGAGACAGAACAACATATCACAGTGACAGTCATGTGTGTCATCAGACGCTCCTCCACACACCCAAAAAACACCAAATAGTCTGGGGAATATTCACACCTAAGCATGCATCAGTGAGGTTTTAGGCTGAGATAGTCTTACCCCAACATACCCCCCACCGTGCATCATTCAGAGGACACACACTGCTGGGGGGCAGTATGTTCCTGGTCGGGTAGTCGATGCATCGTGCAGTAGGAGAGCACCATAAACACTGCAACACAAGACAGCAAAAAACACTTTTTCCTACTATCTATAAGTACATGTGTTCATACATCAACAATGTAGTAGTGTTATTTGACCTACGGTCACATTTTTCAAACATTCCTCACAACTTGTGTTGGATCTGGAGGCACAGGGAGCTGAAACAGAGATATGAAACTGTTATTTACACACTGAAAAAAAAAGTTTGTATGCTGTAGAAAGCAGCTAGTCTTCATAATTAGATTAGCCAATACAAACCACCAATTAAGATGATTATCTATGCTTCTATAAGTAAAAGTCCTTACAGCTGCTTGTCATGTGACAGCCTCCTGACCTGACTCTGGACTGAACAAAGCACAAAGGCATTAAAAAAACAGAAACACTTACTTGCTGGAGAAGGAGTCGCTGTTTGCGCCTCTGTGTATAAAAAGAAAGTGCAGAAAACCAAAGTTAGCGTAAACACCGATCCTGCGTAAACTCTTAACATCGTGAGACAACAAGAAATCATCCACAGAGAAGAGGAACAACGGAGAAGAGAGAGAGTGGTTTTCTGAGAGTCGGGCTGAAGGGAGGATCTCTGCTTAACGGGACCTGACGTCACCAAGGCCTGACGCTGCCACCGGTGTCAGAAAACAGCTGCGGAGTGAGACGTCTGTCTGCGCTGTCTGCAGACATCTGTGAAATCCTGTAGAGTAACCAGCAGAAATGCCAACTTTACGAAGGAATAACACTATCCAGCCACCAAATTACACGATTAAACCAAATACACGAATGTTATGTGAAAGGCCCAGCTTTAAAAAAGTGAAATACGTTTTATAGAGTGATCTCCACAGTTATTTAAAATATATAAGTTCATGCTTTGAAAAAATGACAAGTAGCAACAAAAATAAATTTCAAGCTGTTTTTTTTCTTTGTTCAACTTTTTCTTGTTTTTTTTGAAAGGTGAGAAAAGCATTACAAATTCACAACTAATATAAAAAGTTAGAATAAAGGTTATCATGTCACAGTATTACCTCTCAGTTTTGAGCAGCTGACCACCAGAAGATCAGGTTATATCAGACCTGTTAAATTATGTACATAAAAAGGACCACCAAATATTATTATAACCATCTTTTTCCATGGGGCCCTTACCTCTGTTTTTAGTACATTATTTATGCATAGAACAATGTCTAACCATTTCACCTGTTTACAACATATAAAGTACCCAGTTAGTTGTATACTGGACAAAAATATAAACAACAGTTTTGTTTTTCATGAGCTAAACTCAAAGATCCATGACTTTCCCTATGTGCACAAAAAAAAAAACAATTTCTCTCAAATATTGTCGACAAATCTGTCTAAATCTGTGTTACGGAACACTTCTCCTTTGCTGAGATAATCCATCCACTTCACAGGTGTGGCATATCAAGATGCTGAGTAGACAGCATGATTATTGCACAGGTGTGCCTTAGACTGGCCACAATAAAAGGCCACTCTAAAAGGTAAAGTTTTATCACACAGCACAATGCCACAGATGTCACAAGTTTTGAGGGCGTGTGCGATTGGTATGCTGACTGCAGAAATGTCCACTACAGTAGAACTGTACCTTTTAGTGTCCTTTTATTGTGGCCAGTCTAAGGCACACCTGTGCAATAATCATGTTGTCTAATCAGCATCTTGATATGCCACACTTGTGAGGTGGATGGATTATCTCAGCAAAGGAACTAACACAGATTTGTCAACAATATTTGAGAGAAATAGGTCTTTTGTGTACATGGAAAAGTCTTAGATCTTTGAGTTTAGCTCATGAAAAATGGGAGCAAAAACAAAGGTGTTGCATTTATATATTTTTTCAGTCTAGTTAGTTCAATAGCTGTCATCCTCCCTGAGTCCTAATCTTTAGTTTTGTGACTCAAATTCACTATTTTCGATATAACTAGGTGGGTCTGCCTGTCTTGAGCAATACAATACTGTAACTGTTCTAATTTCACTCACACTCCTCCTTGAACAGATGTTTCCAGGTTTGTTTCTCATGTAAGTTTAACACCCTCACAGTTTGGGAGTTGGAAAATTAACATTAAATCAGCTCTTAACCATTTTCCCATGTAGATCTTTTTTTTTCAATTTACTTATTATGCCACAGTGATGATGCTTTTGTTTAATGGGGATTTATTTCACACACAGCCTCTTGAATCTGCCGCTCCTCCCCGATTGGTCCTGCAGACTTAGCCCATAACCAATTAGCAGCTGGTTCCTGTAGTATTAACATCCTCCCACAGTCACACAGATAAGCCCCCCCCCAAAAAAAAAAAACAAAAAACAAAAAAAAAAACCAACTCTATTTCTATTGCCACCCATGCAGGAGAGGAGATTTCAGGTAAATTTGATATTGATAACTGACTGAGTAAGAAAGCATTGTGGTACCTGTCTAGTACTCTGTGTCCCAGTTTACCTTTTTCCACTGGAATAAGAGGAGGTGAGAGGGGGACACTTCCAGCGTAAAAATAATCATTAACAGATTTCTCTTTGGTTGTATCCATTTTAACACAGCAGCTGGTTGGACCTGTCATTGTCAAATAATGTATTCAGGTCACATCATTTAGACTAAATTTACAGGCAGCAGAATATGACATAATGTTTATGTCAGTTTCTTATTCCTTAATATTTTAGGGCTCTAATGATTTTGTTTTAGAATAATACATGTGGGAGGAACCAACAGACTGCATAAAATGTTCCCTTGCAATTTTAGATAATAATGCTACTAAAAAGGACTCAATTAATCTGGGCTATACAATGAAAAAATCTGCAACACTCATTTGAATACAAGTTTCTTTGTATTATCTAACACATCTTCCCTGTTTTTTCAGTGTATTCCTGTGGTGCATGCAGGGCTATTATTGATATGAACCATTTAGTTATCTACAGTAAAGAAACAGCAAACAAAAAACAGCTTTTGAAATACAATAATTTATTAAAGCATCTTTAAATTTCGATATAAAACACTGTCTGATTTTTCTTTGTCAAAACAATCAGAAATCTCAGAAATACAGTCATCGTCAAGGCAACATCAGTCTCTGGTGTGGCCGCCGGCAGCTAACCAGATTGCCTCAGTGAGTGTGATCGAAGAGCAATGGAAGACAGTGATGTGATGTGAGGTAAACACTACGCTCATCATGTCTGGATCATAGTGTCATCATGAAGTACACTGTCAGGTGACCGGTGTTAGCTTCAATCCTTTCTGGTTTTTACACTGTATGAGAGCCAGATTGTAAGGGAGTTGGTGAGGTCGGGTATTAAGCTTAACATACTTTTACACTGGGAACAAAAGGAAGGAAACAAAAGGTGTTTATATTGGAGTCTAAACTTCTGTGCTCCTGTAAGCACCAGTGAAGAAAAACACATGTACTAAGAGAACTGCATCAATACAATTCAGCCTTTTCAATCTTCTTGTAGCTAATAAATACCCCACCCTCAGATGGCTGCTTACATCTTTGAAAACAACAAAATCAAACAATCTCCAGACACAGACATTCTGAATAAGCAAAATCCTATGCATTTCTCACTAAAACCCTTGATCAGCTTTCATTTACAAAAAGATTCAGACATACTGTCAAGCCAGCACACAGTCAAACAGCTCAGCACAAGTTCTCAATACTTGATGTTGCATTTTTACTCAACACTGATTTTTTTATGCATTCATATTACTTTTAGAGGCAGGGTTTCTATTTATCTCAAACTGGGATGTGTTTAAATGGCACCAGTGGAAGCTGTAAATCCTAACAAATTAAAAATGTATAATCAATTCCTGAAAGGCAGCATCTGCACCTAAACTATATTAGTACAGAAGAGCTAAAAATAAACACTTAAATAAGGCAAAATATGGAAGGTAAACTCCCTGGGACAGTTGTTATTACACATTAACCTGAGGGAATCTCCATTCAGGAGAACATTCATTACAAAGGGGAACAATATGTGTCGAAACTACACATGATTAAAAAGAATATTTGCCACAACAGCTCATTTATACATGTGTTGGATGCATGCTCAAAAAAAAAAAACCATGGCCTGCACTTTTTGGAAAAGTCCTAATTGAGATGTGAATGTTTTAATAAAAAAAAAAAAAACACATAAAAAAGACACCTGAAAAATATTTCAAGTAAGATGTGAGACATGACCAGTGTAACTAACACAAGCAGAAGCATGTTTGGAGGGAGGCCACACTCTGACAGCTTAAATGGTTTCAGATGCATAAATGTTCCCACTTTTACTTCAAAGCAGGAGAGACACCGTTTCTGTCTTTACATTGTCTTTTCATGCCTCTTGGTTTTCTGTCAGGTGGACTGAAGCTGGTTCATTTAGTGTCCTGCAGCATCAATCACCTGATCCAGCTGGCTCCAAAGCTGGCTACAGATTTCACACTGCAACGTTTCTTCACAATCATGTTTATGTAGGCTTTCATGATCTTTGTGATCTCTCCAACCTGGAAATGGACAAATAAAACAAACAGTCAGATGTGACATTCTTATTACAAGGCAAAGCAATTTCTCTAAAATTGAAATCATTGAACCCGTTTCCTTTGACTGACACAGATGATGACATACCTGTGGTGTTTCAAAGTACATTTCTCTTTCGTCCACTGTGATCTTGTAGGTGCACGGCTGTGGGGCTCCAAAGAAAACAATGTGCTCGTAGGGGAAAGTCTCCAGAGGTTTGGGCTCTCCTCTCTTATAGACAGACACATTTTCAGCACTCACACTCAACCAGAGATCATGAGGGAAGCCTCCTTCTCTGCACTGTAAAGACACAAACATAGGGACTCATGAGTATCATTCAGTGTCTGTTGAAGCCTGGTATCTAAGACATGTTGAGGCCTAATCAACATGTTTAGAGAGAAAAGGAATAGTATGAGTGGATTGTGTATCTTTACCTCCACATCAAACAGAGTGGATCCATATCCAGGCCACTCCTTGATGATAGTCATGTATTTGAGCATGGCTTGGTGCTGATCCAATCCTTGAAGGCGGGACCACTTCTCCACAATGCTAGCCCTGGTAGCAGATGTCTCTTCTTTTATCCACATCTCCAGCATCTGCTCCTCCTCCATCCGCTGCTTCTTCATTGAACCTGTCTTCAGCCCCCGCCGCAGGGTCCCATCCAGAAAGCTGGTCCTCCGACGCTCCAAAGTCTGGCCAGACCCTGAGGCCCCGCCCACTTTGGTAAACTGGAGGATGCGAGCGCGCAGACGGCCTACAGGGTAGACACTTTCGAGGTTCCAAGTGGCTCGTGCTTTGTCCCCATACAGGAACTGAAGGCGGAGAGCGGCCAGGTGCTGCAGAGTCTCCTCTCTGGAGGGGAAGTGACCTCTGATCAAACTCTCATGAGCCTGAAAGAACAGCAGGTTGTCGTTAGCACTGGCTGCAACATGAGATTCAAAAAAGCCTCTGTGATTATTGAACACACCTGCTCAAACATGAAGGCAAACTCCACTCCTTCTTTCGGCATGCTCTCTACATCCAGGAAACAATAGAGTTTAAAATAGAGTTTCCACTGGCCTTCATCCTCAGCTTCATCACTCCCAGCAAGCCTGAAGAGAAAATAACAAGACTGTTTCTAACAAAGATACTCTTTTGTCCTTTATCCTGCAGTTTGTTTTCATTTTTAACAGATTGCACTTTTAAATAACTCTGAGTCTATCAGTGATTGCAAACAATAAGACAGACCATGACCTGAGGAGATCACTTTTAAAGCTACAGTCAGCAACACTATTTCATGCATTTCTCTCACAACATCAAACTAAATGATTTTTTTGATGATTCAACTTTTATTAAGCTTTCATTATTTTTTAACAAGACCAAACAAACAAACAAAAACAGTAAAAAGAAAAGAAAAAAAACCAAAAACTCTTAAAAAAGTGTGTATGTCTGTGAGCAGTTGGCCCTTTTGGATTTAGTTGTCTAGGCAACCAACCAATCTGCTTGCTAACCACAGCAGACTAGCATCATCCAGCCTCTAACTGACTTGTAGTGGCTGCACTCCCTCTTTCTACCTGTTGCTTTCTCCTCGCCTCAGTGTTGCTGTGACCTGCACAGCACAGCAGCAGTGGCACACAGCAGCTGCTTCTTTTGAATTTATTTGGGATGCATATACATATATTTGGTGTGTTTTTTTGATGCCTCATTGAAGGGAGGGGCTCATCTGAGTGGATACGAGGTTTGCAGAAGGAGAGGTGGGAGATGGTAGAGTGGAGCATTCATGAGGGTCTCTAACACTTAAATTATACTTAAATACTACTAAAAAGCTTGCAATGAAAACCAGTGACCCTGACCATAAATGTGAATCTGTTGACCAGATCTCAAAATGAAAGAGTCACATAATAGTTTTAGATTTACTTCCTGTGATGATTTACAACTCACCTTTCAAATTTAGCCAGAACATCAGCCACTAGCACCCTGCTCTCTACAGCTCTGTCAATAGTGTTGTTGTGTTCGAACAGTGCAAACATGTTCCTGCTGTCCTCCATAGCCAGACCTCTGATCAGCTTTTCCACCACCTGAACAAAGTAAAAGACAACAATCATCACAGCAGCTGATAAAGAGTCTGTAATAGAGTTTAAGTGAAAAAAAGGAATATTCAAAGAAGCTCATGTGGTGATGGTCTAAATATCACACACCTCTCCAGCAGTGGTGTGTGAGTTAATGGAGATCTTGCAGGAGCCTCCACCATGGCAGTACACAGTGGTGGTCATCTCCTGTCTTGAGAGCAGTGCCATGATTTCCTCCTGAGAGGGAACAAACTCTCTGGCCTTCGTCTTTTTCAGAGACTCGCCGATGAAATGGGCAAACATTTCGATCTCTGTACAGGGGAACAGCTCCCTGATCCTGAAAACACCCAAACACACACAGACACAGTCAGCTAGATGTCTCAGCCGGCTGTAATTATACATGTTATAATATGATTAATTACATATGTAATTTTATTGTCCAGGATTATGCTGCACCTTTTGAGGTGAAACTTGAGGTAGCGTAGGATGCCTCGGCTGGGCAGGAAGGTGCAGCTCATACAGGTCAGGAGGTGCCAGTGTGCACGGTTGGCAGGACTGTTAGGGTGAGGGACGTGATTGGTTTGTTTGATCAGCTGGCAGTAGACCTCATCTCTTAATGGCCTCAGATCTTGACAGGTCTGCAGGATCCCCTGGATGATTGGCACAGGGTCTGACACCGCCTCCATCTCCTGCAGTGAGTTGAAAATCTTCAGGGCTTCGTCCTGCAGGCTGGTGTAGCCCTTCTCCTTTTGCACTGGGAGGCAGACACAGAGGGAGTAAAGTTTCAGACTAAATCTACTTTTTCATATCTCTAAATGTTTTTGCACTTGGAAAAAGGACACCTAGCATTATTATTGTGTCCTATTCTGTTCTCTCTGATGGATTAAGTTTTCTTGTTATCCCTGAGATAAGCTCTGTTTTTCTTTTTTGTCTCTTCACTTTTCTTTCTTTGTCTTATTTATGTATTGGTTTGTTTTTCAACAAGCAAGAGAGAATAAGAGCTACTGTATGAATGAAGTGTAGAATGAGTGTTATGTAAGTGTAATGTCTGTCAGTACATGTTTAAGTTCAAATGGAAAATGGAAAAGAAGATAAGGACCCCAGGAAGAATAGTTACTGCATATCTTGTTGTAACTAATGGTGGATCTAAAATAAATAATAAATAAATAAATAATCTAGACTTTTATGTTGATATGCACAGACAGAAGGGCTAAGGGGCTTGTGTAAGTCCATGCAATCCTGTACTGCTTCTGTCCTCTGACATCATTTCTAAATAAATGCATCAATTCATACATTCAATTGACCTTTACCGATGTTTATCATACCAGAAACTTCCCTAACAACAAAGATATTCTTTAAATTAGGATTATTTTTGAGGAAATAAGTTAGTCTGTATTTTGTTTCTTGTGAGCTCTAATGTTGTATTACACTATATGATGGAAATACACATAAATCAAATAGAAAATGCATGTTGTCAGGTTGTACAAAAGCTGATCTGAGTACCAGCTGCACTCACAGTGGATGCTGACATCTCCATAGGGCAGAGGTAGAAGAGGGGAGTGCAAAGGATGCTGGGTATATCTCAGGATGGGGTTCCTCCAGTATGTCTGCTCCACAGCCTCCACATTCAAACTGCTCTCCTGCACAGACACAAAACTTGATCAGTCATCTTAACCTTAAGCATGATGAATAACGAACCATCATATTGTAAATGTATAATTCAGTCAGTAAAGTGAAGTAAAGCCAGGAATGTAAGAAGAGCGAGGCAAACACAAATATGTCGAAGCAGGTGAGGGAGAGGATGAGAGCAGATCACCGCACACACAGTGAGTCTTAGTACCTCACTTTACTAAAACGTGTGTCCCTGCCAAAGATTTGCATGACTGTAAAGAGTTGGAGTCAAACAATATATACATTAACATAAAATACATCAATGAAAAGTCATGCAGACATATAATGAGCATATTAATAGAAATGAGTGTAACACAAAGACCAGTAAATATTAGAACAACATTAAAATGACTGACACACTGAAGGTTCAAAAAGTGGGATTATTCCTTTAATACCTTGATGTCCCTGATGAGCTGTTGTGTTGGTGTCTCAATGGGAACTTTGCTTTCAATCGCTCCCTGTATGGCGTTCGCCCACCGCATGGCTTCATTCAGCATTTTGGTGTAGAGACGGTACGAGTGTTTACGCCCATGGACGATAATGTTCCAGTACCCTGAGTGAGCGAGGCAAAGGTTTACTCATGAGGACTAATCACTCTCAGAAAGAGCAAAGAACTGCTAATATAGATTTCTAATATAATGTTAGAACCTGAAATATGGAAGATAATAAAAACTCATTTGAGATGTTTCAAAATAAAAAGTGTTCATTCCCCTTTCTGAAGATTCCTGGAAATAATAAATCATGAACTGACCGGTATCTTTGAAGACCTTTTCATCCGGCTGCACCACAGAGCACAGGCTGTTGAGGACCAGAGTTCCCAGTTTGGAGGCACTGCGTTCAGAAGACTTGTAATAGTCTAGAGAGTTAGTGGTGAGAACGAACCAGCGCTTCTTCAGCTTCAGAGACGTGCTTTTGGCACCGGACTTCATCTCTTTGTGTAGCCAGCCTGAGAGAGGAAAAGTTATTAACTTTCCAGTCATCAAGTGATTGCCTCTCTTTCCCATCTTTCAAACATTATTTCACACATTTTGCTCTCCAGTGTACAGTCCCATTTGTCATGTGGGAAGCAAAGCAGACATGTCCTACTGTGGTGTAAATAAAACTGCATAAATAAACTCTCTCTGACCTCTGACTATGAACTCCTGCCCGTCCACCCTGGAGTCTCCTTTGGATTTCTGCAGCAGGCCGATCCAGTGGTGCATCTCCTCAGGTGTGTCAGTGTTGCAGTGGATCACCCGGTTAGCAGTGATGATCACAAACGAGTTTGGTCTGCAAAACAGAAAATACACATGTGGTTGTACTGTGTGCATACCACTCAGACTGTTTTTTAAAAAAAAAGAGTTTTCAGGTTGTTTCTCACCTGTCTGGGTTGTCTGATGCACAAACTGAATCAATCAAGCCCACATCTAGTGTGCCCTGCACAGATAAAGAAGAGGTAAAGCACAGAAGTTATCAGCTGTAGACCATTTACAGATGTTTTCCTTTGTTGGTTTTCACTAAAGGGACCTTTGAGTCAGAGCTGTTTAAAAATTAGCTCCACTAAATATTCATGGTGCTAAAAATTGGCATCACTTGAAAAAACACACATTTTTCATGAATCCTGCTAACTTTTCAAAACCCTTTGCCAAGTCTAAACCAACTTTTCACCTTTTTGAAAACTACTGGACTCTTCCTTTTTTATCTAATCAAGGCTCATGTTACTTTAAAATTCTGGTGTCAGTGAGATGGAGAAACAGGTATATTCAGCCAAAAGAATCCTTAAAAATCTGGGTAAAAAGAAGTAGGAGTTCAAAGTAGATAGGGTGACTTTGTAACTCCAATCTAGACTGCCATACTTCAGCAGATTCAGTTATACGCTTCATCATCCCCCCAGTGAAAAATGAGAGTTGACGCCGGGCCCTGGCAGTAAAGAGGTAAAACAGCACTAACCACTGCATTCTTGGGGTTGGCCTGTTCATGGTGCATCTCCACGAGCTGCTCCGGGCTGGCGCTGTGGACCCGACTCAGCACATTGAACCAACCACTGGATGGGGTCAGAGGGAGTTGAAAAAGCGAAAGTCAGCAAGCATGTGATCGTTAATTACACCATGAACTTCCACTGGCAACCACAAGGGGGAACTTTATTTCCACACATCATTTTAAATTAGGGTGATGACAAAGTAAAACACCACCTAGGAAACAGCCAGCGGTAGTCTAGGACCTCAAAAGGAAGTACATACCTGGCGTCTTCTGGAGACTCTGCATAGATGTGGTAGGTCCTCTCCTCTGTAACAATGTTGAGTGCATTTTCCTTCTCATGATTGTCCACGATTTCCCTGAAAAGAGACCCAGAGGAAACCAGAGCTGAGTAAAGAAAAGGAAACCAGGGTTCTTTGACCACAATGAGAGGAGCGGGGGTCTCACTTTGCAGTGCGGACATCGATTGTTCCCTTCAGCTTCTCTTCGCTGTCGTTCTCAAAGTACATGAGCTTGGATTCGCGCAAAACAAACCAGCGCATCTTCCAGTTACGCCGAGACAGGGTGGACATTCCCCCTCCTTTCTTGTAGAGCCACCCAGATTTAAGGGAGTCCTGCTTGGCTCTGAACCACATGAATGTCTCATCCTTGAGGACGCACCATCGGCGACGCCATGGAATCATCAGACCACCTAAAAGAAGGAAAGGATGTTTAGTTATGTTGTTGTGAGTTGAAGTTTTGGATAAGACTCATAGGCTTCTGCAGGTTAATCTTATTCATAGAGTCTATCTCACACCAGAGGGACTCCATAAAATGTACAGTGCTATTTCTGAACTTTGTCCGAGGTGTAAGGTTGCAACAGGAAGTATTATCCATATGTTTTTGGACTGTGCAAATTTGAAACAATTTTGGGATCACATCTTGGATGCACTCAAGGACATCACAGGGATTGAGATTCCTCACTCACCAAGAGTGATTTTGCTAGGTGATTCATCTGTCTTACCCACTGACAAGATAAGGGAATGTATTTTATTAGGCTATCCTTAATTGCTGGAAATAAATGCATCGCTTTATTGTGGAAAAGTGAAACCCACCTACTGCCTTGATGTGGCTTGAGGAAGCAGCATTATACATGGCCTCTGAAGAAATTATGTTCAATATGAAAAAGAAACCCCATCTTTTTGACAAATGCTGGAATGACTTTAAAATATATCTGGATAACTTCTCACAGTTAACTAGATGGTGTGGTGGTGGTTGTTGGTTGTAGCACATCTGCAGACATAGCTGTGCTTTGCCATTGTCAATGTCTTGACCTTTGCTGCATGTATTTTGCTATAATTGGGTTTCTTTATTTAATTATTTAACCAATTTGTTTATTAAAATTTTATGATAATAATAATAATAATAACAATAATAATAATAATAATAATAATAATAATAATAATAATTATTATTATTATTATTATTATTATTATAATCATTATCACAATATTCATATCATAATATTTAGCCTTTTATTTATTTACTTATATATATATTTTTCATATATATTATCATAATATCTTTTTCCGTTTATTTATTTACTTTGATATTTTCTTTTATATATTATTATTACCATTACTATTATTATTAGTTTTAAGAATGTGGGTAGGGGTTGGCCTATGGGGTCTGTTCTGGGAGGGGGTGGGTTTGGGTGAATTTTATACTTATATTATACTGTTTATGAAAAAAATTTAATAAATAAACTGTTAAAAAAATTGCATAAGAGAGGACAAAACAGACATAACAGACTTCCTCAAACAGCTTTAAGACCTCCTAAATATACTCGTTTATGCTCATACTAACTTTGGCACATATAAAAGGTAGGTGGAAAAAAACAGAATAAAACGTGGACAGAACAGGAAACAAAGAAAGGCTGTTTGACTGAAATAACAGTGCCAGTGGTGTTCAGCTGTGCAGAAATCATCTGCATGCCTGCAGAGCAGTGGCTTGGTAAAACTACTCACTCTTCATGTAGAGGTAGCCGTGGAAGTATGGAGGCCCGCTGCCGTTCAGCAGATGCACTCTACCATTGGAAACTTCTTCATCTGTGTCCACATAGCCGTCGTTGTCATCATCGCTGTCTATGAACTGCAGCACAGACAACAACACTTGTGATGGGTCTGCTTCATGAAAATACTTGGCAGTATCTTTTCATGGTAAAAGTGATTGGGAAAATATCAAAAAGAGCATTATTTCATGGAGGACAAATGTGTTTCAACATGATTTCAACATTAGACATGGACAATCCTGCACAGCAGCACATTCATACACTCTTGCACACTCATTCAAGCGTAATCCCTTCTTCCTCTCTGACATTTTGCTGATCTGACACACTGAGGTTTGAGCTCTTTGCTTGCTTGACTGACAGTATCTGGGAAGAGACTCACAAGCTCATCAGCAGAGCCAAAACAAATAATACAGCAGTGATTCAAGAGCTAGCTCTGTATGTTCATATTGGAATAATGGTTTGAGAGGGGAAATCAAGCTGTTTGTTTCACTTTTTTTGCTTCACAAACTGAACACACTGACTCATCTGGATCAGAATATGAAACTATCTTCAGCCTGTAAGTCCTCACCGAATCTGAGCTGCCCTTGAATGAATCCAGGCTGTTCTGGGTGCAGGAGGATTTCCGCAGCACTTCCTCGTCTGTGATATGGCCATCGTTAGTGCTAGCACCTGAGCTCCCATGAGCCTCCTCAAACTCCTCCTGGTCGTAGTCTGACTCTGGGTCATGCAGGTTTGTCTGTGTCGGTTCATCACATGCAGGCTCAAAGTCTGACCCCCTGCCTGTCCTCCGCCTCTCTCCATTAGTGACCACAGCGGGAGCAAGAGGAGGTCTTGAGGTTCTGGACTCTGAGATAGGGGGGGCATGGTTCAGCCCGTTAGGAGTAAGAGGGGAAAGCTGTGAGGGTGCAGCAGAGGAGGCCGAAGTGGAGGAGACCACTTGTCCTTCTGCAAAAGCAGGTGGGGGAGGGGGGATACTTTGGAAAACCTCCTTATCAAGAGGAACTTTAGCAGGAGGAGGGAAGTCCGGCAGAGGGATGCACTCATCCTCAGCGTGGAATCCTTCATCCACCTCTTCTTCGGCCAGAGGAGCAGTGGATTCAGACGGATCATGGAGGTTCTCCTCACTGGAGAGGGACGGCTCCAAACCGCCAAAGTCCAAGAGCTCCAGGAACTCGGTGGCCACGCGGGAAGCCTCCTTCTCCAGTCTGTAGATCTCTGCATCTCTCATCTGGCGGAGCTCCTCACGGGAGACGTCTCCGAGTAGAGACACGCCGTCCTCCTGCTGCTTCTGCAGACGTTCGATCTCCCTCTCGAGGCGCAGGATCTCCTCCATCTGACGGCTCTCCTCCTCAGAGGTGCAATTGTGGGAAAGAGTCTGAGACAACTCCTTCTGTCAGGGGCAAAGGAAAGACATAAATATGAACACCTTATGAACACTTTATACTACCGCATTTACTCCTTCAACTTGAGACATTTGACATTTTAAAGAATTTACCTTTTGACACACTCCATTGACCAGTGAGCTCCTGCAAAAACAAACAAACAAACAAAGAAAAAATTACGAGTGACTGATGTGCTTGAAAACGAACAATCACTGTCATCAGATGAAAACGTCTTTACCTCTTCTCGTCTGCTTTAGCTGCCATTTTCTTCCCTTCCTCTTCCTCCTTCATCAACCTCAGCTCCTCTTCCCTCCTCCTCAACTCTGCCTCCATTAGCCGCTGCCTCTCCTCCTCCTCCTCCCTCCTTCGCCGCTCCTCCTCTTCTACTCGCCTCTTCTCCTCTTCCTCTTCCCTCCGTCTCCTCTCCTCCTCCTCCTCCTCTTGCCTCTTCTTCTCCTCTTTGAGCTGGAGGAAGAGGGATCTCGCCCGCTGGCCTCTGTGGTGTTTCTGCAGGATGATCGCTGCGAAGCGGATGCGCAGGAAGACACGTCTCCAAAAGTGAGCGCGGTAGTTCTTCTGGATGGTGACGACACTGGACAGAACCCTCTTGTATTGTTTCCTGGCGGCAAAAACAAACACAAACTTTGAAACGAGGTCGTGTTTATGTTAACTTTGGCTGATTGTGTGCCACCGCAGACATGATTTGTGACGTTGCTGCATCTGCCCGCTGACATTCTCTGTTTACATAAACACTGGGGTGAACAAAAAGAAAACATGCATTGTGAAATGTGCAATGCGAAGAGGCTGATGAGCCATTGTGGCTGTGTGGGCTGTTGTGTTTAGCTCTGTGACTAAGCCCCACCATCTACACACTGCACATGCATTGAGTACACACACATATAAACACAAGCACGCACAAGTACACATGTGACTTACAAAGGACCACACACACTGCCTTTGGATCTCTGACCTTTACCCCGGCCTTGTCTCCACAGTAATGACTCTGTGGCCCCCCGACTGCTCTAATGTTACACATAACAACACAAAGGCTCTTCTTCTTGTGCCTTGCTTTGACTCTGATGGGAATGGAACTTGCAACCTTTAATTAGCCCCCTCATGCTCCCCCAGTGGAGCCATCGGAGGGCTCTACGGCAGCACACAGGTGAGACACAGCTACAGCACATGCCGAGGGGGTGTCTGTGTGAGCAGATTTTTAAAGCAGCCCGGTGATGGATGTCCTGTCTGACAGCCAGAGGGGAGAGAGTTGGAAAAGAAGCAGCTCAGACTAAGAGAGAGAGATTTCTTCAGGAGATGAAAACATTATAAGCTGTGCAACTGATAGTTGTCTGTGAGAGTGAGAGAGTGAGGCTTTAATTCAAAAACACTCATAAAGTGATCAAACTTAAAGGGAATGGCCAATGTATTACTTCAGATCACTCTGTCTTTGCAAGATACTTTAAGGTTTGAAAAGTCCTGTACTTGTAAAACTATAAGACCCAGAAAGAAAGAGCTTGGAAACTGTTTGGAAATACTGTTTTTACACATTTTCCAACTGTGAAAGGCTCAAAGTAACCTGCGCAGCACTTGTGCTAACTTTAGCAGTAACATATTGTTTCTAAAATTACATTTTACCTCAATGAAGACTGAGGTCAATAATGTTATTAAAAGTTGAGTACAAGGAGGCATCAAAAATGGCATTTAAATTGGATAATTCAACACACGTGTTAAAGAGACCTTGAAGAATCCCAAAAATAGGTAATGGGTGTGACACATTTCTCCACAAAGTCTGATTCTTTTTCCTTATTGCAGGTCTGGCTGTTTTCCTTAAACCAAAGCATGAGTCTGTATGATTCACTCATGAGTGATTCAGCACATTTAAGAGAGGTTTTTAAGGCCTAATTTGTCTGTGATGTGATAAAAAGTTCTTTTATTGCTCCAGTGAACCTGCAACTTCTGCATGTAGACTGTAAATAGACCTACACAGCACAAACTCACACACACAGAGTAAAAGGTAAACACATGTGCAAAGGCATGCACATACACATGCACGGATAATCCTCCCCGAAAAGACACACGCAGGCTGCACACCTCTATAACAAAACAAACACTCACATCTGTCACTGCCACTCAGCCCCCCTTCTCCTCCTCCTCCTCCTCCTCCCCCTTCTCTTCCACACTCCTCCACTCACCTTGCCACATAGCTGAGGATGTGGGCGCGGATCACCATGCCAGCCCGGCGCCGCACCTCTTCCCTCTCCTTCTCCAGTCTTTGCTCCAGGGCCTCCTTCAGGAACACCTGCGGGACGAGCAGCGCCACGGCCCACAGGGAGGGACAGAAACAGAGAGACACAGACAGGGAGGAGGGGGGAAGGAGGTAGGGGAAGGAGACAGGATGGGTTAGTTCCTCTTCTTGGTTTGGCTGCAAAAGAGGGCCCACAGAGATGTGAAGGGCCCCTGTTGTCTGTTGGCAGCACCCTGTGCCTGCTGCAGAGGAAGCTGTGGTGCAGCTGAGGCTAGCAGGTTAGCTGCTCCTCCTGACTGCAGAGTGGAGCAGAGGGGAGAACAAGCAACAGGACTGCAGTAATGCTGCCAAAGCTGCTGCTGCCAAAGCTGCTGCTGCTGCAGAGCCTCATTGTGATCGGGCGTCCTTCCTGAGCGTTTCCCTACTAATGCTGCTACTGCTGCGCTGATAGCTCGACTGACGTGCGCAGGCAGAAAAGCACAGAGAGGGAGGGGAGAGGAGAGGAGAGGAGGGATGGAGAGATGAGGGGGAGGTATAGTGGCTGGTGTCCAGATAGAAAGCCACACCCCTCCTTGCTCTTATGAGGAAGAAAGAAAGAGTTTGGTTAACCCTTCCTTTGCTCCTGGAGACTTTTGGAAAAGTTGATACTCTCTGATGGGAACTTTTCACAGCCTTTTCACAGTTCTCTCTACACTCAAACTCAAACACACACACACAGGGAATAAAGCTAGAGCTGGCACGTGACATTAGACACACCTAATCAGATTTTAAATGTCTGGCTTTGTTTGAAATCTGGGAGATCCATCCAGCTGTGGATGTGAGTTTGTGTGTTAATGAGATATCAGATGCTAGCCTGGAGGATGAACTACTTCTGTAAGACGGGGAGACCTTTGACTATCTGCTTAAGTGTGTGTGTGTATGTGTGTGTAAGTGTGTGTTTGTGTGTGTGTGTAAGTGTGTGTGTGTGTACGTGTGTGTTCCCCAGATGTTCCACTAATCAAAGGATCCCACAGCTGCCTCTGTAAAGTCTGTTCGAGGAGGAAGCTTCCTCTTCGTCCACATCCTCCCCTCGTCTGTGAAACAAACGGCTCCTACACACACACACACACACACACACACACACACACACACACACACACACACACACACACACACACACACACACAATCCATACGACGTCACCCAAGCCCCTAATTCTGGGCACACACTTCCTTTGCCTTGCACACAATCAGGACATATAATTACACACAGATTGTTTCTCTAAAGGAAATGTAGCCCCCCCTTACTCTCTCAGCCCCTTTCCCACAACCCACACTACACTTCCCCGAGCCCAAAAATATTACGCTGCCATCAAAAACACAAGCATGTGGACTCAGACTCCACCACTCTGTGCATTTTTGGGGTTCAAATTAAACGTTTTTTTCCTATGTATATACAGTTTAAAGCGGGGCAGTCATCAGCAGAGTCAGCCACAGGTCAGCGTGTTGACCCTGGATGCAGAGAGGAAAAACAAGCTCTCTCTCTGAAGTGACTGTGTGAAACTTGAATTTACACAGGCATGTGCTCAAATGTGGTTTTTCAGCGGTTATACATTCATTAAGAACAAACATGTGGTTCACTTTAAACATTTTTGCTCCCCACGTATATTTCAGTTTACCATATGTGCAGCTCTAACTATTCATAGCAGTGCCAGCCAAACGGGGTACAACAAAAAATTGTCCAAAAAGGATCCAACAAATTTTAGACGTCTCAGCAATCTAACCATCATGAAGGAACCACAACATTAAGGCAGGAAGCAACAGAGGGAGATACGGAGATATGAGAGAGCCAATAAAAATGTTTTATTTCTGTCCTTATTGTGTTGTTTTGAGGCTGAATTTACAATGAAGCAACAAAGGTTTTGATGTCAGGATGAAACAAGACGCGAAACGTGAGTCACTGAGGGCACAGAGGGTGAAAAGAGGACTTCAAAGGAGGACGGGGTCATTGTTTCAAATGAAGACACAGGAAGGAAGAAAGGAAGGAAGAAAGAAAGAAGGACAGATCATAGTTTCATTTTTGACTTGACTTGAGTTTATCGAATAAGTGGCTGTGTGAGTGTCAAAAGGTCCAATACTCATCCAGCTCCAATAAAGCAGACTTAGGATTACTGTAAACCCCCCACACTAGGTCACTCTTACAGTAACAGCTGATGGTGTCAGAGTTTTGAGGAAAAACCGTGAAACTCTGTGGTTGTCAACGAGAGAGAAGAAGACTGACCACAACCGGACAGAGAAATCTTTAGGACATGAGTCACAGTCAGGGCCGTCCAGGCTATGGCACACATCAGCAGCTTGGGAGCAAAGGCAGCTTGACTTGTTACGAAAGAATCCATTTGGAGGAAAATGCCAACATGACTGCAGCTTTCTTTGGATTAGTCCAAATTTCATACAGTGTGATCAATGTGATGGTGTAACCAACGATGTCTTACTTGTTGATTGTTTTTTAGAAAAGTATGCAAATTATACACCGAAAACGTGGAGCTGGCCATTAAAAACCAACACAGAAGAGCCAAAAGCTGTGATTTTTACAAACAGTGGGTGCAGGGGGTGGGGCTGCTGTGGGTACTCAAATTGTTGGACTGTGTAAAACTGGATAAGAGAACTACCTTGGTGATCAGACAAGTTTATGAGGTGAGAATAGCTAGTTTTAAGTTCTCTAAACCTAGCATGATGTTACTTTGATGAATTCAGGTGCAGTCTACGCTTAAATGGGGGATGTTAAAGGATTATTCCGGCATAAAAAAGAGACTAAACACAACTCACCCACTCTCCTCCAGCAGCCGCTTGTTTGTGGGGGGAGCCCTGACAAGTCGATAACCAAGTGCAGCAGATCATTTCTATTAAGTAATAATCATCATAATAATCATTTAGCACTACAGGCGCGGTAGTTTTTCTGCCTTAGTGTCTCGGTCTGATTGCCATGAAGTAATGATCATAAATGTTCTTCCTTGAGCTGCGAAACTCCGCTGCACTTGTTGATCGACTCGTCAGGGCTCCTTCACAAATAAGTTCAAGAAATCAGTCAAAGCTTAAAAGATGTTTGGTGGCTAGTACTACGGCTATGACCCTATCTGTACTGTTGATGAAGTTAGGTGCTGTTGTGAGCATTATTTGTAGCTATAGAGTGGTGTTTTGGTTAAGGTTTGTGTGTGGAGACGTAGACCGCTGTGTATTGCTATCGTGCGGTCGTTTCTCAAGTTGGTGTAACTAGAGAAGCAAGCGGTCGGCAACATTCATCGCTCGAGGGGGTGTCTAACTCAGTGTTACGGTGTGTTTGACCATAAGTTAAATTTACGCCAGAATATCCCTTTGAGGTGCGGCAATCTGCTATTGACATGTTTTAACCATTGTCAAATTTAGGGCATTCTGATACAAAAAAAAAATTTAACCAGAAGTTTGTGATTTAATAGTTGACTTCACAAGTCCACTTTAATTCACTTGTTTATTTTGGGATCAGGTTGAAGTAGGTTCAGATTTGAGTCTTGTTTGGGTTAGTGGTTATGTTCACTAAAAGTATCAATGGCTTGAATGTAAGTCAAAGAAATGTCTTCTTCGTGACATAGACAAGTTCAGGCATGTGTATGTGTGTGTGTGTGTGTGTGTGTGTGTGTGTGTGTGCAGGTTTGCATGTGTGTTTGTGCTCCACCTTTGTCTTTCCCAGTTGCCACTCTCTTTTGGCTTTGTCATGAAGTGTGAGAAGTTCTAAGCAGCTCTGCTTCTCATCGTCAGTGTGGATTTTGTTCTTTACAATCATCTGGTATCTTCAAAAACACAAACACAGACATTCAAATAAACAAGCGCAGAATTAGGCAGAATCCTGAATGAGTCATCTGCTTTAGTGTCCACTGTATTTTTTGTTACCTGCTGAGGAAATCCTTAAAGGTTCTGCGAACAGGGAATCCAGCTTTGCGGATTTTCACGGTTTCCAGCATCCCAGAGTATCTTAACTGGTTCAGGACCACATCGGGATCAAACTGGTTGGCTTTCTGTGGATTGAACAGGATAAAACTACATGAAACAAACAAGAAAATATCCATTCATTACACTCACAGTTTTTTGTCTACAAAATTCATCATTTTCTATCAACAGCTTTGCATTAACAGTTGACATGAGGTTATTCAGCACGTTGGGAGTTTTACTTTTTATCTGTTAGTGGAAAATTTGGGAAAGCTGAACACTGCATGCAAATATAATCCATCCTCCCAGAGCTCCCTCACCTATTCAAACGCTGAGTGGAGTTAAACCTGAGCTAAAAGGTAAATAACCATACAGAGCGCTATCATTTTACTTTAACAATCAGGTTACTGCACAGAAAACTCACGCTATCAGACAGAAACCTGAACAGCTTTGAGCAACCAGGAGAAGCTTTTTTCTTTCTGGAATAATCAGCTGCATTGTTCACGGCTCACCAGTGATCCCAAGGCTCGCTTATCAGAGAGGATCTATGACGTCTGCCGCCTCACACCTCTGCACAGGCGGCACGATCGCTCAGAGAGACACACACGAAGGCCATTGTCACCCAGAGGTCACACAGCGCTGCTTAAGCTCCACACAGGACTGCAGCATTCCCCAAATGTGTCAGGCTAATTACAGGCTAATGCTAGTACGGATGGAAACAGACACACGGCTGCATGTGTTCATGTTCATAATCAAACACACGGACGTAAATGTGTGCCCTTCTGAGCTCTGAACTCTGCTCTTTAGCTGAGGACTTAGGCGGCTGAAAGAAATACAGCATGTTGACTTGTTTGAGTGAAATCACACTGACCCTGCCCTCTATGAGAGTATTTACCAGAAGAGCAAGTCGAAGTAAATTACACAAATACGTTGCAGTAAGGTTTGTGTGTTTGCGTGCATGAAATCATGTCACAGGATTGTGCATGCAATCCTGTCATTCTGCAGGATTAACGCAGGCACGGCTTGTTCCATCTTGAGAGCAACTGAGGCCAGGTGAGCGAACATGATGCAGTGCCAATGAGACCCGGAGAATGGAGGGAGAAAAGAAAAGAAAAGAAAAAGGAGATGGGCGGAGGGAAAGAAGGTGAAAGGTGGATGCTGAAATTTCCATGCTAATAAGTAAGCAAGAAGGTGTGGAATGACAAAGAGAGAGAGAGAGAGAGAGAGAGAGAGCACGGAGGAGTTCAGTCGCTTCAAGGTGTAGCGGGAGAATTTAGAGCAGCAAATACACTCTGCCACACAGTGAATATAAGTCTTGTATATAATTAAATCTTGTATACAGTTTTCTTGTATGACTCTTGTATATAGTTTTCATTTTATTTTTTTTTACAAACTATATTTCATTCACAATATAGTTTTCATTTCATTTTCATAGCACTGTCCACGCTGTACTAGAGGGTTTTATCTTGTATACAGTCTGTATTTTGTACTTTTAATTCGGTCTCTGTTTTCTTTTTTTGTATCTATTGCACTGAAAATGGAGAAGCTGTCCAATCTCCTCATACCTTCTGTATAATGACAATAAATGGCATTCTGATTCTGAATAAATATAAATCAAATCTTTACTTGCCAAGTGGATGAGGATGCAAATTCTAAAAACATATCTGCAGCTATTTAGTAATAAGCGGTAATGCAATAAGCATCCTCTGACTGGATCTTGGCCAAGCAACTGCAGCTGGATCTGCTGTGGGTGACCTCCGACCTCTTGAAAAGAGGATAAAGTGATAGGAATGTGCTGGTACACAGTCCTTTTCTTTGAAGAAGCACAATGGGAGTCTTTGCACCAAAGCTGGGGGCAGTGTTAGTTTATAAGTAATGAACATTTGCAGTAAAAATGAGAAAAAAATTGTTATTTTTCAAGTGGATCATTAACATGACTCAGCAGTGACAAGACTTGAGATTAAAAGTTAGCTCAGAGCGATGGGAGCTATAAATAGCACAAAGGAGGTTTAACTTTGCAGGGGCTGACCTTGACAAAGCCTGGAAGGGTTTCTGATATTTTTTTTTCTTTGGTGCAATGAAATATGCATGACCTACCTTGTCCATGTTTGGTTTGATGCAGCGTACAAAGAAGGGGTTGGAGGCACTGAGTGTGGCCATCAGGGAGTGAAGAGAGTCCTGAAACAGATCAGTAACAAGACTATTGATATCAAAGCAATGATATTTTTTTCTCAAAAGTACTCTTATATGTGCTAATAATAACACTGTGAACAAAAATAGAAAGTACAATCAGTCAAGCCACACTTTATTATTATGTGCTGAAGAGGACTGGCTGAAGAAGTACCTAAATCCTTTATTTTTACTTTGCAAAATCAAGGGATTGCAGTGTTCACAATATGGAAAAAGTTCAGAGTTCCCTCATTTAAAATGATAAACACATAGACAAAATTTAGTGTGCATAAAAGTGAGTGATATGGACAAAATGCATTAAAAAGTGAAGATCTGGTTTAACTTGTTACTTTCCATTTCTTACAGGCTATTACTCAGCCCGTATTTACTTTAACACACACACACACTCACTCACTCACTCACACACTCTGAGGACCCTTGAACCTCACAGGCTCTGTCAGCCCTGCTCTCCTCAGACAGTCTGTCTCCAGCGAGGCCGGGCCTGGCAGAGCCGAGCGTGATTGGCCCCTGGTTGGCCCCTCTCTGCCCAGCCATCAACCTTAATCCCCCGGCTTTAGGAACTGTAGGCCAGGGCAGCCTGCCAAATCCTCTCCTGCTCCCTCCCTCTCCCCCCTTCCTCTCTCCATCCGCACTGCAGTTAGGACATGCTAAGCTAAGCCCTTCGGTTCACCCCCTCCTCCTCTGCCAAAACCACATATTTCATACATCCCATCACCCATCATTCTCTGGAGATCAGCCACACTGACAGCATTCTCCTCCCCCCTCTGACTCGCTGTGATTTCTGCACTCTTTTTTCCCTCTCTGCCCGCATGCTCACACTCTTCCCCTAAGACAGAGAGCCAAATGTTAAGGGTTAAGTGATAATTACATGCAGCAGTACATGGGAGACTATTGCCTCATTGTCCGAGCAGTGACACAATCGCACAATCACGAGTGCTGAGCAGGGAGTGATATTTGTCTGACAGAAGCTTTAGTCTTACCCTAAACTGGGAGCTGACAGTGGGTTTGCGCCGTGCAGTGCCCATCTTTAGGGTCTCATCTCCATTTCTGCTCCCGACACGCTCAAAGAGGTCATAGATGAAGTCCAGCCTGCAGACAGTCAGAGAAAATCAGTATAAATGTGGAAATCTTGCAAATGAAATGAAGCAAACAGGTGTGTGCAGAGGGGGAGCGCGTAATACCTGCTGTCTTTGAGAATGAACAAAATATCGTCTCTGAAGGTGTCTCTGTTCTTTTCTAGGATTCCACGTGCATCATAAAGCACCTGAAAAAGAGGGGGAAATAAACGACCATTTTCAGTAAAACAAGAAAGGCTTAAACAGCAAGAAAACTAAAAAACATCCCAAATGAAAGCTATAATGGTGTATGAAAACATGATTTGTGCACTATAAGAATACGTATGAACAGAAGTTTTGCATATGCAGCATCAACCCAACTGAGCTTTTTTCTGAGTAAGTGCAGACCATATTTATAGAGGATAGAGCCATGATCATTTACTGCATGTCTTTTCCCCTTGTCTACTTCCTACATCTCTCCTCGGCCTCCTCTGCAGAGGTACAACAATAAAAACTTTTAAAAACAGATGCATTATAAGGTGAGATCTGAAAATGTACATTGTGCTTGTATTATGGATTTCTGGTAGGAAAAAGCTCCAGAGTCGAGGGTCTGAGCAGGTGAATGGAGGATGAAGCCCAGGTGGAATAACATGTGCAGAGAGTCAGAGAGGTACAGAGGAGCAGGGGTTGATGACTATGAGGCTCAGGAGCAGAATCTTGAAATCAATACAGTGACTGATCAGAAGCCAGAGGAGCTGCTGGAGGACAGGAGTGATGTGATTCATCTAGACCAGTTGAATTTGCAGATGCACTTAAAAGAGAGATCAGAGAGTCAGCTAGTCCTCTTAGTTACAGTTACCAACAATAAAGTAAGTATCCTGCTTTTAAATCACAAACTTCTTGAAGGTGTGTTTGTTTGTGTGTGTGACTGTATATAAGTTACAAAGAAGTGTGTGTGTTAAGTAGGGGTGTCCTGATATGACATTGATATCTGTCCGATATGAGCAAAGACACGAATATCACATTATATCGGCCTGCATTTAAAATCTCTCATATCAGTACTCCAATACAAGCAGTCCATTCCAGACTCTACTTTTGCACCCCTAGCTAGCAGCGCCTGGATCCAGCATGCAGAACACACGTAATCACAACAACAGTGTGTGCTTAGGTACAAACAAAGTAGCAAGGAGTAGGATTGATGTCGGCTGTGTGGCAGTATTTGTGGTTAAAGTTAAAAAAAAAGATGCTGCAGCTGAGTGCAAAACTTATCATGCACAAGTTTGTGCTAATATCAGATCAATTTTGGTATCGGCTGATACAGCAGGCTACAATATTGGTATTGTATCGGAAATAAAAAAAATTGTGTTTTAACCTTTCTGTGCAACATTATATTGTCGTTTTTTTGCTCTGAATTCATGAATTATTACATTTGAATGAGATTATCTAACAATAAAATAAGATGATTGTGTTTCAATGTTTATATTTTAACCTGCCAACAGACAGAAGCATCAAGCTTTCTGTAATTATAGATCTAAGCTCATGTTTTATTCTGCACATCTCCTTTCAAGTTTGTCAGAGTGGCAGAAAATCAAGTATGATTGTTTCCAAGGTATTTTTGCTGAAAGTTTTGATATTTTAAACTTTCAACAAAGGCAGCAAAGGTTCCTTTATAGATCAAAAATAAAATACAATGAGTTTTTATTCATCTCAGATAAGATACAAGATTATTGTTTCTTTATATACACATGGATTTAATCTGTTTAGGGCTCAACACCCAGGCTAGAGGATTCATGTTTAGAGGAAAACACAGTGGTATATACTGCTATGTGCACTCAATGTGACATGAGTGAGGCTGTAAATGTGTGTCTGTGTGCAGGACATGGAGAGATATGACGGGGGAGGGGTCTCTTTGACAGCAGCAGAGCGTCTCTGTGTTAATACAGTCACCTGTTGAGTTCTGTTCAGCCTCCATCTTTGCAGCACCACATTCCTCTACCCACCCTGACCCACATCTACACACGCAGTGTTTTTGCATTTGTGTGTGTGTGTGTTTGTATGATTGGTCATGGGTGTGTGCCTCTGAGCAATGAAAGTAAAATGCATAGAGAAGATATGATCTGAGAGATTTTAATGCAATAACATGAAAATGTTCACTGTAATCTAATGGACAGCATATCAGAGTTTGTGTTCGCATGTTATGTGTGTGAGTTCGTATTTACAGCTCTGTGTATACTGTAATCTAATAACCACCCCCATCCCCCAATCCACCCGGCCCCAAGGCTCATGAGGAGCCATGAGATTTCAAACTTGACAACACGTGCATTTCTAAATCACAGACACACTAATTACACTCCATTCCTCTCTCATTGAAACAGGCTAATACAAAAGGGTCCTGTGTCCTCCAGCTTCAAGTTTGTTGCACTAAGATCATGAGCTGGGATGGCTTCATGATGCTGCAGAAAAACAACCTCAGCAAAGGGCTGCAAAATTCTTCACTTTAATTATTTATTATGAATATTTTTGACCCTTGTACCAAAAAGATCTGTTTTTTTTTTTTGTCATGTTCATCCAGAGACCTGATTTGAATCGACTGCATTCCCCTGGAGCTTCACAGATAATCTGATCAATGAGAGGATGCTTCTATTTCCCCCACGGAACGGACGGCATCGTTTCAGATAACAGACAGAGCTTTCAGGGAGGTGACTAAAGTCTCCAGAGAGAGGGAAAGAGAGAGAAAGAGAGTCAACCGGTTGATCTCCCTGTCCTCTCTGGACTGAGTCATTACCATAAACATCCATGCCAGGCTTGTGACTGAGCTGCCACACTCACACTGAGGAGACCTTGTCTGAGGCAGGCTTCATAAGGTCATTCTTTATCAGAGCCAATCACTCTAAACCCCCTACAACCCACACTCTCACCCCTGCTGCCCTCTCAACTTCTTCATTTGTGCTATCCTGACTTTTTTTTATTTTGCAAGTCTCTCTGCAAATGAAGTAAAGGTGCAACTTCTTCAAACTGAGAGAAAACAGCAGATTTTGTAGCAGATTTTGACATAGACAAAACAGTGTGCATATGTAAATTCACTTTGTTACCTCTCCAGCATAGTGCTTGATGCCAAACTGGTGGTCGTTCACTCTGGGCTTCACATAGTATGGATTTGCCTAAAAGGAAAGATAGAAAAATAGGGCAATTAGGGAAAAAAAGGGAAAATAAAAGAGAGAGAAGAAATGTAGCAATAAGATTTATGGTCCATAAAACTTCTCAGGCCTATTCTCTGTAATTAAATAAAAGATAACCATCTAGTGGAGCAGCACCAGGATTGAAAAGCAGCTGAGGCAAGTGGACAACATGTCAACAACATGTCACCAGCTGCTTGTCACAATGCTGGCCACGTAATGCTATTGATTACTCTAAGTACGTCCTGTTTCCCACAAGCTGCATCCATACATCTCTCACGTGTCTTAATCTCTCCCAACAGAGGTACATACAGAGACTCGATCCCAGCCTGTGGCTCCTACATTTCATTCCTGCTCTATCAACTATCCTCAATAAGTAAATAAATGCCCCCCAAAACCCAAAATATAATCTAAAAAAAATGGTAAACGACCCCACCCTAACCAGCCCCCCCAAAAAGTCAAGAAACAGGCGATCCTTTACTAATTAATTACAAAGACAAATAAATGATTCTGAGCACTACGTAAATTGCATTGGTTTTTGAAAGAAAACAGTATTTGATCAAAGTCAATCTTTCTTACTGTCTTTAGTTTTTTCAATGAGTGATTCTCACCTCTGTTCAATAAGGTTTTTTGATGTTGTGTAACAAAGTGAGCCTTTGTTTGAGGTCATTTGACTCCGTATAAAAAAATTGAAATACAAAATTTGATAAACATCAACTTAAAAACTAACATTTCCATTATACCCCTCTTGTTTTTGGTAAATGACAGTAAATCAGCTGATTAAGAAACAAATTACTGATACATAAAATTTTATTAAAGCTCTTGAGAGGAACTTTGGGTTTGTGCTGATTTTGGCACCCCCCGGAGAAACCCACAGGATCCTCTTGATCATTTTTATAATTTAATTTAAAAAACAAAGCAAGATACAATTGTCGAGCATGACTATAAAAACGTGGGTATAAGCAAAAATACAAAATAAAGAGAGAGAGAGAGAGAGAGTGAGTGAGCGAGGTCAAAAAACTGTGTGGCTCCACTCCATGATGCCTGACGTGACAGAACGCTCAGGTTAACTACTCAGGAATGGTATAGGCGATTTTTAAACCCGTAAATATCCATACACAATTTTAAGTTAAAATAACTTATCAATATGAATTATCTAACTGTAAATAATGTAAATAGCTAAAATTTTACCACAATCAACACAAAAATAATTTAACACATAAACTTAAATTATTATCCAAATATTGATGAACTCAAATAGGACCTCGGCTCCTCCACACTAATTATTTTTCTTTTTACGTACGTGTACTGCAGAAAACATTTTAAAAGTCTGTTTCTGTAGCAGGTTGTTAATTTCTCTCCCCCATGTTGTAGGTTACAAGCATAGACTGTATATACTACGGACAACTTGGTTCCGCCTCCCGCCTGTATACGGATTTGAAGCCAAAAAGCTCTCAGCAATTCTGTGATTTTTCTTCATTTCCTGAAACCAGCGCTGCGCAGTAGCGTTGTACGCATTCGGCCGGAGAGTCGCCGAGAGTCACTGTGATGACGCTCGGCTCAAACGGCGTATCCCCCGGGTGAGCTACACAATCCCTTAACGCCAATAGGCTGCATCAGGTGTCAATCAAAGAAAACATGAACCCCCTAATAACTTTTAAAAATGGAGCTGTACAGAAAACTTGAGCACAAACCAGTCTTACAATAACTACATGTCAACCTCGCAAACAGGGGGGAGAAAAAGTTTGTCCACAGGCCTTTGCTGTCCCAGCTTTGCTGGTGGAGACGGGTTTTATGAGCTATACTGCAGCCCATCAACAGAGGGTGCTGTTCTCGGAGTGGCTTCACCCAGCAAGGAGGCAGACGGCGTCCATTCTATATACAGTCTATGGTTACAAGACAATGAAAACCTAGAAGCATTCAATCTCTACGCTGATGTGTTTTTGTAGCTCATAGAGTAATTAATGTTAAATTCCATCTAATACATAACCAGAGGAAATCTCCTCACAGGAGCTTTAAGTTATTCGGCCTCCTTTTTCTTTACCCCTATGACCTTTAACCTCGGACACCTCAGGGAGGGGTCAGACAGTCCTTCCATCTCTTTTTAAACCTCTCCTGTGCACTCTTTCTCTGACAAACAATGCTGACCGGGTATGGTGCATGGCTGATCACATTTCAGTATTGTTGTGTTTGCATGTGAGGGCTCTTGGGGTGTGTACAGGTGCCTCACAGGTGTTCAACGCCGGAGGAAAGAGCAGTTCATTAAGTACACAAGTTTGAGGTTGTACGTGGTGACGGTGTTTCTTCAACAGCGGGTCATTTTCGGGTCTTTATGTACGCTGAAGTAGGATTAAAAGTGTCAAAGATATCTGTGTGTTTTCATCTGTGTGTGCGTGTAAGTGTGCACTCACTGCATGTCGGCTGTGCAGTTTCTCCAAAAGGGTGTAGTCTGTGCCTTTAGGGAAGCGACTCTCCTCATTGATAAGAGCCAACATGCCCAGTTTCTGAAGGGGAGACAGAGAGGGGGAGACACACCACAGTCATGATTGAACTAGTAACAACCCCACTGGGGAACATCTGGCAGCTTTTAATACGACAATGTCAACAGGAAACTGCAGAGTCATTCATTGAATTTTCTTTTTATCCTTTCAAAAAGGTTTGCTGAGGAGGTATGATGGCAGCAACACCTTCTTCTACACACTCAAACTAACATAGCCAGTCACAATTACATTATATATGTAGAGAAAAAAAGGGAGTCTTTAGTATTTTTCCATCCTAGCTTGACCCAGAAACATCGAGTCATCATGAGTCTTTTTCTGCAGAATCTCGATTTTAACCATTATTATAGCCCTGGTGCTAGAATAACACAATTGTCTTAATGTTTCATTTCAACTGTACCTCTAACCGCTGCCTTGTGTATATTACTGTGTACACAAAAATGCAAAATGAGATGATGATAGAGTATGAGTTTGAGGGAGGTCAGCGTGAGCGCAGTGTGGCGTCTGGGTCAGCGTGCTCTGGCAGGAGGTTAGCGGTTGGTCCTGGTGGTGACTTAGCGTGCTCAGGGTTTGATTTTAATGACTCTCTGTTACCTTTTCAATGAGATCCAGACACTCTGCGTTATCCATCCAGTCTATGGCCTCCCACTGAATCCCCTCCCTGTCAGAGCAAAGACACACACACACACACACACACACACACACACACACACACACACACACACACACACACACACACACACACACACACACACACAGGTTGTAAATATAAAAATATAAACTACTAAAAGGACACAATGGCTGTATTGTCTGGAGCGAGCATGTGATGAGATGAGCCATGTCCAGGCTGCTGGCTCATTATACAAGAAAACAACTGTCTGAGGGAGAAACTGAGCCCAAACCTCTGGCAGTCTCCCTCAATCACCCCGAGGAGGACTAACCCCCACCCTGAGTCCTATCAGTCCATGTTCTTTTTCACTTTCTTAAAAACATGATCTGGAAAATGTGAGTCTGTTATCAAAAGTGTCTACCTGTTATACTCCAGCTGCTCCAAAGAAAAGATGTGCTTGTTGAAATACTCCTGCAGTTTCTCGTTTGCGTAGTTGATATTAAACTGTTCAAAGCGGTTCACCTGCAGGACAAAAAAGAAAGATTTCAGAAGGACTCTCATGAAGACATTTTAGAATGACTGGCCTCATCATTATTTTTCTCCACAAAATCTCAATCTGCTTAGACTTGAAACATTAACATTTACTCTTATGTTCCGTATTAAAACAATCTTCACAATAAGAGATGATGGAAAAGTTTTGAGTTTTCAAAAGTCCTCTCACTTTATTATAAGAGTTTCAGTTTTTAACAAGGAACTTAAAAACCCTTTCTTCTTGATGTGCTCAAATAAAAAACAACTGATGTAGGAGCAGATATTATGAAAATGAAATTGTGATATCACTGTTTACATGGGGACGTGGTATTTTTCTAAATAAGGTAGGAACCTTATTGTCTAGGCAGGTGCTCCGCCAGGAAGGGGAAACAGTTTTTGAACCGCACAAATGTTGCTGCAGACAAGTGGATCATGGTTTTTTTGTCAGGACTGTTTTTGTTGCTTGAAGAAGTAAAATTAACCCATGGTGTGTTCAGCAAGGCAATTTCAAGTGGACTTGCATTTATCAAGCACAACTTTTTACATGCATCAATTAGTTAATCTGGGTCACAGCACCTCAGGGGCTTTAAGTGTCGGCTTGGCCTCTAACACTAACATTTCTCAGGTGTCTTTTACTATATTATGTTAAATATAAATTAAACACTTTAAAGTGTAATTCCCTTTCTCATAAAGGCAAACATTTCTAAAAAATAAAATATTAAAATATTTCATATTTGATATGCCTTACAGGAAGTGTGTCATGTGGTTTGTTCATGTTTGATAGCACTTACTTGACAGTATTCAGATTCCTTATGACCTTTTTTCTTTCTACCTATTCATGTCTGCAGTACTCAAACCTTCCACATGAAATGACTGAAACCTCAGTGACTTGCAGTGAAAAGCTGAGTTAACAGATACAGATTTTGGTTGGTAAAAAAGTGGGTCACGGGTCTTTCACCTCAAAGTTCTCAAATCCAAAGATGTCCAGGATGCCGATTGACTTGAAGTTATCTTTGCCTTTGATTTTCTGGTTGATCCTCATGATGATCCAGGAGAAACACTGAGAATATAGCGCCATGGCAACCGAGTCCCTTGAGTCCACAGCCTGCGAGCCAAGACACAGAGAGACAGCGTTACCATGGCTAACCAGTCAGACATAAACAGTGGAGGCCCAGAAACTATGCAGACTATATACAAAACATATGCTTATCACCGTATACATTGACTGTATGTTATCAGACAGCTGTTTAAAGGGTGTCATGTGGTGCTGACAGGTGAGTGCGGCCTCAGGCGACTGTCTATAAAACAAACAGCGGTTAGGAGACAAAGGTGTGTTATGTCGGCGTCTGTGTGCTGCTGCAGGCTGCAGGAGAGACGTCTGTTTTCACAACAGACCTCATCACTAATCACCGTCATATCTCAACATATCCTATCTTATCTTGACATGAAGCTGGCCGTATTTTGGTATTTCAGAAATCAAATCTAAGTCAGAGTTGTGTTCATTGTACAGAGTAACGCACTTTTGCTTTTATCATTTTTCATGCCTGCTCTAGGAAGTGTCACCCAGTGCTTTCACACCTTTCTTTTCTCTTCAAACAGAGACAGAAAAAAGCAAAAGCCAGAGATGTAAAGGAAAGAGGATGGAGACAAGGGTGGCAGGTGAAAGTAGAAGATTTCATACTTTTGCGCCACTAACCTTCATTTTAGAGTAAGTTACTTTTTAACCTTAAAAGTTCAGTGTTGACTTTAAGATCAGGCTCTTACATACTGTCAAGATACGATATCCACACCCCTGTTACTCCTCGTCTACACTGGGTATTGAACTGAAGAGGAGGGGTGCGGCTGGTTCTGTCTTGTTTAGAGGCGGTAAAAGAGGGTGTACCAAAGTCACTTGATCATTTATTATTAACTCACTGATTTAGACCCCTGGATCATTTTTGAGAAACACCTCAAAGAGGTTAAAAAAAGGAAAAAAGAACAAAAACCATTTCCAATCATGGTGTGACTCAGATCTGATTTTCAGCAGCTGTTGTGAAGTTGGCCTCTCTGCCAGACACCACATGTGAATGTGTATAAAAAGCTTGAGCTTCAGCCAGCTGCACTTCCTCCATGGGCATTGTGCTTGAGCTGAAAACAAAACATAAGTGTGGCGGTGTGTACTGTATTTGGGGCAACAATGCTCCTGGGCTCATGAGAAATCAATCACGGCCCTGTCACCTCTTGCAGCTAGCGGGTGTGAACGGAGCGCTGGCAGTTCCAGGATCTCCGTCACACACAGGGGGTTGAGAAGAATGGCTGTTTGTCCAGGAGAGCGGGGTGGGATCTGGGAAGGGGGGGGGGCGAGGGGGGACGACTAGTACTGGCAGAGTTGTCGGGTGGGTGACCCCTGGCCTTTGTGAGAAGACGCCATTCTTACTGACTCCAGCTCTGGAATAATGAACTCTATTAAGAGACGAGCTGCTTCAAAGGCCAGAAAGAACAAGCTGCAGCCGTTTCTTTGTCTGCTGATGAAAAGATATCTTGTGAATTTTGTGTCTGTGTGATAATAGTAAAGGTCCATTCTGCATATTTACTCATATTTATGCATGTGAGTGGGTGGAAAGGCTGAATCTTGGACCAGAGAGGACTGTGTTATGCGTCAGTATGTTCTTATGGCATATGTTGAATAAGAAAACAAACATGCTGAGATATCTCCATTAATTACAGACCTCAGCACAGACAGTTGAAGCTAAACAGTGAATTATCACACCAGCGTTCCTGTGCCTGGCTGCACAGGCTGAAGAGAAGACCCACTTCAGCCTCAGTCATTGGCCCTATTGTGCTTTTGACTCAGATCACTATCATGATGGCTTCATTGTGCCAGGAATCTGGCAGACAAAAAGCAGGAAATGGTTGGGAGTCACGCAAGGGATCTGGAGAGGCATGTGGGGGAGAGAGACGGAGAAAGGCTGTGTTTGAATGTGTGTGTTACCAGGACAAGAGGAGGGAGGGCAGGGGGCAACAAACAGACTTCTACTGTTTGTGTGTGCGTGCATGTAATTCGAGGTGAGAGTATGGTAAAGGTGTCCTAACGGTCTCTGAAATCTGTGAAATGACAGTATGAGCAGGGGGGCGTTGTGTTGTAGTTACCTGCTCCACAGTGAGCGGCGAGCAGATCTCCTCCCCTCTCAGGATCATGGAGCGCTGGGTCAACACTTCAGAGAGCTGGAAGGAGTCCAAACCGAGCAGCTCACTGACATTACTCACAACTGGAACACACACACACACACACAAACACATAAATTTACATGTAGTGTCAGTGTCCCTAATGCAGACCGTTCAGGAACACTTACGGATGTCAAACAACAGATGTGACATACAAACAGAGGTTCTGCACAGTGAAAATGAAACTCTACTCTCTGAGCTGTACTGGAGTCTGAGTCTGCAGTCACTGTAGCTCGCTGATTCTTTAGAAAAGAGGTCAGACACAGCGAACAAAAGAGCCTCCAGCTCATGTTACAGCCTGTTCAGAGCTCTGTGTGCTGCTGTAATGTCAATCAAATGTAGAGGTATGGGAAGTAGAGCTGCACAGTAGACCAGCATTAGTGTTCAGCTGCTGGCCTGATCAGATAATGCAGACTTTATCCAGTAAAAATATGGATCTGAATCTTTTTGAAATGAAAATAACTAAATTTAATAAATATGTGATCAAAATAAATCGTAATTTTCTGCACAACTTCTGCAATTGATTGCAGTCTAAAAAAGTGAATCATTTGACAGGTCGAATATTTTGTGACATTGTGGTTAATGATAGACAATCAGAACTTAATTAACTGAAGATGGTTGAAATTCATAAAGACATTTCACTTAAAGTTTCTGAAGTTCTGACTTAACTGCTTGTAATACAACTGATATATTTCTGGTTCCGTCCACCAACCAGTCAAAAATTATTTCGAAGAATTCCTCAATTTCATCCCAAGCAAGTATTTTCATATTGGTAGTATAATAATGTGAACATACAAGTTCAAATTCAGCAAATATGAAAGTTCTAAATGAGATGAACTTTGTGCTTGCCCACTGACAAGCTTTATCTCTTTGAGGTCTTGATCTAACCTCCTATAGATAGATAAGTATGTCAAAATCTTTCAGAAAAAAAGAAAATTACAGGAAGACAACCCTCATGAAATCTTATTTATAAGTTTTCAACAAATAAGTCCAGATGACAAATGTGTAAAATGCTTTTATCAGGGTCATTATAACCCACCCGGCGCTCTTGATCTGTAACAGATTATGTTTTCAGTTGCCTCTCCTACCTCCTTTAGAAGTGATCTGTGCTCCACCAGCAGTCATGAACTCGATGTTGCCCATCTGGAGCACAGCCGAAAGCAGTTTGAACACGTCTCTAATCTCCTCCTCAGTGAACTCCATCACTTTCAGGGCCTCCTGCAACACAACAAAGACTGTGTGAGATGACATATCATTTGGAGGATACTGAAAAACACGCCTGACTCAACCGTCAAAGTTCTGTCCTGGAGCCACAACAGTTTTAGAAACATACTTTAAAGTGTCTTGGTGTTTATTTAAGCTCCTCTTCAGAACAGAGATCATAAAGAGTTTCTTGAGATGCTGATACAAAGTTCATCAATGTTTCTTAACTGGTAAACTAGACTGTTCACATGCGGATCAGTGGATTATGAAGGTCTAATATTAAGGATTTTGTGATCCAGTTGGCACTTAATGATCAGGAGCAGAGACGAGCTCTTCTTCTCTGCCAGTGTTAGGTTATGGACAGTTTCATGTCTCCACTCTTTATTAGCACCGAGATTGTAAAAGATGGGGATGTTTTCTGCTGTGAATGAAATGTGTCACTGAATGTGAAAGAAACACCTTCAAAGCCGGTGACTGTGTGGCCAAATGGAAGCAGGTAAAGGGTTAAAAGTGCATTGATAACCTCCACAGACAAATACTGGGATGTATTTGAGAATTTAATCACCCAGTGCAACCAAGTCAGACCTGTCTGACAGATAAGAAGAGAGCTGGTCTAAAGCAAGGGGAGGAAATTAACACTCAATTAAAAACTAAAGGTTCTAGGTTTAGAGGTAAACAGCCAATCACTGTTGAGGGTTCTGAGGCGCCCATATTCCCAGATTTTATGTATGAGGCCAATTCTATATAGAAGTGCTTTGTCCTCCATCATGTTGTAAATATGACACGGTGGTTTTTATTTAACAGTATGCCTTTGGTTTCATGTCCTGCATCTCATGATTTATCCTTCCTTTCTCCAACAATCGCCCCCACACCCAACAGGGAGAACATCACCCTGTGAGGGTCACCTGTGGACGGGCAACTAAGGGTGCAGCTCAGGGGGGTTTCTAAAAGCATGACTGACAGAGGCTAAAAAGTTAGGAATTACAAGATGAGGTCTGAGAAAAGAGTGAACAGAGTCCTCCATGTGCTTAGAAAGTTCTTAAAAGTCAAACACAAACTTGGTCTCATTGGTCAGCTGACTTTAGAAGAGTGTTTATTTATTCATGTTTTCAGATGTCTTAGAGAAGAAGAGATGACAAAAAATACATTCATGTGTTTGTCATCACTCCAATAATAAAATGATTATAAAAAACATGCAAATACACCATGAAATTAAAGTTATCAAGCACAGAGTCCTGTTTTGGAATCTGTATCATACTATCCAAATATACGTGTTGAAGTGTCTGTGAGTCCACCTAATTGTTGCAGCTAAAAAACTAGAGCTCATCTTAACTGAGTTAGGTGAATATGTCCAACCTCTCCATTTATGTACTGCTGGGCAGCCAAAGTCCTTCCTAGAGTGGAAGTGTTTAATGTGCAAAAACAGAAATATTTAGCATTATCTTAGGGTCAGATCCTACAGCAAATTGCTCTCCTGCTCACCCCTCACGTTGGTGAAAATCCACAAGGAATCTCTGAGGACCAGGATCTGCAGGGGGTTTGATCCTCCATTTGTCAAGTTTTTACCATCAAATACACAAAGCATAAACCTTTGTACAAAAACCACTCTCTTCTTCTTCTTCTTCTCCTTATTTTAATTAAATAAACAGCCTTTTAGAAGGAGAGAGATGAAGGCGATGAAGGAATGAACAACCAATTAACAACTCTCTCTGTGCAATAAGCAATTTATTTATTTATCTATTTCAATTTTTGTTTTTTTTATCTTTTATTTTCTATTTTTACCTTTAATACTGTTTGCATTTAGTATTTCTAAGTACAATGTTGTACTCCTCGGTCTCTTCTTTGAGCTGCTGTAATTCGAGAATTGGAGGATCAATAAACTTGATCTTATCTTGTGTGTTCAGACCTCACACAGATATCATGGTGGCATTATAGTGGCACCTAACATTCGCATCACATCTCTTCGTTTTGAAATAGCAGAAGATGATCATTTCTATCACGTTAGTAGAACATTTTTGGTGTGCTCTCTCTCTGTGAAGGTGGTTACGGCAGTGATGAAGAATTACACTGCCCCCTAGAGGTAATCCAAACAACTTACAGTAAAATCATCATCGTCTTCTTACCATCACACTGTCAAAGAGCTGCTTGTCATCCAGACTGCTGTCCTGCACACAGCCCGACTGGCTCAGGTAGTGATATGACTCTGGACCCTCAGACAGGAGGTACATATCTACAATACACAAAAGCAGAAACTCACACCAATTAAAATAAAACTTTACACTCTCAGGTCGAACAGTGTCCAAGATACAGTTGCAAATTTACTCTGTTTACTGTATCATGGTACTTTTTTACCCCCATACATAGCACAAATCTTTGGTCACTGTATTGATTTACAGGAGTAGAGAAATAAAGAAATACGCAACACTGAATTGGCAGATAACTGACTTTAAGTTGCAAAAAGTCCCAGCAAAAAAGTACCACTGATATTTTACCCAAAGCTGTTTGAAAAAAATCTAAATGTCAGCCAGATCTGTTGAAGTTTTCCTCTAAACTCTGTAAAAACTAACCTTGGTGGTCTCTGTCTGCCCCTGCTAACAGAGCGTAGAAGATGTGGTAGTTCCTTTCTCCTGGATTCTGTCGAACTACACGGTTCTTGAAGAGACACGACAAACAGAAGACAATGTCAGGATATTTGATAGACTATGATAGACTATGGAGTGATATATTGATAAAGCAAAAAACTTAAAGATGATCCCAGTTGTTACCACAACATGCTCCAACACAAACTCACCTTTTCTAGCAAATCTGTGGGTTTAAAGTCAAGGAGCAACAACAAGAATCTAAAGAAAGTAACTCTAAACTAGGAAGTATGGTCAGTATCATATTTTTAGGACTGCTGAAGGATACAGTCAATGATGCAGCCTCCCTGGATGTTTCCATTCTGGGAAAAGTGGAGCTGGATAAACTTCCCAAATCGACTGGAGTTGTTGTTGTACACGGTTTTAGCATTTCCAAAGGCCTCCATGATGGGACTGTGGACAAAAGGGGACGAGAGAACATCCAAGTCAGTCAGCTACGGAAGCCTTAGTAAGTAGGGAAGCAGACATGCCGTGCAGTGTCGTTGCTGGTTACTAGAATTTGCCACCAACAAATCCCTTTTTCTTTATGAGAGTGTTTGTCATTAATGATGGTCAAAATGGTGTTTTTAAAGATTTTAGTAATCATAATCATAATTTTCAAGGAGACTCTTCAGGTTTTCCATTCCAAAGAAATGTGAAAAAAAAGATCAGAGACAACATTCTTTAATCAATTTGCATAAAAACACACTCTTCCTACTATAAACAGTGCTCAGCATAAATGAGTAAAACCCTTCAGAGTTGTCAGAAAACCTTTAGTTTTCTTTCAAAATCAACATTACATCAAAATACTACCCCAAATGTAGGCCATTGATTTCACACAAAAAAGGATTTTTTTCAATTTAAAATGAGTACACCCCAATCAACGTTCTTTGTCAAAACTCTGGAAATTGTACTTTTGCTCATCTACATAATGAGGAATACATTACTTTAAATAAAGAGTGTACTGACTTATGCTGGGCACTGTATGTGAAAACTTTTGTATTAGCCAGGTATGGAGAATTAAATCAACCACAATGAAAATTAAAGTAATGCTTTAAAGTTATGATCCATCTGATGAAATGAAAAACAGTACCTGCTCTGGACGAGGGCCTGCTCCACCCGGGTGGTTCTCTCCGACAGAGGAGTACCCGTTGAGTTTTGACTCATTACAGAGAGAAACTTCAGAAGCAGTTTAGTGCTCTCTGTCTTCCCCGCACCACTTTCCCCACTGAGGACAAAGACAGAAACACAAACATCAGTTCAAATCGTTTCTTTTCCTTTAAAAGTTTAAAGTGATATGTGCTTGTTCGAGGTGAAGCTGGCCTCACCTGATGAGGACACACTGGCTGTCATGTCGCTTCCACAGGCAGCGGTAACATTCATTAGCCACAGCGAAGATATGAGGCGGCAGCTCCCCCATCTGGTGTTTGCTGTACAGGTCGACTGCAGTGCTATCATACAGGCCGGCTATCTGCTTATAGGGGTTTACTGCTGCCAGGATTGAACCTATATTAGTCTGAGGGAGGAGAAAAAGCAGACAGGAAGACAAGAAAGAAAGACGCAGACAGAAGAAAGAGAGAAAGACAGATTATTAGTGAAAGTAACAGAAAACATGACAACGTGTGTTGACACCTCACTACATTTCTTTGGTGACATTTCTAAACACTTAGATCAGCAGATTCACCCACTTTCCTGTCTCACTACCTGTCAGTGACACTCTTAAACCTGCATACGGCCTACTTAACTCTGAGGCTGGTAATATTTTAAGACCTGCAGCTCCTGCTCGGGTAGAGCGCTTTGGGAAAAAAGTCCCTGGCAAAAGTGTGTTTATGGGTCATGATTCCACAATGATATCTTTTTCTTTGATGCCACACAGACAGACGGGCCACGCCTTCTGGATGGATTAGGAGACGGGATTTTATTTTGAGTCTGGAAACGATGATTTTAATAAAACCTGGTGAATGTATAAAAGAGTACCTCAGTGACCTACAGTGGAGGTAATCCAGGGAGTAAGCAAGGGTCAAATGAATATATTTAAATCAGCCTTTCTTAGAAGAAAATCCAACCGTAAATACTCTTAAGGCTGTTCCAGGAATTGTTTGTTTATTCTTTAGAGTTTGTGTCCTATTTTGACCAAGAAAAGCCCCAAAAACTCTGCGTAAGCTTGTTTGGTTTGGCTTTAAGCTTACTAAAGCATCAGAGAGGAAGAATGCAGTAGTGCATACAAATCTAACACCTAAAGAGGGACTTTCTCTGATTATTTACACTTTGAAATCTCAGTCCTGAGATGCTGCATGTCCTCCTTTCATAGAAACATGTGAAAAACAGCCCTAAATAGTACAGATTCCTGATACATCATGGTGTTTCATAGTAAATATGCTCTCTGGTTAAGATTACACAGCGCCTTACATAGATGTTGTCTTTCTGGTAGCGCATGAAAAGGTTGTGCATGATGGCGGCTTCGTGCAGCTCTGCCAGCGTGGACATGTCCTCCACGCCGTGGATGCTGCTGGGGTGCATCGAGTACACCATCTCCCTGTTCAGTTCTGCCCTCTGGAGGTAAATCACCTGGAAAATTAAACAAAAAAAAACAGAGTTAGATTCACTAGAAAAGAATCTGCAGTTGAGGAATTTTTCAAGGTGATACATGTTAACCTGAGGAAACATATATGCAAGCAAGTCTCACAATCCTTAATCTACAGTGTGTTTAAAAGGGTCTTGTTGAAGCAACCGCACCCTAAATGCATCAGCTTTTAAAGTGAACTAGATAGATGTGAAAAAAGGCCATGTTTTATCCTTTATACAACTATATTACACTGCTGTTGCACACATTGATTTATCTGTTGGCTGATTTGATTTCTTGTTCTCCGACTAAATCATGTAGCCCTAATTTCATCTAAAATATCCCAAAAGTAAGCTGAACCAGCATGATGTCCCAAAACCCAAATGACATTACTTAAAATGTATTTACTGCAACCTGTTTTCCCCAGTGGAAAATCAATAAAGTAAATCTTATCTTGTCTTATCTTAAACTGCAAAAATTCTGCTTCTTCTCTGAAACAGACACATATCTAAGCATTCGAAAAAGTTAATGTTGGTGATGAATGATTTCAACAATTTGTCCTGGCTTTTCTCTGATGGGAATTGATGTGCAACATTCATTCAGAATTACCGAGCGACCTAACAAGCAGCCGTACAGAGCCCCGTACATGCAGAGAACATGCAAACTTCCCCCGGGAAGGTCTGAGCCAAGACTTGAACCAAAAATCTGTATGTTATAAAAAAAGAACAACAGTGCCTGCCACTGCACCACCAAGCAGCCTTCTCATCAACTGCATTTGATGCATATTGCTTACAGCTGATCTGTTGGTTCATTGCTGTTGATGCAGCAGAGGTCCAGAAGTCTCTGCTGAACTTTGCAAAGATAAAACACCTGAACACGGATAATGCAAGAGGAGGAAAGACAAGTTCAAACAGATCTGAATAAGGATGCTGGCAGAACACAAACATATAGTAGTCCTCTTTGACCAAGGGTGAAGGTAGTACCCTGTAAACTCATACCTCTACATGTCCCTCTGGTGTGGTTACTTCCTTCATATCACTGTTGGATAAGTACTAAACATGATGTTTCCATGGCATTTAAAATTCCTTTGTGTTTTTTTTAATTATTATTATTTTTTTTTTTACAAATTCTGATTCCAAATAGAGCAAGTAAGAAGGAGACAAGAAAGGAAGGAAGGAAAGAAGGAAGGAAGCATCTGTCTACAGTATTACAGAAATGAAAAACAGTCAAACAAACCCACAGACAGTCTGGCAGACTCCCTGGCTATCAGAACTCTAATGGAAGAGACACAAGGCGAGAGGGCGGACAGACTGCAACTATGTTGGTTACTTGATGGGAAACTGTGTTCAGGATCAATACATCTGGGTGAGGAGGAGCTGGGCTTGTGGTGTCCCATTGCATTACTTCTGGTCATACTGGAGGACTCAAATGTGTCCCAGCTGGGAGCAGACGCTAGTTTCTCTTATACTGATGAGTCAGGACAGACGCTGCTGAGGACTGAGTTCTGATAATGAGGGTTAAATCGATGGGGCTATTATTTAATAGATATCATATTTACAGCAGTATTTGTTAATTTTATGCATCTTGACAAACTGTAACCACATGACTGTTGTAAGAAATTCCTCCAAAGCAGCTAAAAGTATCCTCACTTTATGAGCATTTCATTCCTGACACTATTAAGTTAAAACTTGATTTGATTTTCGCTTTATTTTTAGTCACTATCAGCTACAATAATTGATATTTTAGCAGTAAAATGCCTCACCCTGCTTACATCGAGCAGCAGATTGTGTCTGTCTGCTGTCTGAAACTTGAAAACAAGCTTACAAGCAGAAAAACATCTGTTTGCTCCAAATTAAACAGGGTTTAAAGAGCACTTGGATTAAAACAAAACAGTTAAGTTGTGCGCTGTAAAACCAAACAATGAGTTGAAAATGCTGTAACGCACTGAACCCTGAGTGTGTTAACGTGGGAGTTTAATGACAGCCTTTATATTCATCTAGTGTTTGGATAAAATAATCGATAAGTGAGAATAAACCAGTGAATGAAAAAAACGTCAAGACTTCGGCACAAAAATTACTGCAAACAATGGAAACTTTTACTTTGTCCAAATACAGACAGGAGCAAACAAACGTATATTTCAGAGAGCACATGTGTCTCAAATCTGATTGTATATAACACATAAACACCTGAAGGAGATGATATGGTTGAGGAGCTGCTATATATTGATATATACTGTATGTGTGTATACTTTCTTTTCTTCTTTCTTACTAGGAGAAACCTGATTAAGTGTTGAAGAAAGCCTTACAAGTATCTAAAATTTTAACCGACTCACTATGTTTGCCATTATATGCTTAGACTCCAGCACATTAACATGTCAGCCATCAGTGGGTTGCTTCATGCTGTTGAGGTATTACAGGTTTGTGAAAGCTTCACCCTTTCACCTTGGGGGGAGCAGCACTTATAGTAACGTCATCCAGTGTGGAGCACAAGTGTCAGATTTACAGCCTCATGCACCCTAAACATGCAGCGTTAACCCCGCCCTGATGATCCACACCCTGGACCATTTCACCAAACAGGGCCTCAGCGACTCATATATTTAACAGGCTGTGCACTTGTTTTAATTTTTTAATCTGCATTATCATTTCACATTCAGTTATATCACTCACTTAGTGTGATTGATGTCTGTGTGGACACCTGGGCTCTGCTGGATTTGTGTGGTCATACCAAACTGTTTCCTATTTGGAGATGTGTAAGTCTGTTTTAACTTATTCAGGAAGAAGTAAACATCTGGCTCTGAATATTTCTGCTTCAAGTTGAACAGTCGACCTGATTACCTTAAAGACGTGCTAAAGAAACACAAGCTGATGTGAGGGGCTTGTATCATTTTTGTCTTTTCTTTTATTTCTTTTCCCCCCATGGGGCTGCACTCTACGGAAGTGTATTGCGTTCATTTACAAAAAAAAAGGAAACAGTTTTTTTGAGTATTTTTTTCTTTGCTGTTTTTCTGACTATTTTTTTTCTTCTGTTTTATTTGTAGTAATAATTTTCCACCGCTTTCTGTTTTCTGACAATTTTTTTCTGTTTTTCATACTATTTTTTCTGTCTTTCTGTTTTTCAGACAATTCTTTTTTTCTGACTAAGCGAGATACTTCAAAATCCTGTGAGAATCTCATACAATCAAAAAACGTCAACCACTGGAGCTGCTCCCAATCAGCTGATTCTCCAGCTCCTAGATAACTGCGATGACGGGGTTAATGAGAGTAAAGCATGTTATCAGTTAAACATAGGGTATGCAAATCCTGAGGTGCCTGCACAAAGTAGACAAACTTATGGTGACTTCATCTATCCGACAAAAAGAAAGGAGTATGTAAAAATTGATTAAACTAAACAAGTGGGCCATGTTTGCTTCCATTAAATCGAGCAGAGGGGGATGAAAGCGTCTGTTTATATATGATCATGATCCCAGAGAATAGGAAAAACAATTAGTCTGAAAAACAAAACAAAAACAAAAAACAGTCTGAAAAACAGAAAAATTAATCTGAAAAACAAAACCAAAAAAAAAAAGTCTGAAAAACAAAAAAATAAGTCTGAAAAACAGGGGGGAAAATTGTCCAAAAAAAAGGAAAAAAAAATACTCAGATAAAAAGAGCTTTTTTTTGGTTAATGCAATACACTTCCATAGCATTCAACATATCTTTATCTGTTTTAGTTTTCTTGATATTTAATTGAAGCAATCACTGACCTTTGCCAACAGGTTGGTTGGTGCGACCAGTAAATCACATTATCAAGTCAGTACATTTCACTGGGATAATAAAACACCTGAAACAGTATTTTAAGCGGCATTTTTTTGTGTGTGTATTTAGTGAAGGGGGTTACATTAGCTATAAAACAGGTTTTAATTCTTATGAATTTAATGCCCTAAAGGAAGAAATGTGTTCTGTCTTCATCCAGAGGAAATAAAGTTTGACTTCAGATAATATGCAAAAGAAAGTTGGCTCTCTGTGTTTGTTATGATTTTAATAAGGGTTTGTTTTCTCATATTTTCTTTCCTAGCTATTGAAATAAAAGGAAACTATTTCAAGCATTTTTAACCATTTGTTTTTATTCATCAGGCAAATATGTGCTGGAAATTGGAGAATATTATCAGCCTATTAGGTTTGATTTCACCTTCAGAGTCCAACACTCAGTCAAACAAACTTTAGAAATGTGAGATCAACTTCTTTGTATTTTGTCAGCGTTCTTTACATTCCCCAGCACAAGTTCAAAGTTACTCTGAGGTGGCTTGGGGCAAAGATAACCCAGAATAACAAACACTGAGAGGAGGCTGAGAGGGTCAATGTTACACCTCAAGTTTCACAGCTGGAAAACAAAGAGAAGCACACGCTGACACACACTGCATGGAATTCACCCTTATCTTAACACAACACCAGAGGAACTGTCTTTCCATACTCTTATCTTTGTGAATGTGTGTTAGTTTGTCTCTTCGTATGAACTGACCTTTGCTATTGATCTCCTCAGGATGTTTCATGCTTTAAAACACCAGAGAATCATCTTAAAAAAACTGAGTTGGGTTTTCCAAAGAGGTTCACAGAGGTGTTTTCCCCTCTGTGGTTTTCTTCCTTTGTTTGGTTTCATTACTATGAAATAAATCACTGCCACTGTATTCCACTTTAATATTCATTTACACTTGAAAAACAAGCTTCAGATCAAACAATGAAGATGAAACAATAAACCTTAAGATGTGGTTATTGGGAAGCTTAGATGGATCACAAGTGCATTCAAGAGCGAAACATGATTAACTGTCTTTATTTGTTTCACACACTGATTAAAGTGTTACCACCAGCAGTGTAAAGCTCTCCAACACTGTCCCAGACTGACCTGGTGGTGATGTAACACTGCATGTGTCTGCTAGGATTGATTTTCAACCTCCAATTAACTAATGACCTCACAGCCTACTGCTCTGAAATTTAAAAAAAAAAAGAAAAATATCACACATTAAGAGAATTTGGTGTCGTGATCGTCGGTGTGATTTTGAAGTAACTTTGTTTTTTATGATTTTACTCAGTAGATGAGTGAGGCTCACACCAGCCTCCAGCATCATCACTGCTAATGATCTGAGTGATGTAATTTCATGCCGCACACATGATCCAGTAAGGCTGGATCAATATGTCACAAAGTTTATATGTAAATCAATATCATGCAAATGGAGCTTGAGCTGAAACTCAAATTATTTTATCACAGTTTGAAACTGTTGTCGCACGATTGTCTTATTTTATCCCCAAATATCTTTCCACTTCCCTCCTGTCCTAACTCTAATTAAAGGCCTGAAAGCTCCAAAATACACTTAAATTAATTCTTTAGGGTGCACTATGAAAGAGAGAGTAGAGTTGTTAAAGAAAAGGTTAAAAAACGGAGGTGACCATAACTCAAACCTAGCTTTCTTTCTAACCTGTTCCTAAAATTGAGTTCGAAATGAGTGCAGTCTTTAAAAAAATTATGTTTTCCTATTTTAATATTATGCATGTTGTCTTTGACCTATTTTCAAATAAGTGATATACACAAATCTTTTGAGAGAAAAACAGGCGATGTAACAGGTAAACTCTTTCTTTGTTTCAATTCTTGTTTTATTTCTCTCTTCCTGTCCGATTAACACACTAAAAACACTAACTGAGATCTGTCTGCTCCACTGTATGTATTCAGAAAGATATACAAATTTTATTTTCATTATGTTATCTCAATATTGTTATGTATTTGCTTGTATTTTTCTTTTTATCTTAAATAAATATATCTGATTTTTTTTTTACTGTTTATGATCAACATAATAGCAAGCAGCTTTTGTTCTCACTTTAATCATTTTGGGAGTGTAATTGCCCTCTCGTGAATAAAATTTGTTAGATATAAGTCAGACAAAACACAATTTTCCTGACTAAAGCCCATGAATGTGAAACTGTTGCAGCTATAATGATCTTCCCTTTTGTTTCCTCGGAGCTGAAACCACACCCTGCTGCTGCTTTGTTCCAACAACTCCACTGAATATTCACACATCAGCCAGGGTGGAGCGGCACTGAGGCTCAGTGGACCTTCACTGGCAGATATATTCAGGCCTTTAGAAACAACACATGTGCACATATAAAACCACAGACCCGTGCAAACAAACACCGTCTTGTTTATCACTGTCTGTTTCTGCCTTGCTTGCTCTTTTTTCCTCTCTCGCCATGTCTGAGTCTGTCTCTGTCTTACAGTGTATCCATCTGCTGAAGGGGGGATCCCACCCAGACCCTGGAGACACAGCAGAGGGGGGGTCATGATAGGAGATAGGCTTATTAAAGGGAAAATAGAGTTTTTCCATTTATTTTTTCTGAAAACCTTCACAAATAATTTCCAAACTTGGTGCTCCAAAAACCAAAATTCAGCATGACACGGGTTTACCAAACCCACAGACGCCCACAATAACATCAGTGTGAACATGTGAGAACATTCATGAATACACATCACCCACATAGAGGGGGGTCACATAATGACTCCATTGACCAATAATTCAGAAAAGACTGAGAGGCCATCAGTGGTCTATTGAAAAGCTCAGAGGCGCTAAAGCTGGGCGTTAAAGCCAACTTCAGAGACCACACTTTGGTAAAGTTGAGTCTAATCTCTTTCTCTGTGTTGATTAAGACAATTAGTTGGAAGAAATAAATCCAAATGGAAATCTAAATCTAAAGATGAATTGGCTGCAGCAGTGAGTAGACAAGCTTTGGTTCAGGTTCTCCATACAGTTTCACAACAAAGGGGCACAGCAGACTGATATCCTCTTTGAATATACACAATGAAAAATACAGAACTATCCCTTTAATTACTGTTTCAACTCATTGTTAATTATGAAAACTGCTATCCTGCCATAACTAATTCATATTTCTGTTAACTCGTGTAAAAATTTGGGTGTATGATCCGAAGTATGAGCTGCTGCATGTGTGTAAAATGATTCATACATGAAACAGTTTGTGTATTGACCCCATACTAACAGAATCAGGTCAAGATCAATATATTGTTCAGCCGAAAGATGACATCATCACCAGCAGCAGCAGCTATTCAGTTCAGGTGACAGAGCCCCTTCCTGCTTTTCTATACATGTGGGTCTCTCTGGGGATAACTCACACACTGTTAATCCAGCTGGTGCCATCTGGCCACAAAAAATACACACACACACACACACACACACACACACACACACACACACACACACACACACACACACACACACTAAGTAACGAGACATTCAGCTGTCAGCTTCTGTGTGTCTGCTGTTTCTTTTTTTTCTTTCCACACGGGTCTGTGTTGTTCTGGGCTGAGACAGTGATGGATGCTGATATGATGGTTAATGTGACAGCAGCCAGGTCAGCCTGTTACAGCCGAGGCTGCGTCTTGAGTCTGCAAGCTCAGACAGGGATCGAGCTGCACCTCAGGGTGAGCATTAAAGCTGTGGATAATGGTATACCCAAACCACCCTGAGGGGAAAATTCTGCCAGTATACATTTACCAATCCACCTCAGACGCTCTACAGGAGCATGGAGACACTAGGATCAGAGGAAAACAGACAGAGAGATGGCACACACGCGTCATAACACTAACACACTTAAGGAGCTGGGTTTAAATAAAGATTATACAACTAAATAAAGAAATGCAGGGATCAAATAAGGTCACGCAGCGACCCTGAGAGTGAAGATGATCTGTTTTTCAATCTCACATTCCTGTCATTCTGGCTGCACAGTCTTAGGACTTGGACAAAGAGGAGACATCCATATGCCTAGCCTGATGACCAGATGATCCTGAGCTTACATGTGAAGATCATATTAGACAGGCCAGCATTAGTTCAACACCCTGATCCTGCTAACGCTCACAGAAATGTTATTTCTATCGAACTGGGAGAAACGCCCTGTGGTTTTCTCCATTCACACCAAGACGATTAATAAAAAGGGTCCTCTTATTCCTTTCTTAAACTCCGACCTATAGCTGTAAATCCCTCTTAGCTGGGAGAGATGGTGACTCCATCATTAAGAGTCATCCCTGCCCCTCTGACCACACATGGCTGACTCCTCACTCTGCAGGAATCCTCACCACTGACCAGAGAGAAACATCAAACCAGTGAGCTCAGGAAGGAGGCGTATGGAGGAGATGAGTTCATACGTTCCATCACTAACATTCACTATGACTCTCTTTAAAACGTGCCACCTCTGCAAATCACAACTGAAAGGTGTAACACTCTCAACAAGACTGAGGCAATTTAGCCCCCGGATGAAAATGAGACTGTTTAACATCATAGCTTTAGACCTGATCTTCCCATTGGCTGCCAAAATCGCACACCACTTTTTCCAATATGAACATTTGAGGACAAAAAAGAATAGCACTGAGGTTGGAATAGTGGTCGTGTGAAGAAAGTAAATGTCCTCCTCTGTCAGAGAGGAAAAAATTCTGTCATCTATAAGAACTTTTGTGGTAGCTCAGCCGGCAGCCCCCCTTTGTTGAGTCTTTTCGTTACAGTTTTATTACCAAGTCCATTTGTTTTGAAAATGATGACTACAATAAGGAATCCTAACTTAAAGACAGATTGATGTTCAGGAGGAAGCTGGGGTAAATAAGCACAAAGCTCCTCCTGAATCCCTTGGTTCGCTGGAATGCATCAAATGGACAGATCTGCAACCTTTAACTCCTTATTCACTTACACTTACAAGACCCACTCCGATGAAAATCATGCTTTTCTTGTTGTCTTGTTCCTATGGCATCATGCTACAGGACATATCATGAAACAAATAAGTGTAAAATTGCATTTCTGAGTATTCTTCATTCAAATCGCTGTGAACCTCTGGCAGATACAAACGCAGGTTCAGATACAATATTTCCTATGTCACAAATCCAAGCTCCGCCCACAGAGCCCCACTCTGCAGGCCAGACTCAGAGAAGTATAGAGGACTATCGTAGAACAATTGTATGCGTTAGCAGATTGCAATGCTCATAAGAAAGCTAATTATGATATTAACTTTCATCATGCTCTCAAAGACATTAGTGTATGAAAGCTGAATAGTTCCTATGTTACCTGCTACTTCTACTACACCAGCAATGATAGTCTACAAGCTAACTTGAGAAGAAGTGTGCAGAGCAGCACTGTCTACGCCCACGACTCAGAGGTAAATTGCTAATGAGAAACTGGAGCTCTGCAGAAGAAAAGCTCTTGAAAATGACAAAGGTAATGTGATTTTGGCAAAAAATGTAGTAATCACAATTTATAAACCACTGTTAACCATAGACTGTATATAGAATGGATGCTATCTGCCTCGCTGAGAGAAGCCACTCCGAGAAAAGCACATCCTGGTGACAGGCTGCAGTATAGGTCATAAATCCTGCCTCTGCCAGCCATCCTTATGACTGGCACAATGCTACTGCGCAAGTGGTGGAGTGCATACAACGCTGCTGCACAATGTTGGTTTCAGGAAGTGGAGAAAATATGCGGAATTACCAAGAGCTTTTCGGCTTCAAATCCATATACTGGCAGAAGGCAGAACCAAGTTGTCCATAGTATATACAGTCTATGCTGAGAACAAAAAAAACAATCGGAGTGGGACTTATAACAAAGCCAGTATCCATCGGTACAGGACAGCTACAGTGAACGTATTTCTATGCTAAATCTTGTGAGCCCCCTACATGTAGGGATGTGAATCTAGGTGTAGAAATGATGCTGTGTGCAGGCTGAAGTCTTTTGGCCAGTTCCTTCCTCAGACCCTGACCTGATTAAAAGACCAAATGGAGTTTTTGATGATCATCTCAACTGCCCACAGAGTCACTTCAGTACAAAGGCATTCCTTTCGATAATAGTTGGACTCATTTTTGACCCACAGACATGAGAGTAAGGATCTTTTTTTAAACCTGCCATTAACCCCCCCCCCCTCTTAAAACAGGATTTCCTCCAGACACAAAGACCTCCATGCTCTGCCAAACAGATAAGCTCAGGCCTATGACTTGACACAAGAGGTCCATTCCTGTCATTCTTACTTTCTTACAAAAGGTGTTGATCCCACCGCTGCACCCTGACATGAAACACACGTACAAGCCATTAACCTTGCCCACATATGCAACCAGATAGAAAATGCATCATGAGTGAGGCGCATCAGGCAGAAAGGAGCCTTCTTACCTTGCCATAGTCGGTGGTGAGGACCAGGGACGAATCATCACAGGAGCTGATGGTGGAGGGGAGGAGCTGCTCTTTGTGTCTCAGCCAGACACGGGCCCCCTGCAACACAAAAGGTAGAAGACCAGCATTAGCATCTGGACTCATGGCTCAGGCTGGTGTCGTGCGTTTGATGAAAAAAGGACCAAAACTTTGCATTAAAGTCCTTTTCAAGAGATGCCGCTTTGAAGGTTGATTACTTACTGAAAGCAAGTAAATACAACATTAATCTGGAAAAACAGTCACATCTGTAAAATTTCTTGTTTTTTAGGCGCAGTCTGAAAGCCAGGAGGGAGAAAAAGCTGCAGAGTCAGAAGAAACTGCTGAGGTTCACTCTCTCTTTTACCAGTTTTCCCCTTTTCCCAGCATAGCTCACCACTATCTGCCACATAGCAGCTCCCTCACCATAACACACTGGCACAGTTATCCTCTCATTAAACTGTCATTGCTTTTTAGAAGAGAAAAGTTGTTTGCCAGGCAGCATGTGCAGGGTGTGTCAGAGGCTTTAACTACCAGTTAGAGTTACACACACACACACACCCAGTGAAGCTGTCAAAAAAAGGGCTCTAGACTTCGTGGACTTTGGTTGTTGGTGCTGAATTGAATGATCAAATGAAATAATGTGACCGGTAGTCAACATTTGCTACTTTGGTAAATCAATCAATCTTTTTTGTGTGTGCACGTCTCGGATCAGATCGTGGTTCCAGACACAATAACACATTCACTACAGCTGATCCGAGCGGCCTGGTCTCCTGTGTTTGTGTATCCATGAGAAGTCACCGACCTTTCCAGACGTGTTTGTTAGCGGCTCAGTATCCAGAGGCAATAACAGGAATCTGTGGCTGATTGCTCATGCCGACGGTCATTTCCTCACAGTGGAAGTAGAGGACACATTTATAGAAACAGCAGGGTTTTAACGACTGTAGTGGACGAGGATGAATGCCTGTGGCCTGTTTTAACGGTGAATCTTTTGGGATGACTAACTCCACGTGTCCATTACAAAAACAACAAACATGGACATTTGGTTAAACTTTATATAGGAGCAGAGACTCTCAAGGGTGAAATTGAACATTTAGAGGAACATTTTCAGATAATTTCAGGATATTTAGGAACTCATTAGCACATGGTTTTCAAACAAGGATGGGTATCATTAAGTATCATTCACCATTTATCAACAGAGAACAACTCCATGATAAATATTTGCCACCTCACGCTAAAAGCGATAAATGCAAGTTGATGAGGTAAGTGCGAGCAAAGGACTTGCAGTCATAGCCCACACAGATCAGAATAACAAACAAACATGGCTGAAGGTGGTGAAGAAGACGTCCCTGAGCAGGTAATTGCTAAACAAGGCTCTACTTGAGGGATTTCCTTCAAGACTGGGGTTAAGACGAGTGCAATCAGTTATGGCTGACATCGGAGAGTGGATCTGCTGCTGTTCACTCTGTGCAATAAGAGTTTTCAACAAATGTTGAACAGTGTTTTTTCACATTTCTCTAGTTTTCTCTATAACCTCCCATTTAAACATGTGGTTAAGTGTCTTATTTGACTATGCCAACCAGTGTCCTCAAGACAGAATGAGTCAAATACATGAATAAGAATTATAATGTTTTTTTATTTGGACTTTTATCGTTATCGGCAGAATGGCAAAACTTACATTACATGATTAACTTGATAAATTTTTTAGCCTATATCGCCCATCCCTAGTTCTCACAAACTCTTTGTTTCTGTGTTTACGAGCACAAACAACACTGTCTCTCTACTGTAAATTTTTCTGATTTTGACCTGCAACATTCATTCACACATCGGCTCAAACCGACATCTCGTGGGCATTTTACTCTAAGGCCAGCATTAGTAAGTCCATGATGAAAAATTTGGTCGTTTATGTTCATACGTGCAGCCAAACTGGATGAAGTCTGGGAATTTGTGTAGCACGTGAACCTGTGCCTTGGTCATAAAAATACAGCTGACACAGCAGGGCAACACAGAGATGAACATCAAACCCCTCCTGAGCTCCTGAATGAGATATCTAATGCCCAATTGATCCAAACAGTGTTGCATCCTCATCTCTGAGCAACTAAACTCATTAATCATTGCAAGTGCCACCATCAAGGAGGCTGGTGAAAACGTGGGGCAAAAAAGGATTTGTGTGGCCAACAGAGCATAAAACCAATCAGATCAATATTCATGGATTCCACTAGGACACCTTATACAAGGTCACCACTTCCAGACATCAATCCTCATTAACTATTAACAACAGGCGACCAGACCACGTGTGTGCACACTCTCATCTGTGGAGCACAAATGTGTTCAACAGCAGGGTCAGAGCAAAGATCAGGATGCCTTTCTTTGATACACTTCAACGCCGTCTCTCTGGGTCTATAACACATTACGTTATTAACACAACAATTGCTCAGAGTGATGACGGTCTCCAGACTCTTCTTTATTTGGTGATTCGCTTTGCCTTTTTTGGACAAAAGGTCACTCAGTACGACCAGTCAGCCTGCAAACCCACTTTCATCATGCAGGTTTTCTTCCCCTCAGTCAGCTAATGGAGGGCAGCTAAATGTGGCTCTTTCAAACCACGGGGGACAGCAGTGAGTGGGGTAAGAGGGTCGAGTAATTTAGGAGGAGGCTGAGGGGAAGGGGGGCTGAGGGGAAGGAGGAAGGGTGCAGACTCCTGATAATGTCCCGCCTCCTATTGTCTGGAAAAGAGGCACAAACAGAAACAGAAAAACAACAGAGGAGCTCTCCAACACATGGCTTTATATGAACTGAGTTTCCTTTTTTTTTAATCATAAGAAGATTGGTGACTCCCCCACCAGTGACCAACTGTTTCTCCCTGGTACTGGCTGAGCATGCACAGCCTGCTCAGGAAAAAAGCTACTTCACGTGAGTCCTCTGAGGTCCACTGAGGGGATTAATAGTGTTGACTCTATAGATTTATAAGAAGATCAGTTGAGGTTATGTAACTAAAAATGAAAGGGACTTGATTTCAGCAGACAAATGCTGGTACAGCACAGCTCATTTCTGTGACAGCACACTTCTTAGCAAGTAGGTTTTAACAAAAGTTAGATTACATAAGATGTTGCACACAGTAAAAAGCAGGCAGGCTCTGACCCTAAGAGCAGCACAGAATTCAGATTTTTCACCACATTTTACCGCATCCAGGATTTTCTTGAATTTCATTAATGCAAAATTGAATGGGTAAAGTGACTTGCTATCAACAGTTCAGTCACTGAGTCAGTGTCTGGGAGATTTTCCATGAAAACGAGCCAAGAAGCCCAGAGTTGATAAGCAAGAACATATGTTATCATAGTTTCTTTTTTTAAAGCAGTTAAGATGACCAATTATTGGCAACAATTGCTGAATGAACATAAGAATGTCAGAAACAAGCTGGTTCATCAGGTTTCTGTGTAAGCATCTGCATCTCTAAAGGATAAATTCAGGAACATGGAACTATAATCTTACAAATGGACAAGAAGTCAGCAATAAACAAAAGATAATTATTAATTGGTCTGATTCAGGCACATATATTATTCAGGCCCAGATGTCACTTTTAACATGTTATTTTTCATTCAATTTGACATTGTTCTACATCCAGAAATGACCTTAAATGGACAAAAGAAAATAACAGGGATGAAAGCAAAGACTAAGGGGCTTTACTGTTTAAGTTTGATCTTAATTTATGCAAAAATATCAAGACAATATTGACTTGCTTAGGCTTGTTTTTAGTTCACAATAAAATATTGAACAAATGAGGAAGCCTTCTGTATTTTTGCCATGGTAAAACTCTTCCCAAATATCATGTCAGGATTCAGCAATGTAGACAATAAGGTGTTGTAGTGGATTAACAAGAAGAACAGTCAAATAAAATGATGCTAAGTGGTTGGATCTCTCGGATGTGTTGGTCTGTTTTTCTTTATGTTTTTACAAGTGAGCATCTAAGTGTGCATGTGAGTTCAAGCAAGAGGGTATAGAGTCAAGAAGAATTGTCTCAGCAACAGATGGTCTCAACAAAACTCCTCCCCTTTGTCCCCTTCATCCTCAAGAGCTCTGTCACTAAGTCAAGACAAAAGCGGCCACCCCTGACAGAGAGCTCAGAACTTAACCAGGCGGAAATATCCCAAACAAAGGCCAGCTGGGACGCAGAGGGGACACAGGTATCAGCTTGTGTCAAGACTTCAATGAGCTGCTGCTGCTGCTGAATGACTTACCATTTGGACTAAACCCCTGATACAGTGTGTGTTCTTAAATTTCCATCAAAATGACTGAAAAGTTTTTATTTATTTTTTATTTTAGGGATATTATGTATTTGCTCAGAGAGGATGGGATTGTGGGTAAAGGAGGAATCCAGAAGGCAAAGGGCTGCAGGTTGGAGCTGGGTAAACCTGAGCCGCCCACTTTGAGGACCATGTGGGTGCACACTGCACAGGTTTAGTCACCAGGCCACCTGAAAGTGTTCAGTTCTTAATGAAACCAAAGATTTACTGGATTTAATCATCAAGCCTTAGTACATGGTGAACTTCACTCCAAAGCCTCTGGTAACCAGATGTTTTGATAACTCCATTGAAATGTAAAGCAGAACTGCTGACACAGACTCAACCCCTTGGCTCCAGGTCTTTCCAACACTCTTCTCTCTACATTTTCTGCCTCTGCAACGATGTCCTAAAAGATTAAAGTCTCACTAGCATCTGCAAAATGTCTGAATGAAATTAAATCCTCACAACTTTTCAAAAAGCTAGCTTTAAAAATAACAGCATATTTTACTTTGTGGCCGAGGGGCCTAACTATTTGAATTTTGACTGACATCCACCTGAAGCACATGTAAAAATCAGCATAAAAGAAAAATACTGTCAAGCCCCTGTACAGGGACATCTTATCATTTTTATGTGTGTTTTGGTTAGCAAAATATTTGTGATGTCCACCTGCCAGATCACTTAAATCTTAAAAATGCAACCAATGCAACATGTCAGCGCCCATCAAGATGGTATTTCAGCTTCACAGTTTTACAACAGGAGGAAATAAAGGCAGTGTCCTTTTTAATGTAAATTCGATTAAACATGCATTCCCCATGTGAACTACAGACTATAAATACACGACTATATAATTACTCGACTCAATTAGTTTGTACATTTAACATGAAAATGAGATCGCCGACAGTCCTAACTTTACTGTAGCTGACAAAAGTGAGATATAGCGGTAACGTAGCCCAAGAGGAGTATTAATGGCAATAAACAGCTGAATAGCTGCTTTTCAACCTATTCTACTGATTGGTTTGTTCCAGTTAATATCAGGAAAGCTTACATTAAGTTAAATAACATAAAATCCTAATAGTTAAATATGCCTACTATAATGTGCACAAACCAAATTATTCGGTTTGAGGCCATTGTGGAAATTGTTTACCACCACCTCATGGTATGTTACCAAACACGTCCAGTACTTTAGAGGCCAGAATTAGCCGACATAAGTAATCCAATCCACCATAACAGGCCGCACACTGACGCCCCATCATGGTTTATGACACAGACACCCCTCGGGCTGAATGATGTGATGGCGGAGTCATAGGCTTGAGTTTCTGCAGCTCATACAATGACATCCAGCTTAGAGATTTGCTAACCAACAAGCCTTAAATATTTAAGGAAGTACACGGTACAAGGCGCCACAGCTCTTTCTCTGCTGTCTGGCGTAGCGTGAGCACAGGTGGTATCAGGTGATCGAATCAGCCAAGGACAAAAGAAAGCTAATTAACTCATCCTAACTTGGACACAGTTGAACAATTAGTCATGATGCAGCAATTTCTTGGATCATCGTTTCATGGAGCAGTGGGAGACCGGCTGCCCAGTGGAGATCGGTGAAGCTGTCAGTCCTGCGGGTACGACCGACTGCTGGCGAGGAATGATGCCCGACTGAGAGATGAGGAGATCAAGCTGGACACCTGACAAGCGTCTCGTTCGTTGGCTCGGACATAGGAGGGGGATAGATGTAACACCGGGAACCTATCTACCAGGAACAAATTTATCCAGGAGTAACTCGAGCTGCTGATACTTTCACTTGTCCCGCTCATGTTTCTCTGCCTTTTGCGTTCATTGATATTTGCCCTAATTTTTTCACCTTTGATAGACTCCAGATCTTTAATGGTTCCTCAATTAGTGGCAGATGTTTCCAAACAAATATGGTTTTTAAAAGAAAGACTGGTCCAGCAATCTATTCACACCTCATATACCAGGACATACAGAATTACCATGACAACAGAGAGGCAGAAGAGTAAGTCACTAACCCTGTGTGACCTCCATTAAAGTGTCAGGACAGATGTGCGACCCCGAACACTGGTTTGAATGAATGGCATTTGTTTAGTGAGGTTAAAAAGCAAACTGAAACTCAAACGACCCAGAAGTTTGTGACCAAAATGGCTTTTACATTTTTGGACAATACGTTAGCACAAACAGACTTCCAGCAAACTAGTAGAAGAAGTGAAGGCCAGTGGATATCTTTTCTTTTTTTTTTTTTTTTTGGCTGTAAAATAAAATTGAGAAAAAAATTGGGGGTTTTCATTTGGTCATGATGTATTAAAGAATAACAAAGTTGCAGGATATAGTACATCATGTTTCTGCCTTTGTTCATCAGAATGGATTTTTGCCAAATTCAGGGATTGCAGCCAAATCTTCCAAATGCTGAGTAAGTGGAATGAAGGGGGGGATTCGCCAAGTAGCTGGTGAGATTAAACAAATGGGCTGAGTGCAGCTAGGAAGAAAATCTGGGCAAAGGTCCTTCTGGGTCTCTGTTTACAGGCTTTACAGTAGGGCAAAAACTGTCATCCTTCAAACAGCAACCCCTTAGCTGCAGCATTATGGGAAGGATGTGATATCACAATCACAGATAGCTTAAGTTATGTTGAGGTCTTAAAGGACAAAACCATGACTTGGTTTGCTCTTTGAAAAAGTACATTTATGTTGTTTTTTCCTGCCTCTAGTTTGAAAATCTTAACCAGGCCAAGAGTGTTTGGACTCACTGAGAGGATTTTGTTTTATACTCAGTCATTCAGCCCTCTAGCTCATTTCTGTGACCATCAGGCAAGTATCACCAGACCCCTGAAACAGATGAATGCAGCACATTATCAAGATTAAAAGAGAACTAGCTAACAAATTGTGCTTGTGCCCATTATTTTTGTTTTCCTGCTGCCAGTGTAATGCCTGCCAGCCTGCTGCTGCTGCTGCTGGTGCGCCCAGCCAGCATGGGGTAAGGGTGGGGAAGGCCAGATTGTGTGACCGAGGGGAGAGATCATATGATTAAAGGCAACCTTCAGCATCTGTCCTGGAAGACGTATGAATTAATGATGGAGGCAGCAGCTGATTCAAAATTAGCTAATGGTGGAGGAGGAGTCCCTCAGGGAAGAGGACTTCCCCCTGTCTGTTGTGGAGAAGAGGGGGAGAAGGGTGGGTTTATCAATTGTTCTTGACTCTAAGGGGCTGCATGAGCCCCCCTACAGCGGAGGCTATAAACAGACTCAAAGCAGGATGGCCTGAAGGCAGCAGCCTCATCAGTTAACACTGCAGATTCATTTTCTTACTGAAAGACAGTTTTTGTTTAAGCAGGAGGTCTGATATGATGGAGTTATAAATACTAACTGTGTCACTGGGTTAATGGAGATCAAACATCACACAGCAATGAAGCAGGATTTTACCGTCATCACTTCATACAAAAGCTGTTTCACCAGCTTTTACCAGAATTAGCATGTAAACAAAACGTGTTTGAAATGAAGATCCATGTGTTTGTGTGCACCAGTGCTCGGCTTTTGTCTGTCTGTGTTTCTGCAGGAGGGGTGACAGACTACCTCCCCTACCACCTCTGACAGAAGCGATCTGCCATGTGGCTAATGAGTGTATTGAAGAGAATTTGCATAACAAATTGTGTCCTCAAGAGTGCAAACGATAAAAGAGTGCTTGCCTCTGCATCGCAGACTTCTTGCACAGTGTCCTGATTTGCAGTCTTATCCTCAGTGAACATACCTCTTCACCATGACTATTCTGCTGGGTGATTAAAGTATTAGCACAATCCTGCACTAGGGTTGTAACTCTGTTTTAAAAACAACAAAATAGGTTTGAGGATGAGGCAAAGAGGCAGAAAATGATCTGATTACTGTACATTTGATTGGATTTTCAGCTGTAAGCCTCATGACTGAATATCTGCAGAGCCACCTGGCATTCCTCCTTCTTCCTCCTGTCTGTCATCTACATGACTGGCTCCCCCTGTACTTGCCCGTGGACTACTACGGGGTCACGCAGCAGGAATCCTGTAGATATTTTAGGAATGCTGCTCCATCTGAACCATCAGTGGAGTAGTTCAGATTGTGGGAGACGTCTGAGGGCACCAGTGGTTTAGGGGGGGTGAGTTTAGTCAACAATATGGCTTTGCTTTTGTTGCATTGCCTTTGGCTTTCACTTGCACCCCACACTGTCTATAGTACTGATATTCATGGAACAATATCATGTTGCTTTTCAACACTCAACACAACACAAAGGAGTTACCCAAGGAGTAGCATCAACAACTATAACAGAAAATACAGAGAAAACTGCAGGTTAGCATAAAGAAATTATAGTTTCAGGTCAGTGTTTAAAACAGACAGTTCAAAGAGGAATGACTGAGAACAAAGTATGCATGGCTGCTAACAGTATTTTGTCAAACTGACATGGAGGAAGGTGGGTTCAAGCGTGAAACATTAAAAACACTCCTTTCGTGGGTCTAAGTACTTTCTGCATGTTTCTACAACCAGCCTCAGGCCAAACCACACACCCTCATTCCTAATAAACAGGCTAAAGATGGATGGGAAAGCTAACGGGTCATGGCTGTGGATTGTGCCATGCTGTGTTGTTTGCTTCTGTTAAGCATCAAGGTGCCTGTTAGAGTCTTCAGGGCCATGACAGTCAAGAATCATGCAGTGTGAGATGTGTACTTAAGCCGGCAGGGTGTTCATCCTGTAATTATTGCAATTATAGTAATTCCTCATTTGTTTGTTGTGACGTTTCTCACCCAAACATGTAGGGGAAAAAGTGACATATTGGCAAGTGTAGACACACAAACTTCAGGGCTGACATCACGCATAGTAATCATAGGGGGCTAAAAAAGGAAAGTCGACATCTGGGCTGGGAGCTGTAATCACAGGTCAGAGGTTATTAAACTGCATGACAAGACCTCCAAACTGAGAGGATTTAAAAGTGCTCTCATACAGATCACAGTGTCTGTCAGGTAGGGCAGATCGGTCAGCGGCTATACTGTCTCTATTCTGTTTAAAAAAGCAAAGATGAAAGATGGCGCCTCATAGTGCAGAGCAGTTTGGCAGAACATTGAGCTTAAGTTGTACGTAGGCTGCATTGGGCAAAACTGGTATATAAGCACTCAATTAGGACAGTGTGTAAACAGTAAGGCTCTGTGGATGTCAACCTGCACGGAGGACTAGAGGCTGGTGGTGCTAGCCTTGCTATTGTTAGCCACACTCTGTGATTGTCTGTTTTGTTGTGCTAAAGCAACATGCTAGGTTTTTAAAAAGTAGTCAGAAATTATATTTCAATTCAAACAACCTGGAAAGTAGCCCTATTGTGATGAATCAAGCCCTACTTTGGTGTTTTACTGAACAAGACAAGTACGCCAGATCAGCTGCTGCTGTCACAAGTCCAGACATGACTCAGCATGACTGTGCAACCTTTTCTTTACTTTATTTCTAACTTAACCATGTTTGAAGCTGGGATTTGTTGCAATTGCTAAAAAAGGTGATTCACCCAAAAGTCTTAAGTGATTTATATGTCAGTAGTGACACACCCATGTCTGCCCCTTAGTTCAGCACACAGGGAGGGCAGGAAGGATGGGTGTTGGAGGACAGATTGAACATCGTCAGAGTGGTTTTTGGAGCTGGGTCCTTTCTTTTTGATTGATCTTAAGTCCAGAATTACACTACGTGTTGGTGAAGGTCAGCTTCAGGAGGAATAGTTTGGGATTTCAAGGAAATTTGGGGCATTGATCTGGCTCAGGCCCTAAGTACAGAGGCTACTACAGTCCTTTCACACGAGTCGCAGTCAGACTGATTCAAGATTTCCCCTCACATTTTCTGCCTCTCTCAAGCTGTCCTATCAAAATAAAGATATATAGACATTATAGTGGCAGAAATATCCCTCCTTGAACTGGCAATATAATTGGGGCAAAAGAGACTCCAATGGGGGTCATAGAAAACTGGTGGAAATGTGTTTTCTGGCCTATAGTTATGGAACTTAACAGTACTGTCATGTCTCTGGGATTAATATGGCATCAGATGACAGTTAACCTTAAAATGCAGCTCACCAACACTGTCTCAAGGTAACAAGTTCTTGCATTTCTAAAGCTCACTAACTAGCTTGTTGATTCTAATCACTTTTCACTAATTCACTTTAGGCTATACAACACTGTACATGGCTATGCTGCTGCATTTAATAATCTTGGCTTATTTGGTTAACTATGAAACCCTAAAACCATTGTTACAAGGTTTCTCGGATGTGATAAACCAGCAGTCCCCAAACCTGTCATGACACTTCATACAAACACTGCTTACCCATCATCATGAACATATTACCAGGAGGATAACCTGGAAAAAAATATGAAGGTGTTCCTGCTTTTTAACAGCCTCTTTGTCTGAAATGAAGGATGTAAGGACTAAAGTCAACAGTGAGGTGTCAGCAGGAGGTTATCACAGCATTGAGCTCTCCATGCAGAGGTCAGCCTGCTGATAGAAAAGGCTCGGGTTACTGATAGAGATGCAAACACATGCTGGAGGAAGCAGAGAGGTAGATCCATATATTTATGATCACACAGCTGACTGTAGAGTGAAAGCAGTTTTGAAATTGGGAGGTTTCTGTGGACTAAATCGCCTCCCTGAACAGCAGTCATCTGTGTCTTTAAAAGAAAGGATTATCCACGTTATTTGGGTTAGGGTGGGACAATGCCTGCTGGTAATTAGTCCTGGTGCTCTCGTGACTGATTAAACCACCTCCAGACTGTACCAAAGCTGCAGGAAATCTGCTGACAAACACATAAAACACTGCCTTAGTAATACCTCTCTGTATTTTTTCATAAACAAACAGCACTGTTTATCCACCTCAACCTCAATGCTTTTACAGTAATGGGTCAAAGTCCAATCATTCATTGTGATAATCTACTCTTTAACCATATCTGGTCCAATGCTTGAGAAAAAAATCCACAAGATGCAGGACCATTCCTTCCTTCCTTCCTTCCATCCTAAATTCACATCCTTATTTCCTTCCGTACTCAAGAAGCACATTCGCATGGCTGGAAGTGGAGAGCAATGATCTCAGTTTCTCAGCTCTCTTAAGTAGCAGCTGGAGGAAGTGACAACTGGAAAGAAAATACCCCCTGGTAGAGAAATACTCTAGCTTTCTCACATTACCCATCTTAACACAGAATGCTCACGTGGACACGCCAGTCCATGGCTCCAGCTTCAAAGACCCAGACACAAACAGCATATAGAGCGGTGAGGGATGTTTCAGGACGGGGAGAATTTGTGTGTCTGTGCGTGAGCGAGCGAGTGGAGGTGATGGTGTGAAACCCAAAGCCTTGTCACCACAGCTCTACAATGTGTGGATGACAGGCGGCCATGACCGGGAATTTCAGGGGTCAGGGCTAGGAATCCGGGATTCCCTGTGTCAGAGGATCTTTGAGAGGGAGGAATTTGGTGTGTAATGCAAGGAAGGAGTTAACGGGTGTGGAAAGATCCTCATGTGGCTTTACAGTGTGCAGCAGCTGCTGCTATAAAGGAACTGATAACCAAGTTTAGAAACACACATAGCTGGGATTCAACTTTGTCAACAGGATGTTTCACAAAGAGGTTAAATATCTGAGGGGTTCTGTTTTATGTCTGTGAATGGACGATTGTGTGAAATGTCACAATACTAACAGAAAGGAGATATTGGTAAATCAATCTGTAAACACACATAGGAAAGCATCACCTAAATAAATAAAAGTATTACATTTAGGGTGACCAAACTTGAGGGTTAGGTAGAAGTCAGAGAAGCCAGGACTTCCTGAACATCTCTGCTTTTTCGGCACTGGGTGTGTTTGTGGGTCATAACCATTCAGAGGACGGATTGGGTGTGGAGTCAAAACAGTGTAGTTGAAGGTTTTATGGTGTTGTGTCAGCTCCTCAGAGGAAAAGGACACACTGATTGATACGATGGGCTCCATGCAGGATGAACCTCTGAGCACACACCCATGAACCTGCGCAGCTCTTCTTACTCTGCGGCTATCTGTTACCTTGTAACCACCTCTGCCATCACAGATAAGAAACCTGGATTAAACATGCTGCTGAGACATCTGATCAACACTCACTTTCTCTGACCTAGAATGAGTTTTTTTTAGATAAAGACACAGATTAAAACACTTTTAAAGAAGTTGTACATGCAAAAGCTCAATGATCAAGACAAGATCATTGACATCCACAACATGTCAGCTGCTACAAATCAGCATGATTGATTCAGTGGATGCACAGTAATGAATCAGGCCAGATTCATCCTCCTGCACTTGTTTTTACTGAGTTGAGTTTAATCCTCCTCTTACTTCACTTCCAGAATTCCTGCTTAATTAAATCCACACTGGTCGCATGAGGAGTTCAGGGTGCTGGCTTCTTTGCGTGACCCAGAAGTCATTTAACACACCAGAATTTACAGTTTTGTTTTTTATCTACAGTGTGAAAAGACGACCACAAACACTGCTGAGATGCTGCTATTTTACTGGCATTGCCCAGTATTCAGTAGCTACACAGGTCTGGCTTCAGACTGTGAGAAGGCCAAGCTAAAAACCTCAATATAACTGTATCACAACAATAGAAACACTGTTATAAGCACTAAAGGGTATAAATGTCTCAAACAATGTTACAGTGAGGTGTGTCATTGCTAATTTGTCCATGAGATTGAAGTATCAAAAGACTTTATCCCCTCTGTCAATGTGCCTTTAGTCAAAACAAACACAGAAAGCAACTCTGACAGCATCATGTAAGTATTAAGAAATGATTACGCAAATCAACTCTGGTAAATAATGAAAGCAAACACAGTGAAGCTGTTTCATAATGCATACCTAAAAGCAAAATACGGATAAAGCTGATTTTAAAAACAAAAACAATCCTGCTCAAATAAATCTTTGAGAAAATCCAATACAGGAGAAAAAGGACACATAACCAGATTAAAGAAAGATTTCTCCTGAGCTGAGCTGAAATAATAACCTTCCTCTGGACAGCATATCACTCTAATAATATCAGATGAAGTCCTAAAATCCAGATCACCTCCAACTGACCACTGAGAGTGAGTTTATGCAACACACAAAACTAGAGTTTATCTATGACATGATTTAGGGTCTATTACAGTTTAAGTTGTAATTTTAAGCATTTCATTTAGCCACAGTGGCAAGTTTCCCACTCAAACCACTTCTTTTAATTTGTTAATGAATTGGGAATATGAACCTGAGTCATGTGAGTCACTGCTGATTAAGGCTTTATATGGTGCGTGGAAAAGGAGGAGACTGACATCACCCACACGTAGGTACAAGCTTTTCCTGAGACTGTGTGTGTGCCCTCGTCTGAGTCAGATGAGGATGACAAACCAGACCCATACTCATCCTCTACAAACCCTCTCTGTGAGAGTGTGTGTGCAGTCTGGGCTGATTTACAGATGACACATCCTACATAAACGGGCACTCACTTTGCCCAGGCAGTTTACTTGAATAAACTTCACCACAAATATGGGAAAATAACCAGTCTGGGGCACAGGGAATAGCAGACAGGCTGTCACGTGAGAACTGTTTGTCTTTGTTTGTCGGTAATGAGATTAACTGAGCAGAACAGGGGGAATTTTTTTTGTAACTCATTCACAGCTTTAGTGTCTGTGATATGTATGAGGTTTGTTGGGATGAAGACTAACCGTCCCAAGTACAGCTGCATCCTGTAGAGCTGCCCTGCTGCCGCTTGTCTGGGATACAGTGTAGACTCGTGTACTAACAGAGGAAGCTCTACAAATGCAATAAACCAGCTAAATGAATGAGAAAAAGTTGTGTTTTTAAGCATTGGGATAATTCAAGCTTTCTATGACCCATGAGAATCCAACAGAGTGAGAAAACGTGGAGCACAAAAGCAAACAACAACAAAACGAAAACCGTCTCGCGCACGTTACGGTACAGGGTTCGAGCCAAAAGTAAATATCAGACTTCAAGATTCAAAGTTTCGTTTTGAGGAAGTGGTTTTACTCACCTCTACAAAGAATATATCCATGTTAACCAGTGACCGACCTCACGTCCCTTTGTAGTCTGAGTTCAGGGTACCACAGCAAAGGAGGAGAGGAAGCTATATTCCCAAAAGATTTCCATCCGCTTCGTTGAGATTGAAAATGAATGACCCTGTTGCTCCAACTGAGTCAGAAATTATGCATTTTTTTAGATCTCGTTTTCTTGCACTTTTCTGAAGCTGTTTTTAAGCGTCAGTGTGTCCCGTGTAGCCTGAGCGCTGCTGCTGCTGCGCTGTTTCTGCTGTCTAGTCATTTCAATGGACCCGGCACATTATGCATAGGGGGCGGGGCCTGCGGGGTCAAACCCAGCCCCTCAGCATACGCCCTCTTTGTGTCCATGTTACAAAGAGGGCAATGGTGGAAGAGGATGTGCAGTTTTCCAGTTTTATTCAGCAAATATTAAAGGATTTTTTCGACTTTAAACAACCAAGGAGGAATAAGTCCAAAATAAGACACAGGCTACTCATTGTAGCTTCTGTTTGTCAGATTGAGGATTAAAGTGATCATTATTTTCAGTCTCTTCCCCTCTTCAGTTTGAACCTGAGGACATGAGCAGGTTTCTTATTCTAACAGTATGTAAAACTGGCTTATTTAAACAATACCCCTCCCTGATCATTCCTGATAGCTCACTCTCTTCCTGACACACATTGCATATTTGTTTATAAGGGAGACCAGGGCTTGTGGTCACACTTTTTAAACTCTTATATATTACTTGGAATCAATATATCCTATGTAAGCAAATGTGAACCAGATTGAAGCCCAAAGTCTTGGGCATATATTTCTTAATCATATCTTTTTCATATCTTGTGTCAGTGCAGAGTTATAAGCAATCAAATAGAGAGTGTGAACATGTGACATGTTGCCTCACCACAGGTTAAGATATCACAGTGGATTTTGCAGCTAATAACACAAAGACAAAATTATTATCCTTCTCTTTTTTTTTTTTTTTTACATGAAAGTGAACATCAAAGTCAGGCGCAGAAAATGTTTATCATTGAGCAACGAAAAGTCATTGAACAAACGTTAACATAAAATATTATGTTTGGAGCTTGGTAATCTGTCTGACTCTGTATTTCAGCTGGGGTGAATGTTTATCAGTACCGAGCTAAGGTATGGTAGATGACATTAAAGTCCTTTATTGTATTCCAGGTTGCTTTATTAGCTAGGGTCACCTGCCTGACTGCCCTCAGCATCACGTCAGGAACTGCACTGCCATGTTCTGTTTTACTTTTGAGATTCCTGACCATGTCTTCTCACTTTCCCCTCTCCTTTAAACCACTCTTTTCTCTGTAAAAAATAAAGTCAAAATTTCAATATGACAACTGCTGATGAACAGAATCTCTATGTTCATTTTAATCCCTTTTAAACATGCAACAACTAACCCCAAAATGACTGAGCTAATTTTAGCTTTAGCTTAAAGTTAGCTTAAAACAGAACAATGACTGAGGAATGACAGGATGTCTTAATCTCTCCTCTAACAAGTCCAAATGTATCACTGTTAGGATTTTTATCTGGAAGAAGCTTATTTTAAAATATATAAGGTTAATTTTTTTTAACTTTGGGTTGTGCGAAATGGTTAATTGGCGCTCATCTCAGCGCACAATGTGCTCTTCTCTTCTCAGACAGGACATGACCCCTGACCATGTAAAGGAAGAAAACTAGTATTCCACCAGAGCAAATTTAAAAAATGTCTCAGCTTTTTTATGTTAATAGGATTTTATTGCTATTTTCCAATTATGTATTTTGACAACCATTGGCCTCAAAAACAGTTTATATACCTCCCTTGTACAAAACAAAACAAGAAAGGCCAGCTTCTGTTAGCATCATCCAATAAAATCCTGCATCAGCTCAGCTTAGGTTTTGTTGGACAAATTTCTGTCATTGCATCAAATCAAAATATGCTTAAGAAAGGATAATTCTTGCAATACATTAGCTATTAAGTCTCAGTCTGAACCCCAATGTCACAATAATCATTCCCGACATATGTGAAATTAATATTACTGACATTATTGAGCAACATGAGATGCACTCTGATGTATGTTGTAATGCCTGTCTAATTCATGTGGCTAACTTATAAGTGCACTAAGTAAAGAGTTATTATTGATTGAAGTAAAAGTGGGGTATGTGCATGCAAAACAGGGGCAAACAGGCCTTGGATCATAAAGACAGTCATGCACAGGAGCATAGCTTTGTCCTCATCAAGTGTAATCTTTCTCTTTTAATCTGCAATCAATCTGAATGACCTTGAGAAAAAACACAAGATTGGTAACCCCTGACCTCTGCCTGCAAGATCAGCCGCCCAGTCATGACCGGCGGATAACAGAGGATACACAGACACAACTTAATCTATATGCAATAATCATGCAGCAGATCAAACCGTGCTGTGTCTGTTACGTAATCAGTGATGGCTACACTGTGGGGGGATTGAGTGACTTTCTGATGCACAGCTATGTAATTTAGCATCCCCAAAATCACTTCTTTGGTGCACTGGAAGTTTGGAGGAATTGTCTGTTATTCCTGATCATAAGCTTAGATGCAGTTTTATTAAAAAACAAACCAGCCATTGTTTCATATCCTATAAAGGTTTAGGGAGAATTATACTCAAACAATCCCTTTGCCAGTGGCTAAGCTTGTCCTCCAGTCACAGACCCTTTCACTGTGGCAGCAGAGAATGTACAATATGTTTAGTACAAGCAAAAAAGCATGCATTTACAAAATATCTAAATCTTTTTTCTTATTTTATCGACAACATATACATAAATGCAAAAAATGCATAAAAACGTATGTGCATAAAAGCTGAAAACTCAATGGAGAAAGAGAAAGAAAACTTGAAAGGCTTCTTGTTGTTCATTATTAACACCATTGAACGTAATCCTGTAAGAGGGTCAAGTATGACCTCACTATAGACCACAATCCTTCTAGGCTCTAACACAGGTGCCCTAGTTTAGCAGCAGTCTTTTTTATTAACTCATAAACTCCCTTAACACGTTGCTTTAGCTTAAGAGGTTTATATCTTCCAATTGAATATATATTTCCATTTGTTGTAGCTAAGGAACATGGCTAAGCAAAAAACTCAGGTTAAGGGTGGACAGCAGGTCAGTGTCTGAAGACCACAGGTTCTGGGTTCAGGGTGTATGGGTTAAAAGGTCAAAGAGGTACTAAGGGGTGAGGGGATGGAAGGATTTGTTGGTGTCTCTGATGCAGGATTTTATTGGGAGCCAGTGGAGGTGGGTGAGAGTTGGGGTGGCGTGCTGCCAGGGTTTGGTTTAGGTGAGAACTCTGGCAGCTGAGTTTTGTACCTACTGGAGCCTGTCAAGGACTTTGCTGGGTATACCCTCGGCAGGACTCTGTTGTAGTTGGCAGGATATGTTGATAGTATGAGTGAAGGTCGCCAGAGCAAAGAGTGATTGTCTGGGAATGTGATGTCATGTATTACATATCAGGACATGTGTGAACATTAACCTGTGTAACATGGCTGCATAACATGGTGCAAGGCCCTTGTAAAAAGTAGGTCAAAATTACTTTGCAAATTGTGTTTATAAAAAGATTTAGACAATACCAATGTCCTCTGAAACAGTTTATATAGTGTTGGTTTATTTTCACACGTACTTTACATTTATAATAATTATTTCACAACATGGTCTGACATTTACACACTGTCAGTGAGCTTGGAGTGGGTTTTATATCTTAAGTGGCAGACTGTTGGTTGTGATTGTTGTTTTAAGCAGGGAAAGTTCACATTACGCTTCATGTGATTTGACCTTAATCAGAAAATCAGAGATAATCATAGCTCAGACTGAGATCAGCAACAGCGGCCTGTTGTTGATTTTCAGTATTGCATGGATTTAATATTTCCTGTTTTTTTATTTGCTGAGATGAAACAATAGTGAAAGACCTACTTTTGGAGTGATTGACTAATCTGAGCCCTTGTGAACACATGAGAGACATGGAGGCGGCGAGTGTATGTGAGACTTGCTGTTCACGACTCCTAGATCATGCTTCAAGCCAGTAAATATAGACTTGATACTTAGAGGGAGACAACTGTGCAAGTGGGCTGTGAGGGATGCATTTGACAGCACCAATGTGGATCCAAATGCTAAAAAGAAAAACATCAAATTTTCACAACGGATTCTGGACAAAATATAACAAAATTGTGCGGTAATTGCAACACTGGAACCAAAAAATGTGTCAGATGATTCCCCTGGTCATGGCTGCAAATTAAAATCACTCTGCATCAAGACCTTTCCACAGATGTTCACCACACTGATGTTACTGTTAGGGAGTTTTTCAGATAAATGCACATGCCGTAGTGTATTTTTGCATTAAAAGTTTTGAATTACAGTTCAAAAAAACTAATATGTCACCCTACATTCCACTGTAAATGCCAAGAGTGACGCCAGACATACCACAACCTGACAAAATGATCAGCTGGCTGTGAGGCCTGAAAGCACGGCACCGTAGAGGGTGTGAAACAGAAAACCATGAGCAGATGCATTTTCAAAGTGGAGGCTGGATAGGAAGGTCTTTTTTTCACACCAGTGAAATTCACTAGAGATAGTTGGGTGGGTTGAGGATAATGGAGTTTAAAGGGATGTGTAATGGGAATAAAATGCTCTAAAACGTTCTCCAGTGTTGCATTTTACAAGATTTCTGATGAAAAGCCTTGAGGCACAGCACACATACAGGTCTACTGTGCAAATTCTGCTCTCCACTCACTCCTCAAACAGCATGTGGCCCATTTGTGGAAATATCTGTGCCTCCAGAAATGGTCTGTGCAACTACATAAAGAAGAACTAAAGCAACAGAGCTAAGGCTAGAAGCTGGTCATACTGAGTACATAATGAGGTACAGGGTAAGGGTTAAGTGACCATATTAGGCCTTAAGCATCCACAACAAGCACAAAAACACAACATAACATGTGAGTAGGCGTACTATAGATGGAGAGGTTATAATGATGACCTTCCCTTGGGCAGAAAAGACCCCTAGC